ATAGAAATCACCTCCAGGAGGATTGGCGCAAATGACTTCAACAAGGCAGACGCCGCCGCAGCAGCTGAAACCAGAACCCCAGCCGAAAACCCCCTGACTCAACGCACCTACATCCTCCGAAAGCCAATCCAAAGACAACTCCAGAAGACCGAGGAGGTGCAATACCAAGGCCAAATGACCGTGAATCCGAAGATCATTAGCCGCCAAAGCAGCCAAAAATTAGTGGGAACCCGAGCATGCAATTGCACCAGACCAACATCAGGAGGAAGTGCAGGGGCGAAGAGGCACTCATTGAGAAACTCAAGCGAGACCCCCAAGATTAATTGCAACACCGAAGAGACCTCTGGCCGCTCAAGTGTGCAGGTATGACAAAACCAGCGTTGAATGTAATGAAACGCCATTTTCTGGGTGAGACACAGACTCCCCGGAGTTATTGAGGCTCATATGTAATATATTAGACTTTGGCATCAGTGTGAATGGAGTTTATAGGCCTACCAGGCCAGAACCTGGCCCCCATTAGAGAGGCACGAGGATACCTGCTTGATGGGGTTCTGGGAGTTGTTCTACTCCCCAAGCCCAGCCCAAGCCCAGGGCTGACTTGTGAGAGTTTGGTCCACTAGGCTGTTGCTTGCAGCGGCCCACAGGCCCACATATCTACCACAGCCCGGTTGGTCCGGCATTCCTTGGAGAAAATGATCTAGTTTTCCCTTGAAGATGTCCACAAATGTTCCAGCAATATTTCTTATGCTCGCTGGGAGGATGTTGAACAACCGCGAACCTCTGATGTTTATACAGTGTTCTCTGATTGTGCCTATGGCACCCCTGCTCTTTACTGGTTCTATTCTGCATTTTCTTCCGTATCATTCACTCCATTATGATGTTATTTTACTGTGTAGATTTGGTACCTGACCCTCCAGTATCTTCCACGTGTATATCATTTGGTATCTCTCTCATCTTTCTAGCGAGTACATTTGGAGAGCTTTGAGACAATCCCAATAATTTAGGTGCTTTATTATGTCTATGTATGCTGTATGTGTTCTCTGTACTCCCTCTATTTCAGTAATCTCTCCTGCTCTGAAGGGGGAAGTGAGTGTTGAGTAGTACTTAAGACGGGACAGTACAAGTGATTTGTATAGTACAACCATTGTGATCGGATCCCTGAATTTGAAAGTTCTCATTATCCATCCGATTATTTTTCTGGCTGACGCAATATTTGCTTGGTTATGCTTCCTAAACGAGGAGCCATGGGAATGGCTGATTTGAAGCATTCTATGTCTGTCATCGACCGGGTCAGGCACCCAGGAAGGTAAGCATCCCAAAACAAACCATTATTCTGGTTGAAACTACTACTGAGAGTCAAAAGAGTAGACAGAACTCCCCAAGAAACACAAACAAGCATGATGTCACCAATTGCCGCGCCAGTCTACGCAGCTCCCCCCCTCCCTGGGAGGGGGAAGAGGGAGCCCCAGACCACTCGCACCAGAAATCCACACCTTCAGTTCTTTGGCTGATGTGAATGGCATTGGTTGCTGTGGCTCTGGCTACTAATTCTGTCCTCTGCTCTGTGCCTTGTGGTGTGGGGCGAATCTTCTCTGGTGGTGCGCAAGCCAGGAGTAACTTCCAAAGTACTTGGGCTGCATGCGCCTAGGATAGCCCAAAGCCCTTGGGACTTGGGGTTATCTTCCACAAGTTACCTTGGCGTCTACCTCTGTTGGTCTTTTGCTGCTTGGTAATTGATCACCAAGAGTGTACTGGGGGTTTTCCTCCTCTCTTGTTGGTACAAAACACAATCGAATCTTCCCATAGTAGAAAAACAGCATGTCAAGGATTTGGAAATAATGATATCCGACGATCTGACGTTTAGGGAGCATAACCAAGCAAAAATTATAGGATGGATTACGAGAACTTTCAAATCCAGGGATCCCATCACGATGGTTGTACTCTTCAAGTCACTTGTGTTGTCCCGTCTCGAGTAGTGCTCAGTACTCACTTCCCCCTTCAGAGCAGGAGAGATTGCTGAAATAGAGGGAATACAGAGAACATATACGGCACGCATAGACGAGATAAAACACCTAAACTATTGGGATTGTCTCAAAGCTCTCCAAATGCACTCTCTAGAAAGGAGACGAGAGAGATACCAAATAATATACACATGGAAAATATTGGAGGGCCAGGTCCCAAATCTACACAGTAAAATAACAACGTACTGGAGTGAACGATATGGAAGAAAATGCAAGACTGAACCAGTGAAGAGCAGAGGTGCCATAGGCACAATCAGAGAACACTGAATAAACATCAGAGGGCCGCGGTTGTTCAACGTCCTCCCAGCGACTATAAGAAACATTGCCGGAACAACCGTGGACATTTTCAAGAGAAAACCGAACTGTTTTCTAAGAGAAGTGCTGAACCAACCGGGCTGTGGTGGGTATGTGGGCCTGCGGGCCGCTCCAAGCAACAGCCTGGTGGACCAAGCTCTCACAAGTCGAGCCTGGCCTCGGGCCGGGCTTGGGGAGTAGAAGAACTCCCAGAACCCCATTAAGCAGGTATCAAGCAGAGGAAGAGCGCAACACGCGAGCATAAGTGACGTTAGCATAAGGTGGGAGCCGGCGAACCTGGTGCCTCGCCTCAGGAAAAGATAAACGCTCCCGGTGCTTCAAGTTGAGGTCGGCTGCCTCAAGCTTGTAATGTATACATGCACGGGAGTAGGTAGGGTGGGCCTCACCGCAATTGAGGCAGCGAGAGTGGGGAGAAGTGCACTCCGACTTAGAGTGACCTTCGCTCCCACACAAAGGACAGAGACAGTTCCAGAGCAGCGGAGGGCACCATGCCCAAACCTCCAGCACTTATTACAGAGCCGAGGAGAGGGAATGTACTCCTGGACAGAGCACCTGGCACCAGCAAGAATGACAGAAGGCAGAAGGGTCCTACCATCAAAGGTAATCTTCACAACCTGAAGGGGCTGATGGCGACGACCACAAGGGGGACGAAGTAAACATGTCTACCTGGAGGATAGAATGGCCTTGGGCATCGAGGATATGCCGAATATCATCGTGGCAGTCCTGCAGATTCCGAACACCGGTTACAACATGGGGCAGGAGGAGAATAGTGCCAGCACTGGCAATCAACCGAGCATTCTTTGAGACCCGAACAGGGGGTCTCGTCAAGGCAGGATGAGGCAGTCAAGCGGGAAGCTGCATCCTGAGAAGGAGCAGTAACGACACGTGTACCGAGACGGGTGGGGTTGAAGGTAACAGAGGCATCTACAGAATCAACAAAATGCCTATGGAGGGAGAAATCATCAAGAGGCGTAGAATTAAGAGGGAGATCAAAGTATTTGGCCCACGAAGCGGGACCAAACAAGGCCTGATACGCATCAGTACGGGAAGGAATCGAGTGAGTGCGGCCGTGGCGCGGACGGCATTGAGAACCCCAGAGAGAGAGGGGTTAAAAGGTGCAGTAGTCACAATGAGAGACTGAGCCGCGCCAGGGAACGAAGTTGTCACCACTAGGGGCTTGTGGCTCGACCCAACCACAGAGGAGGGAGGGGAGCCGAGGGGAGAAGTCAGGAGGGTCAAAGGAGGAGCAAGGTCGGGGCCTAACGCAGCGGGGGCTACAGAGCCCGGTCTTCCAATACAGTCCGACTCGGGGGCTAGGTCGCCCACCCCAAGAGCCTGAGAGGATACAAGAGGAACATTCAAAGATATAAAAACGAAAAGAAACACTTTCATTCACAATGTGCCCCCATACCCACCATGGAGCCACAATTAGAGGCAGGACACCCAACAAGAAGCTATCGCTGATCATGCCGGGCCCCCCTAGGTGTGCGTCGTGAGTATATGCCCCACAAACGCCACCGTAAGAACTGTCAATCCATCGAGACCAGGTTCAGTAACTAAAGGGGGATAGACAATAAAAGGTTCCCCTCGCTCGAGACGTTGGGTACTACAGTTCTACGGGTGCAAGAGTATGCCTCCTCAAACACCCAGGCGTCAAAACAAAAGAAGGCCAAAAGAATGATCAAAACAGGCACAAGGTCAGTAGGAAATGACAACGAGAAAGGAGAAGGGGGGGGGGGAGAAAAACAAAACAAAAGGAAAAGGCGTCCAGCAAAATTTGTGAGGACAGCAGCAGAGCACATGGCTACAAAAGGACAGAGGACCGCCCTAAGGGGCATCATACTCCGGCCAGCTCAAGCAAAACACCACTAAGCCCCAGGAAATTATGCATTTTATCACACACAGAGATCACACTAATGTGATGCATCAAATGAACAAATCCACAAGGGCCGTGATGGGGATTCGAACCTGCGTCCGGGAGCATCCCAGACACTGCCTTAATCGACTGAGCTACGACAGGGTAAAAGGGTTGAAACCGAAGTTCTACTGAACTACTGTGTGATGATGTAAGGGCGAAGAGGGAGAACGGCCTATTGACATAGCTCGGGTGCAGGGGGGGGGGGGGTTGTGTAAAAGCCTGGTTTGTGCCTCAGAGAGGCTACGGGATCTAGTAAGTTCAGTAGAACTTCGGTTTCAACCCTTTTACCCTGTCGTAGCTCAGTCGATTAAGGCAGTGTCTGGGATGCTCCCGGACGCAGGTTCGAATCCCCGTCACGGCCCTTGTGGATTTGTTCATTTTATGCATTTTATCTCTCCTATATCTACAAAAATCTGAAATTATAATTTTTTTATATTACTATTATTTCACAACCAAACAAACAGTTAAGTTATTCTGCTAAATTATCTGTATTCTGTATATAGGGTGAGGTCGGCGGACAGCACACTGGACATGTCATCCTGTGGTCCTGGGTTTGATCCCAGGCGCCGGCGAGAAACAATGGGCAGAGTTTCTTTCACCCTATGCCCCTGTTACCTAGCAGTAAAATAGGTACCTGGGTGCTAGTCAGCTGTCACGGGCTGTTTCCTGGGGGTGGAGGCCTTGTCGAGGACCGAGCCGCGGGGACACTAAAAAGCCCCGAAATCATCTCAAGATAACCTACATACCTGATGCTCATCATTTTCATCTTCAAAATCATCATCAGTAGGTAATATTGTGACATTCATTGGGTCCATTGTTGATGCCTGGAACACTTTTGCATATGCTCCCTCACCTCGAATGCGACGAACATGGAACATCTCGCTCCCTAAAGCAATCTGCAAAGAAAATACAGGGTAAATGTCTACTGAGCTTCACTAATACATATGAACCCCAAGTACAACCGAGGTTCAATATTAGTTTGACATTCAGCAAATGGAGTACAGTGGAAAAACAGGGAGGACACACCTCCCTTCATAAAATGTAACTGGCAGCACTCACTTCACAAGCACATGCTACCGCATCTCTCTACTTTGCCCATTTCATTACTATTTTTGACATTCATCATTTAAAGAAAATTTTTAATTTCTACTCTTTCTTTTAGTTTCCAATTTACATATGATTACTAAGGATACCCAAATTCTGTTTAAATACATGGTATGGAACAATAACTTCTTTTAACACAGTTCGAGATGCTTGTGTGTGAAATTCAAATTAAAGTGTTAAGGGTGATGATGTGATTGCAAGTGCCCTGTGTGTTGACCTAAGTTAGATTTGAATTAATATTTCTGGGCAGTTTAATTAAAAGAGTGAAAATTATGTAGAATCAAGAGGCTACAGAATACTCATGGGCAATCTGAGTGGTAAAACAGGAATATATATATACTTAATGATCTCTATTATCCGGATCCCACTAAACCGGATAATGGGGTCATCCTGATAGTTTTGTGTCCATATCTGGATGAATGTCCATTGAACCCAGATACCAATAGACAGGCAGAGTTTTTACCATATATGCTGGCATATAAATCAACATTTGAAGCTTAAAATTTTCTCCAAAACCAAGGGTCGACTTGCCACCGAATATAAAATGTGAACCTTTACCCACAGAGATAAACAAGTGAAACGCCCGGCCTATAACTTGTTGCACACTACACTACTTGCCATAACTCACAGCCCATCACATTTATTAAGATAATTTCACAAGTGAAATTTTTTAAATTTCTCAGCAACTGGTGAGGGAGGCAGGCAGACAAGAAGGAAGGAAGGGAGGGAGGGAGGGAGGGAGGGAGGGTGGCAGGCAAGAAGGGAAGGAGGAAGCCAGCCAGCAAGACAGGCAAGAAGGGAGGTAGGCATGGAGGGAGGGAGGGAGGCAAGGAGGGGAGGGAGGGAGGGAGGCAAGGAGGGGAGGGAGGGAGGGAGGGAGGCAGGGAGGCAGGCAGGCAAGGAGGGAGGGAGGGAGGGGAGAGAGGGAAGGGAGGGGAGGGAGGGAGAGAGGGAGGGAGGGGGGGGGGAGGGAGGGAGGCAGGGAAGGAGGGAGGGAGGCAGGCAAACAAGGAGGGAGGGGAGGGAGAGGAGGGAGGGGAGGGAGGGAGGCAGGCAAACAAGGAGGGAGGGGAGGGAGGGAGGGAGGAGGGAGGGAGGGGAGGGAGGGGAGGGGGGAGGGAGGGAGGGAGGGAAGGGAGCCAGGCAAGCAAGGAGGAAAGGAGGGAGTCAACCAGCCAGCCAGGCAGGCAAGGAGGGAGGGAGCCAGCCAGCCTGGCAGAAATGCAAGGAGGGAGCCACCCAACCAGCCAGGCAAGAAGGGAGGGAGCCAGCCAGCCAGGCAGGCAAGGAGGGAGGGAGAGAGGAAGGGAGCCAGCGCAGGCAGGCAAGGAAGAAGGGAGGGAGCCAGCCAGCCAGCCAGGCAGGCACGGAGGGAGGGAGGGAGCCAGCCAAGCAGGCAGGCAGGCAGGCAAGGAGGGAAGGAGCCAGCCAGGCAGGCAGGCAGGGAAGGAGGGAGCCAGGCAGGCAGGCAGGGAAGGAGGGAGCCAGGCAGGCAGGGAAGGAGGGAGGGAGGGAGCCAGGCAGGCAGGGAAGGAGGGAGGGAGGGAGCCAGCCAGGCAAGCAGGCAAGGAGGGAAGGAAGGAGGGAGGGAGGGAGCCAGCCAGCAAGCAGGCAAGGAGGGAGGGAGCCAGCAGGCAGGCAAGGAGGGAGGGAGCCAGCCAGGCAGGCAAGGAGGGAGGGAGCCAGCCAAGCAGGTAAGGATTGTGTCTTCACTGGTAATTAACCTAATTGCCCCCTACTGTGTTGCCCTCTTCAATTTTATTTGGTCACTTGGGTTCCTAGTTTAACCCTTTAGTTGAGCTCGGCATCATATGATGCGTTGAGCGACTTGCAGTAAATTGCACTCGGCATCATATGATGTTTTGGAGTACCGCGCAAGATTTAAACGGCCCGCGGATACACTGGGTTCACCTCACCTTTATCAGGGCTTTAAACAGATGCCATTAAAAAAAAAAAAAAAAAAAAAAAAAAAAAAAAAAAAAAAAAAAAAGTGGGCCAAATTCCCGGGTGTGAGGGCCTCAGTATTGAGTGAGCCACCAAGCCTAATGCACGTAGCATGAGCTCACAGCACTGCTGTTCAGCTTGTGACCACAGCATTGCCTAAAAATGCCATAATATATATGTTCATGCTATTATTTAGCAATGATAGTATTACAGAAGACCCCTGACTGATAAAAATAACCAGGATTCTGATAATAGCAGGATTGTTGTGATAATTAATGCTGTAGTGGGAGATGTAATCTTGGTGGGGAGGGAGGTAGCCTTGTCTGCTGACTCTGTGTGACCACCTTTTACTGTCTGGGCTCACTATACCAGCTTAGTTGTTTGCTATGGTGAACAAAACATGCAGATACTTATATATAACATCTGTATATAGTGAATAAAAGCAAAAACACTATTGTGGGAGGAGAATGGTGGCAAGTCAGGTGAGGTGAGGAAGGAAGTGGCAGCCAGTGGCAGGCTGCCACTGGCTGCCACTCAGCATACCAATTTAGTGGTTCGTTATGGTGAACATGAATGTAGATACTTATATATAACGTGTATATACAGTGTAATAACAGCGAAAGGAGCATGGGGGAGAAGCCATTTTGGTGATGGGGTGGCAACATCTGCAAGATTTGTCATGTTGGTAGGGGTGGCCACTATGCTCTTTGGGCACTATACTGGCTTAGTTGAACAGTTATGGTGAACAAAACATGTAAATACTTATATAGTGTATATAGGGTTTTAACACCACAAACAGTATTGTTGGGAGTGAAATTTTAGTGCGTCTGACCTTGAATGTGTGAGGGAGGCAGCCGCCAGCTGACTGTGTGTAGCGACGTCTCTTAGTGCCTGAACTAATTATATCAGCTTAGTCGTACAGTTCTGGTGAACAAAACATGTAGATACTTATATATAACGTCTATTATAGTGAATAAAAGCAAAAACAGTATGGTGGGAGGAGAATGTGGACGAGTGAGGTGTTGAGGGAGGGAGTGGCAGCGAGTGGCTGGCTGGTGTGGGGCGGTCAATCATCCTTTTTTTTGACTCATAATACCAACTTAGTGGTTCATTATGGTGAACAAAACATGCAGATACTTATATATAACCTGTGTATATAGTGTAATAACCGACGAAGTATTTGTTCACTGTTTGATGAACATAATTGAATAAACAATATGCATACCATAATTTTGAGTACAGCAATGATTCACACATTTTATTATACCCGTATAAATATATCACACTACACACTATTGAATAATATTACAGCAAAAAAACTACAAAAAATCAGACATTGAAATAATTAGGTAATTATCTCTTTGCTCTTTGTGGCCATTCCTGCCTGACAGCTGGGGAGGAGCATACCACCTGGGATGCACGCTGAGTCAGCGCCTGTTTTTTTCCAGACTTCCCCGCCCTATAGCGGGCAATATATGCCTCTTACGATTTTTTTTATTATTTTTCCTATGATCAGAGAACATAAATTAACAGGTTTAGAAGAATTTTTTTTTTTTTGGTATGAGCCCGTGGGTGACAAATGCTAATTAGCCCTGAGCAACACAAGGATACATTGCACTGCATTAACACACACAACAATTAAAACTTGCAAAATCAAACCCCCAATAAGTTGCATGCGTCACTTTCCAACTTCAGACTTGCTTTTAATTATATAGATGGTGAAATACTAAAGAAACTGTTCATGACTTTTGTGAGACTAAAATTGGAACATGCAGTTATGTGGTGCCCAAATCTTAAGAAGTACAGAAATAAACTGGAAAAGGTGCATTGGCATGCTACAAAATGGCTTCCGGAAATGAAAATTAAGAGTTACAAGGAGAGACTAGAGGCGTTAAACATGCCAAAACTAGAAGATAGAAGAAGTGATATGAACACTTACAAAATACTAACAGGAATCGACCAAATTGACACAGAGGAATTCCCAAAACAGCCAACTTGACGAACAAGAGAACACAAATTCAAACTAGGAAAACAGGGGCTGAAAAAATATTAGAAAATTATCTTTTGAAAAAAGTCGCAGATGGTTGAAACAAATAAGTGAGAAGGTGATGGAGGCCAAAACCACCAGTAGTTTCAAAGCGTTACAAAGAGTACTGGGAAGACAGGACACCACGAGCGCAGCTCTCATCCTGTAACTACACTTAGGTAATTACATTTAATTTACCTGAAAATTGGGCTTTATTACTGGAAGATTTCCCTGAAGGGTCACAAAGCCACTACGTGTTTCAACAGGGTCCTTCAAACTTGAGAGAACACACTGCAATACTTCGTCAGCAAAGGGATTTATTTTGTCTTGAAGGTTGGTTTTTTCATTCTGAAAGTATACATAAACATACTTTTAAATCTTACACAGGAATAAAATTGCTAACAGATTACCAAACAAAACACATATATGATGTATGTAGAGGCATACCAAACATCAGATTAACAAACCAATTAGGCTATTGCAGAATAGCATTTAATTACAGCAGAACCTTGAGTGACGACCGCTTCAATTGGTGAGCATTTTAGGTAACGAGCGCCCAGATTGCCGACAATTCCTCTCGTATAGTGAGAACTCGTTTGAATAACGACAACACTATATGGTGGGGTCACGCTGCTTCTCACACATTCTCGGATGCCTCCGACGATGTAAATAAATAGTTTTTTTTGTTTAACCCTTAGACCGCGCAATACGTATATAGATGATTTGAGAAACAAAACCGGAACTGCACAATACATTATTAGACGTTTTAGTGTTTAGCGCCTTAATTTAAATGCCCCGCATGGGATAGGGGCAGCTATAGTGCAGCCACGACCGATAGTTGACAGGCGTCACCTAGAAAAAAAATCGTGGCCAACATTCCTGGGTGTGAGAGCTTCAGTACTGAGCGAGCCACCAAGGCTGACACACACAGCATGAGCTCACAAAACCGTTATTCAGCATGTGACCACAGCAACGCCTAAAAAGTCAATATATATATATGTTTATGCTATTATTTAGCGATGATAGTATTACGGAAGACCCCTGACTGTGAGAAAACTGACCAGGATTCTGATAACAGCCGGATGGTTGTGATATTTAGTGCTGTGCTCCATGGTGGGAGGAGTAATGTTGAAGGAGGGAGGGAGGTGGCATCGTCTCCTGACTCTGTGTGGCCACCTTTGATTGACTGGATTTACCACACCAGCTTAGTGGTTCACTATGGTGAACACAAATGTAGATACTTATATATAATGTGTGTATAGTGTAATAATAGCAATAGGAGTATGTTGAGAGCTGCCATTTTGGTGAGGGAGATGGGTCGTCTGCATGACATGTCATGTCTTGTTTACTGGTGGCCACTATGGTGTTTGGGCACCATAGCAGCTTATTTGTACAGGTATGATGAATAAAACATGTTTGATACTTATATATAATGTGTGTACAGGCATACCTCAGAATGCGAGTTTAATCCGTTCCTGGAGACGCCTCGCCTTCCGAAAACTCGCATTCCGAAGTTAATTTCCCCATAAGAAATAAAGGGAAATGAATTAATCCGTTCCTGACTACCCCAAAAACCCCACATCAAACTAAATTTTTATACCTAATTTACCTAATTCATCTAAATAAACCTACAAAACTGTGTTCCAGTTATTACTTACCTTGCTGTCGAGTGCTGTAGGCGTATGGAAGATGGTGAGGAGGGGGGAGGAGGAGAGGAGTTACTGTTTGGAAGGGGAGTCCCCTTCCATAATCACATCACATAACCCCATGCCTTGTAACACTATGGATACCACTTCTCTTTCTAAATTTTTCAAACCAGCCCCTGCTTGCCTTAAACTCTTTCTTATCTGCATCACTCGTTGCAGGGGTCTTCTTTAGAAGGTCTTCGTGCAACACCCTGGCTTTCTCACAAATAATGGCCTCCGAAACACTATCACCCCTCAACTCCTTGTCGTGTATCCAAATTAATAACAACTTTTCCACTTCTTCAAGTATTTGTGGTCTTTGTGCCGTTAATGTTCTTACTCCTTTTGCCACATTAGCACTCATAATCTTATTTTTCTTCTTAAGTATAGTGCATATTGTTGATGTGGCTTTGTTGTACTGCCTACAAAGTTCAACAACACGTGTACCGTTCTCATGCTTCCGAATGATCTCTTGTTTCTCCTCTATTGTCATCCTCACATGAGCTTTCTGGCCTTTATCCTTACCACTGGCTTTCTTGGGACTCATGGTGAGATATATAATAACAAATTGTATAGACAAATCACCAAAAATCCAACAAAACACTGAAAATCCGCGACAAGAATTGATGTGGGGGTAGTCACTGAGCGCGAGACAATGGTAAACTGAGGGGCGGAGGGGCGACGATCGCCGAACCACCACGCGCTAGGTCGGCTGTACGCGTATCAACAAACTCGCGTCCAAACTCGCCTCCCGAAGTAACCATCGCCTTCCGAGACAAATTTTTGGAGTAAATACACCTCGCCTTCCGAAAACCTCGCATACAGGGACAATTGCATTCCGAGGTACCACTGTATATAGTGTAATAACATCACAAACAGTATTGTTGAGGAGAAATATTAGCGAGTCTGGCCTTGAGGGCGGCCGCCACCAGCTGTGTGAGTAGCTACGTCTTATTGCCTTTACTCACCATACAAGCTTAGATGTACAGTTATGGTGAATAAAACATGTAAATACATATATATAACGTCTGAATAAATGCAAAAACGGTAGTATCGTGGGAGGAGAATGTGGGCAAATGAGGTGTTGAGAGATGGAGTGGCAGCGAGTGGCTGGCTGGTGTGTGGCGGTCACTCCTCATTGCTTTTTGACTCACAATACCAACTTGGTGGTTCGTTATGGTGAGCAAAACATGCAGATACTTATATATAACCTCTGTATATAGTGTAGTAACAGCAAAACTATTTGTTTATTGTTTTATGAACATAATAATTGAACCGCTAACATGCACACCATAATTTTGAGTATAGCGATGGTTCACACATTTTATTATATAAATATAATCACGATACACACACAGAAAAAAAAAAAAAAAAATCTGGCAACTGCTCTGTCAACGCCTCTTTTTTGCCTGACTTCCCCACCAGATTGTGGCCAAAATATGCCACTACGATTTTTGTTTGTTATTTCTTTCCGTGATCAGGGAACACAAATAAACACTTTTATAAGACAAAAGAATTTTTGGATTTTTTTTTGTTGCGCCTGTGGGTTGAAGCCATTATGACCCTTAGCAGCCCAAGGGTTAAAGATGCTAATGATGCTGGGATATAAAGGGGTGAATGCTGTGATGTTGCAAAGCTCCGACTTTTATGTAGAAAAAGAAATGAAATTTATTGAAAAAAAAAAAAAAAAAAAAAAAAAAAAAAAAAAAAAAAAAAAAAAAAAAAAAAAAAAAAAATGTCAAAAAGATTCATTTGATGTTTGGCAGGTAGGCTGCTCCATGTTTCTTAAAAAAAGAAGGAAAAAAAAAAAAAAATGTTGAAACAATTTGAAAAAACGGACAAATGCCATAAAGGTTTGTTCAGTGTTCATCAGGTAGGCTACTCTATTATTGAGACAAATGAAAAATACAAAACAAATGGAACACATTTGAAACGGAATGAATGTCATAATGGAGCAGCCTACCCGATACACACTGAACAAACCTTTATGGCATTTGTCCGTTTTTCAAGTTGTTTCAACCGTTTTTTTTATTTAAGAAACATGGAGCAGCCTACCTGCCGACCTTCTTAATTATTTCAACTTTCTTCTCATGTCATCAATGACCTCTTTCTTGTACATATCCTGCTTGTTAATGCTTTCACTGACACAATGCATGCATTTGGAGCTGACATGGTGCATGGATGTTCCTAGATTGTGCTGATATATGAAGCAAAGTCACCAGTGAACACTCCAGTCTCGTGACAAATCAAAACAATGGGAACAACGGGCTGTGAATCTGTGACGTCACAGGTGTAGAAGGCACTAGAGTGGTGCCCGACACGATCAGTGGGCAAAGTAAACCATCTCCCACCCACCACCCGGGCCGCCGTGAGGCCTGGTGGAAGTTTGTCTGATGAATTTCCCGATTTATTTTATGTGAACCATGCGTTTCCCAAACTTGAGTAACTGAACCAACGCCGATCGTCAAACTGGAACTTTCAGGTAACTAACATTTGCAAAGCATGTGGCTGTTTGTATATGCGTACTGCTAATACTTTCTTGCATCAGGAAACAAGGAAATTAATTAACATTGAGCCAGTAATTTCAGAAGATACCAAATGAGTAGGTGCACACCACTGCTTGATACCTGCTTGATGGGGTTCTGGGAGTTCTACTCCCCAAGCCCGGCCCGAGGCCAGGTTCGACTTGTGAGAGTTTGGTCCACCAGGCTGTTGCTTGGAGCAGCTCGCAGGGCCACATACCCACCGCAGCCCGGCTGATCTGGAACTTCTCTTAGAAAACAGTCCAGTTTTCTCTTGAAGATGTCCACGGTTGTTCCGGCAATATTTCTTATAGTCGCTGGGAGGACGTTGAACAACCGCGGACCTCTGATGTTTATACAGTGCTCTCTGATTGTGCCTATGGCACCTCTGCTCTTCACTGGTTCAATCTTGCATTTTCTTCCATATCGTTCACTCCAGTACGTTGTTATTTTACTGTGTAGATTTGGGACCTGGCCCTCCAATATTTTCCATGTGTATATTATTTGGTATCTCTCTCGTCTCCTTTCTAGAGAGTACATTTGGAGAGCTTTGAGACGATCCCAATAGTTTAGGTGTTTTATCTCGTCTATGCGTGCCGTATATGTTCTCTGTATTCCCTCTATTTCAGCAATCTCTCCTGCTCTGAAGGGGGAAGTGAGTACTGAGTAGTACTCGAGACGGGACAACACTAGTGACTTGAAGAGTACAACCATTGAGATGGGATCCTTGGATTTGAAAGTTCTCGTAATCCATCCCATCAATTTTCTGGCTGACGTAATATTTGCTTGGTTATGCTCCCTAAACGTTAGATCATTGGACATCATTATTCCCAAATCCTTGACATGCTGTTTTTCTATTACGGGAAGATTCGATTGTGTTTTGTACCCTGTATTATGTTTCAGATCCTCATTTTTGCCGTACCTGAGTACCTGAAATTTATCACTGTTAAACATCGTGTTATTTTCTCCTGCCCAATCGAAAACTTTGTTGACATCTGCTTGTAGTTTTTCAATGTCTTCAGCAGAGGTAATTTTCATGCTGATTTTTGTGTCATCTGCAAAGAACGACATGAAGCTGTGATGTATATTTTTGTCTATATCAGATATGAGAATAAGGAACAGTAGCAGTGCAAGGACTGTACCTTGAGATACAGAGCTTTCAACATCGCTTGGACTCGATTTTATCTGACTGACTGTTACTCTTTGTGTTCTGTTCGTCAGGAAATTGAGTATGAACTGCAGATTGGCAAGGATTTCCTGTACATTAAAATCCATCATCAACATCCTTCTCAATACGTAAGATCATTTTAAATAACTGCTCTCCTGAAAAAACATTCAATATTTTTATTTTGTCACAGATGTGACCAGGAATGTAACTAACCATTGTTAAAATCACACTTCCTTTACTCTCCAATCTAGTAGATTCAGCCAATGAAGCTGGCATCATGTCATCCATATCCATTAACATAGCTGCTGCCTGCTGGGGATCAAACATGAAATAGTCTTTTTCTTCTTCCCGAACAGGATTCTGAAATCATGTAAAAATTTTTCATTAAATAGTGAGGAAAGGAGTGAGATAAACAAAAGCTACAATGAATATAAAAATAAACAATGTTCAGTATCATTACAAAGTTAACTATCTAGTAAATACTAAGTTTTAGACATCCCTGAAGCAAAAGTGAAAATGTGAACTACTAAATGCAAGGGGAATGAGTAAATGCATGTCTTTACCAATGTTTGGAAAAGTTTCTCTTTACCAAAAGAAACTGAATGCTCAAATAAACCCCAGCATGACTTAGTGAGTTTGTATGGAGTGCTATACAGGTACTTGCTACTACAAGTAAGACTTCTATTATTACTAATAATTATTAATAATACTAATACTCAACTTAAGACTTTGTAGACTAAATACTGTAAAGTGGTGACATTTTAGTATATATATTTTTTTAATGATAAACACACCTGTGATGCTAAAATGTCAGTTCTTGAGTCAGCCAAGCTCTCTCCTCTGGATTTGTCAGCAAAATATCCAGATTTGGTGAAGTCTGTCTGAGCAGTGGCACTTTCAAGTGTATACTGAAATTAAAAAAAAAATAAAAATAAAAAAAAGGTTCCATAAAAAAAAAAAAAAAAAAAAAACTAGGGAATGGAGGAGACTGAACAATGAGGGAAGGAGGGAATTACTATTAATACCAATGACTGCATTCAAACAATAATCCATACAAAACCACAGCTATTCCACTACCATGAGGTAGTCATCAATGTGCATTCACATGTTCAGAGTGCAAAATGTACATAATATATTTGCTGCTTATCACACATGATAATCACTAGACTGTATCATGCACATGATACATTTGCTGCTGAGAACACACACATACGCATGCTAATCACTAGACTGAATGCTCTAATTACTGGGACTAAAATGAGGATAAATAAGAGACAAGAAATTAAGTGGATATCCTGGAGGTAAAATTTAAGTCTTCAAAGACCATGAAGAAAAATATGCTGGAACCCATTAACTGGATTCCAGTTTTTTAGATTCTCAAATAAGCCATACATAAAAATTTCAAGTTGTAAGTCCAATTAACCTGAGCATGTTCAGTTAAGGGAGGTTAACCCTTAATATACATGAAGTATTGGCAGAATTCAGCACCAGAGGACGGACACTTTATTTATACCAAATAACAAAAAGTTTATTGATATTGATTTCCTACATATACACTGGTGCATTCTTTTTAAAGAGTTCGAATCACATTAATTCTTATGTGTAACATTTAAAAACTTTAGATTTTGATACAATTTTATTTGCAATGGCTAGCCCATAGGATAAACCTCCAGTCCAAATTTCAGCATTGTAATTCGAAAGGAAAAAAAAAAAAAAAAAAAAAAACAGCGTTGAATGTAATGAAACGCCATTTTCTAAGACCTGTAAGCTCCCCAGAGCTATACTGGGCTGATGTGTATATATTAGACCGTGGCAACAGTCAATCGAAGAAGTTCTAGGCCTACCGGGAAATAGAGCCAGAACCTGGCCACCTCAAGAGAGGCACGAGGAGCAATGGCCTAAAGACACCCCCGTGTAATTGGAAGTAGTCTTTGCCTGCCATCTACCAGGTCATGCACCCAGAAAGGTGGGAATTCCAAAACAAACTACTGCTGATTAAATAATTGCAAACCGAAAGCCAAACTAGTAACAGAACGCTGCAATCAAAATCAAGGAAACCAGTATGACGTCACCACAAGCACCGCGCATCTGTCTGCGCAACCCCCTTTCCCCGGAAGGGGGACAAAGGGGTCCCAGACCTCCGAGCCGGCAACTCTTCCCAGTTCACAGGCTGTTGTGAGGGGGAAACGGTCGATCGACTCTGGCTCCATCCTTTGAGCAGTGCTGCAGTGCGGTGGTGGTGTTTTATTTTGGTATCGTGCGAGCCAGGAGTAATACAAGAGTACTGGGGCTGCATGCACCTAGGGCCGCCTTCCCTAGGTGCCCTGTAAGTACTGCCCTTGTGGCTTTAGGGTTATCTTCCCTGAACCGTTCGGGAACTACCTCCGCGTGGTTCTGTCACTGCTCGGTGATTGCCCACCCATGGGGGTTCTGCTGGGGTGGTTCTTGCTCCTTTTTTTCCTTGGGTAGGAGGTACTTTCGTCACTGGCAGGGGTGCGAGGTACTATGCAGCTGTCTGATATACGCATAGCGACCGGTTCTGTTCTACAGGAGACATTGTGCTTTTGCTGTTTTTTTTTTTATTTTGGTTTTGTTTTGCCTGGCATGGGTCTGCCAGGTGTGGCGGTAGGACCACTTGTATGATTTTGGTGGCCCTCCACTAGGTTCCCGTGCTTGTACATGTTGCAGGAGTTCAGACTTTAGTTTGTTTGCTTGGTAGCTCTGGGATAACCGGTTAGCAGTACCTCGCCTAGGCTTCCCTTAGCAGTTAGCCTAAGGGCCCAGGAAACCACCTTGGGGGGCTCAGTGGTCTTATGGAAGAGACCCCAGAGTCCCACCTTGCCTTGTGCGAGTTTGAAGGTTGCTCTGTCCCCTTGACTCAGGGTGACACTCACCATCTTTGTTTCCGCCATTCTGCTTGTTGGGTCAATGACACCTTTGACCCGGAGTCCTGCGAGGGGTGTTCCTTGTTTGTACTCCAAATCACCCAGTCCACTGAGATTGTTATTAGGGTGCAAGCAGCTTCAGCGTTGCATGCAAGGTTTAGGTTGCTGCACCGTGCAAGGTTGCTTGCCTTTCCGGATGCCCCGCTTTGGTTATAGGGACCCAGACTTGGGGTTGTTAGTCTCCTCGACTTTGGTTTCATCTGCTCCCCCTAGTCCTTCCCCTGTTGCGGTTCATCCTGCTCCCTCCCCCCTACTTCCGGCTCCCAAACGTCTGAGGGGTTTCAGAGTCAGGGCAGGGTTTGCCTGGTGGCGAGTCTCGGGCAGCTTTGGGGAATGCCCCTTCTGGATCAGCGGCGGAGGCATTCGAGCCTGTTCCTCCTGCTGGAGCCCTTGGGCCATGCCAGCGTGCCCCCTTCATCCCAGCTTTTCCGGCGGACTCTGCCTTTTCCCTAGAGGCAAAGGGTTTGGAGGACAGCTCGGCCCCGGGTCCTGACGCCGAGGTTCCTCGGGCCGGGGAGGAGTTGACTTGGGGTGCTTGGGCCCTGTTTGACCCCACTTGGGTGTTGGTACCCTTGACGCGGGGCTTGTTGTTACAGGGGAAGGGGTTTTCCAATTCCCCTCTCCTTGTACGAGTTTGATATGGGTGCGACTCCTCCTCGGGTTTGGTTCTGGGTTCTCTTGGGTTCCACGGTTCCCTCCTTGCAGAGGTTTTCAGCTTCCCGCATCACGCCAAAGGTGGCGCGGGAAGCCCGTGCAGCTTACCTCTTGCAAGACCCGGATTACGCCTCGGCAACGGATCCATCCTTCTTTCGAGTATGGCTCCTCGTTTTCCTTCTGGATGCATTACGAAGTGCCGGAGTCTTCCTGGCTGGCGGACTGCCCTTTCTTTTCTTTAAGGGCGTGGCACTCGTTTTGTCGGACCTGTGTGCTTGAATGGCGGGAAGTGTCTCCAGTTGTTCAGGTTTATCTGGGGGCGAATTTGAGCACCTCAATGTGTGCTTGTTCGCCTCAGCTTCACATGCAGGTTCCCTCCCTTTTGGCGTCCCTGGTGACCGAGGATTTACGCGCCCGTAGCATTTGCCTTCGGTCTTGCGTTTCTTTTCTCTGCTTACCGACGGCGACGAGCGACGAGCTTACCGCTTTCGTTGCCTTCCATTTGGCTTGAATCTGGCACCTCGAGTGTTCACACGCTCCCTTATGATAAAAGTGCCTTAAGATAAGTGAATATATATATATATATATATATGTCGTACCTAGTAGCCAGAACGCACTTCTCAGCCTACTATGCAAGGCCCAATTTGCCTAATAAGCCAAGTTTTCCTGAATTAATATATTTCCTCAATTTTTTTTCTTATGAAATGATAAAGCTACCCATTTCATTATGTATGAGGTCAATTTTCTTTTATTGGAGTTAAAATTAACGTAGATATATGACCGAACCTAACCAACCCTACCTAACCTATCTTTATAGGCTAGGTTAGGTTAGGTAGCCGAAAAAGTTAGGTTAGGTTAGGTTAGGTAGTCGAAAAACAATTAATTCATGAAAATTTGGCTTATTAGGCAAATCGGGCCTTGCATAGTAGGCTGAGAAGTGCGTTCTGGCTACTAGGTACGACATATATACATACACACACACACACACACACACATATATATATATATATATATATATATATATATATATATATATATATATATATATATATATTTATATATATCAGAGATGCCACAGTCCCAACCTCCAGGTATGGCATATATATGTCACACATTTCCTCTTCAGATTTCTACACTTTGAGGATAATGACACCCAAAATAAGCAACAATACAAAATCAAGCACATCTTCTCGTGCCTCACTAACAAGTACAATGTGCATGCACATCTATATTATAGTGTATGGCAAAAATAATATGGCCATATTTTCTCTTATAAATTAATCAGATCATGTTAGGAAATCATGCACAAGGATATTTTTAATTTATCACATATAGCACGTACTTCAGGTTGAGAGTTGGAGTAATGGCGAGAGCGAGACATCTGAGTGCTAATGGAGAATCCGCCATGTTGCGTAAGTCCATGTACAGAATGTCCACCAAGTGTTGTTGATGTAGTAGAATATCCCGAACTACTTGAGGACGATGACCTAGAATTTGGAAATGTATCCTGATTACCTTGATGAAATATGCCAAAATTTATAGCCCCTCATTTTTAAAATACATGAAGTTACCAAAATCGACTTAATTAATTAAGACCAGAACAAAAAATAATATTCAGCACAAACTCTTGTATATTAGGCTGAATGTTTTGTATTGTATATAAGTATCCAAAGTTGCACCAAGAATATCAGCATAGGAAGTAACGTGTACTGGCCTGTACTAATATTGCCACAAGACCAATAATTATATTTTCACAAGAAAACAAATGTCATTGGAATTGCAAAATTGTTCATAGTGGTTTGCTAACATTATTATTATTCATAGTATCCAAAGAATTAAAAAGCCTTCCTTATGCCACCTTGATGGCCAGTGTTCAAGTCCCCTGGTGGATGGAATGTCTAAAAAGTCAACCCGTTCTTGCACTTGCTTATAGTCAATATTGGCTTATTTAATAAGTGCATATGTGACATACTAATTGCATGTGAATATTTTAGTTTACCTTCGAAAGCTTCATAGAAAACACCTACCTCACCTAACCTTCTTAGTATGTTAAGATAAGCATCTTATTGCTTCTTATTTACAATTATTACTTAACCTATCACCGGTATAGGTTAAGTAATAATTATAATTAAGAAGCAATAAGATGCTTATCTTAACATACTAAGGTGGTTAGGTGAGGTCGGTGTTTTCTATGGAGCTTTTCAAGGTAAACTAAAATATTTACAATCAATTAGTATGTCACATATGCACTTATTAAGTAAGCCAATATTGACTATAAGCAAGTGGGAGAACGGGTTGAAAAAGTTATATATATATATATATATATATATGTGTGTACTCACCTAGTTGTGTTTGCGGGGGTTGAGCTCTGGCTCTTTGGTCCCGCCTCTCAACCGTCAATCAACAGGTGTACAGATTCCTGAGCCTATCGGGCTGTCATATCTACACTTAAAACTGTGTATGGAGTCAGCCTCCACCACATCACCCCCTAATGCATTCCATTTGTCAACCACTCTGACACTAAAAAAGTTCTTTCTAATATCTCTGTGGCTCATTTGGGCACTCAGTTTCCACCTGTGTCCCCTTGTGTGTGTTCCCCTTGTGTTAAATAGACTGTCTTTATCTACCCTATCAATCCCCTTCAGAATCTTGAATGTGGTGATCATGTCCCCCCTAACTCTTCTGTCTTCCAGCGAAGTGAGGTTTAATTCCCGTAGTCTCTCCTCGTAGCTCATACCTCTCAGCTCGGGTACTAGTCTGGTGGCAAACCTTTGAACCTTTTCCAGTTTAGTCTTATCCTTGACTAGATACGGACTCCATTATGGGGCTGCATACTCCAGGATTGGCCTGACATATGTGGTATACAAAGTTCTGAATGATTCTTTACACAAGTTTCTGAATGCCGTTCATATGTTGGCCAGCCTGGCATATGCCGCTGATGTTATCCGCTTGATATGTGCTGCAGGAGACAGGTCTGTGTGTGTGTGTGTGTGTTGTACCTAGTAGCCAGAACGTCGTACTCGGCCTACTATGCAAGGCCTGATTTGCCTAATAAGCCAAATTTTCCTGAATTTATATATTTTACTCTTTTTTTCTTATGAAATGATAAATCTGGCTATTTCATTATATATAAGTTAATTTGTTTAAATTTGAGTTAAAACTATCGTAGTTATATGACCGAACCTAACCCCAACCCTACCTAACCTATCTAAACCTAACCTAAACTAACACAAGTACGTCAATAATTTATGTTCCTAATATAATATAATAATAATTAAAATAAACTAATTGGAAACAATTTATTGAAAATAAAAAAAAAATCACTCGGACTATTAGGCAAAACGGGTCGTGCATAGTAGGCCAAGAACTGCGTTCTGGCTACTAGGTACGACATTATATATATATATATAAATATATATATATATATATGTCGTACCTAGTAGCCAGAACGCACTTCTCAGCCTACTATGCAAGGCCCGATTTGCCTAATAAGCCAAGTTTTCATGGTTTAATTATTTTTCGACTACCTAACCTACCTAACCAAACCTAACCTAACTTTTTCGGCCACCTAACCTAACCTAACCTACAAAGATAGGATAGGTTAGGTTAGGTAGGGTTGGTTTGGTTCGGTCATATATCTACGTTAATTCGGTCATATATCTACTCCAATAAAAAAAAAGTGACCTCATACATAATGAAATGGGTAGCTTTATCATTTCATAAGAAAAAAAATTGAGAAAATATATTAATTCATGAAAACTTGGCTTATTAGGCAAATCGGGCCATGCATGGTAGGCTGAGAAGTGCGTTCTGGCTACTAGGTACGACATATATATATATATATATATATATATATATATATATATATATATATATATATATATTTATTATATAAATATAAATTACCATACATTTTAAATAAATTATCATACTTTTAAATAAATTACCATACTTCGAGACGGTTCGTAACCCGAAAATTCGTAAACCGAAGCGAATTTCCCCATAAGAAATAATGGGAAATGAATTAATACGTTCTGACTCCGAAAAAACTTCACTTCAAAGAAAATTTTATACCTAATTCACCCAAATCTTCACTACAAAAGTATGTTCAAATTATTACTTACCCTTGCTGATGACTCCTGTTGGCGTATGGAAGATAGTGAGGAGGGGGGAAGGAGAAGAGGTGTTACTGTTTGGAAGGGGAGTCCTCTTCCATTATAACATCAGGCAGTGAAGACTTGTGGAGTGCACTCTCTGGCACGTTTTGCCTGCATACCACTAGGTCCTGGTTGTGACTCACTGCTTGATTTTCTCACTTATCTCGCAAGGAAACATTCCATTGCAGATAGTTTTTCCGTTCTTTGCAACACTTGTTTGTAGTGAGGCATCACATTGTCATTAAAAAGATCAATGCAACGGCCTACTACAGCTTTATCTGGGTGATTCTTTTCAGCAAAACTTTTCAGTCCTTCCCATACTGCACACATTTTCGTAATTAATGAGGAAGGGACATTATCTACTGCCTCCTCTTCCTCCCCTGTGAAGATTATTTGTACTGCCTAGCTAGTTCAACAACACGAGTACCATTTTCATGCTTACGAATGATCTCGTTTTTCCTCTAAGGTCATTCTCACATGTAATTTCTTGCCTTGACCCTTACCACTGGCTTTCTTGGGACCCATGGCGAGATATATAATAACTTTTATGCTCAAATGGCCAAAAATCCGATAAAAAACTGTAAAGTCTAGTGAAGAATTCAGGCGGGATAGTCACTGGGCGCGAGGCAGTAATAAACTGAGGCGCGATCGCCGTGCCACCACGCGCTAGGTCGGCCGTATGCGTATCAACAAACTCGTATCCCGATTCAAATTTTCCTAACAAATCGGGCTTGTAACCCAAACATGTTCGTAACCCGAAGTACCACTGTACCATGCTTATACCTAAGCTTATATACTGTATAAGCTCAAGTATAGCATGATCTTATACAGCATACACTATATAAGCACGAGTTTATACAGCATACATACTGTATTAGCTCATACTTAACACTTTGGCGGACCCAGCCCGCCAGCCCTCAACTAGGCTGAGTGGGCCCCAGCGTTTCATGGGAGCGCACAGTAATTCTGAAAAGTGTATACTCTCTTCAATTTTGTCACCTCAATTCTCGTCCAGGGTTTTTCAATTTGGTATCATTGTGTTCGCAATAGAATTCTCTACACGACTAAAGACATATAAACTCCAAAAGGACATCTCAATTCTCCTCCTAGGTCTTTCATTTTGGTAACATTGTGTTCGCAATAGAATTCCCTACAGGAGTATATGCAAATATGAAGTCCAAAAGCCAGGCGTACCACCCACAGCAAACACAAAGTGATGGAACATAATCCCAGTGAGCGCTAATAAAATGGGTATACTGTTTTCAACTTTGTTACCTCAATTCTGGTCCTAGCTCTTTCATTTTGGTATCAATGTATTCGCAATGAAATTCCCTACAAGAGTATATGCATATAATATCCAAAACCGCTGTGCGCCCCTCCCGAAGCCGCCGCCAATTTGCCGCCGAAAACGACACAATGCTGCGTCGTTACCGAGATTACGTCTACTAAAAAAATGACGCAATGCTGCGTCGTTCCCGTGCGAAAGTTAAGTGAAATATTTAGTAAACAGAGCTTATTTCTTATCAAATGTTAGAAGGTTACCATGCACAATACCTGTATTCTCTTGATGCTTCCATAATAGGAGAAAGTCCAGTCTTTATTGCAGGACATGGAGAGAGCACAGGAGGTGGCTGTATTGTTGGAGGAGGCATTAGATCTTCACTCTCTTTTTTCTTTACTTCATTTTCATCAATTTTCTCATCATCTTCTATGAGAGGGAAGTGGCTGCAAAATGATACATGTTGAATCAAATGCTTTAAATCAATATAGAGGGAAGTACCAATTCTTAATATTTTATACTTCACAAGACAACTTTGTCAACACTATTGCATACCGCAGGTGGAGCTAGTTTTCTTGTCTGAGGCAAGCAACACCATTCGACCACTTGTTCAGTAATATGAACAAATGTTCATACTCATTCTTTGTTTGCAAACCTACTTAAACAGGTGGAAAATTTATTTTGAAATAAAGTATCTGGATACAGTATATATATTCTTGAATAGACACAATATAAATTGAATAAATGATGCTGGGGTGTGCCCCTAGGTCACAAATTTTGGTATATAAACATTTAGATGCTACAGTTATTGATGATCATATTATTAACCCTTAACACTTAAACTGCACAACACGTCACATGACGTGTTGAGTAACTTATCCAAAAGTGCGCATTATGTCAGATGATGTGTTGGAGTACTACGCAAGATTTAAACGGCCCGCGGATACACGGCATTCACCTCACCTTCATCAAGGCTCTTGTAAACAGATGCCATTAAAAAAAAAAAAAAAAATCGTGGGCCACATTCCTGGGTGTGAGGACCTCAGTACTAAGTGAGCCACCAAGGCTGATGCACACAGCATGAGCTCACAGCACTGCTGTTCAGCTTGTGACCACAGCATCGCCTAAAAATGCCATAATATATATGTACATGCTATTATTTAGCGATGATAGTATTACAGAAGACCCCTGACTGATAAAAATAACCAGGATTCTGATAATAGCAGGATTGTTGCGATAATTAGGGCTGTAGTGGGAGGAGTAATCTTGGTGGGGAGGGAGGTAGCCTTGTCTGCTGACTCTGTGTGACCACCTATTACTGTCTGGACTCACTATACTAGCTTAGTTGTTCGCTATGGTGAACAAAACAAGCAGATACTAATACATAACATCTGTAAATAGTGAATAAAAGCAAAAACAGTATGGTGGGGAGTCAGGTGAGGTGAGGGAAGGAGTGACAGACAGTAGCGGACTGCCACTGCCACTCAGCATACGAACTTAGTGATTCGTTATGGTGAACACAAATGTAGATACTGTACTTGTATACAACAGCTAAGCCCTGATCCTAGAAAAATAGAGGGATCAGAAGTTAGTAAATACACAATATGCAGTCATATTCAATGACACATGTTTAAAAGAAAACCTGCTGCCAGTATACACTTATATATAACGTGTATATATAGTGTAATAGCAGCAAGAGGAGTGTGGGGAGGAGCCATTATGGTGAGGGAGGTGGCAACATCTGCATGATGCATCATGCTGGGTAGGGGTGGCCACTATGCTCTTTGGGCACTATACCAGCTTTGTTGAACAGTAATGGTGAACAGAACATGTAGACACTTATATATAACGTCTGTATATAGTGAATAAAAGCAAAAATAGGATGGCGGGAGGAGAATGTGGGAAAGTGAGGAGTCATTGAGGCAGGGAGTGAGCAACCAAGGCTGGCACATGCAGCATGAGCTAACAGCACAGCTGTTCAGCCTGTGACCACATCATCACCTAACAATGTAAAAATATATATGTAACTGGTATTATTTAGTCATGATAGTACAGTATTACAGAAGAGCCTGACTGTGATAAAGATTGTGTACAATGTTCTGATATCAGTGAATGCAATGCTGTTCAAGATGTTCACAGCGCTAGCCACAGCACACTGCCATTGTTTCATCCATCTAAGAATCTTTAAACGACTTCTCACATTCCTTTACAAAATAAACTTATGGAAAATTATTCATTTACAAGATTTAGTGACAAGGATTCTGATAATAGCAGGATTGTGGTGAGAATTAGTGATGTGCATAGAATGGTAGGAGGAGTAATCTTGAAAAAGAGGCAGTCCTGCTTGTTGACTCTCTGAGGCGTCCTGTTATCGTCTGGACTAACCATACCCGTGAAAACACGTGGTGCCAGGTTCAAACCGAACGGAAGACAACGAAAGCGGTAAGCACGAAGCCCACAACAAAACCGAGCCAGTCCCTGAACCCTGGATGAATCAGGATGTGCCAATAAGCGTCCCGGAGGTCCAGGGACACCATCCAAGCACCAGGCTCCAACAGGAGCCAAACCTGGGACAGCGTGTTTATCCGAAAGGAGGGGCAATGAACCCCAGGGGTTCAGACGGGACAAGTGCAGAATGAACCGCAGGTCCACGCAGTTCTGTTTCAGGACTGGAAGCAGACGGGAAATCCATCTGAGGGACATCGCCGTTTCGACCACGCCCAAGCGAACCCACTCCAAGATGACCTGACAGCGCGCAGGGAAAGTAGCCTGCCCTGCCAGCCCCGAACCCCCCCCCGCAGGGGGAGGGGCCACCCAACGCCACTGGAGGCCGTGCGAAACGACCTGAAACGCCTACAAATCGTGAGACCAGGCATGAGCGAACAGCGCAAGCCTTCCCCATCGCCCCGTCAATGGGGCGAAAGGGCCGGCGCACCTTACGAGACCCAGAACCTCACACAGAGCGAACACGGCGCAGACCAGACGAAGGCGGGTCCGAAGGAGGAGCCGAACCCGAACTGGACACCTGTGGCCTACCACAACGAGAGGAACCCTGAGCCCTGGTACAACCCTTCCGGGAAAGCCCAGCACGGGACCTCCGGAGAACCAGCAAGTCCGACATAGGACGGCATGAAGCCGAAGCAGACTGAATAAACTGCACAACAGCTGAAGCCTCAAACAAGAGAGGGCAAAAAGGGTAAGACATCCTGAGAGTCAAGGCCCCAAGCGGATTCCATAGAGGAGGCAAGCACCGACTGCCGACACACGAGCCGGGAGGCATAAAACAGAGTCACCGACTCCCACAAGATCGGTGCGAAAAGCTTCAGCAAGGCAGCCGATGAGTGAGCCGCCGAGGCCAAGACGCCAGACCCAGGAACAGCCCAAAGCGCCCCCACAGCCTCCGTGAGCCAGTCAGAAGACAGCTCCAGGACATGCAAGGCCGCAACCAAAAGGCCCCGAGCACACAAGTCCTCCGCCACCTGCGCCGCCAAAAGGAGGGGAACCTGCACATGGAGCTGAACGACAGCAACATCCCGGGAAACGGCAGGAGCAAACAAGCACTCATTGAGGTGCTCAAGGTCGCTCCCAGGAAAACCTGAAGCACCGTTGAAGCCTCCCGCCACTAAAGCGTGCGGGAACGGCAGAAGGCGTGCCAAGCTTCCAAGGCAAAGACAGGACAGTATGCCAGCTAGGACGACTCCGGAACCTCGAAACGGAGCCAGAAAGGGAACAAAGTGCCAAATCTGAAAGCCGAGGCATAATCCGGGTCACGCAGGAGATTTGCTGCAAGGGCCGCCTGCACCGCAGCAGGTTGGATGCGATAAGCCGAAAACCTCCGAAAAAATGGAACAGAACCAGGGGAGGGGCAGAAACCAAATCCAACTCGGACGCAGAGGGAAGGGGGGGGGGGGGGACCACTCCTTGTAACAGTAAGCCTCGCTCAGAGGGTAGAAAAACCCAGGTGGGGTCCAGCGGGGCCCAAGGCCCACAAGTCAGCCCCTCCCCAGCCCCAGGGTCCTCTTCCACAGAACCCAAAGTGAGTCCTTCCCCCAGGCACCGACCCCACTAGACAAGGCCGGCGCAGCCATAGAAGCCGGATAGAATGAGGCCCACTGGTCAGACCCCAGAGGCTTCGGCCGGGAGAGGACACTCGAATGCCTCTATTACCACACCAGAAGGGGCATCCCCGAGGCTGTCCGAGTCTCAAGACCAACTAAGCCCTGCCCCAACTCTGAAACCCTTAGATGTTTTGGGACCTTTAAAAAAAAAAAAAAAGCCTTGCACCTGGCAGTGTTGCAGGCTATAATCACAAATGCTGCCCAGGGGTTTAAACAATACTGTACATAAATGATTATATATATATATATATATATATATATATATATATATATATATATATATATATATATATATATATATATATATATATATATATATATATATATATATATATAAACTTATCTATATCACTGTTGAATGATTTTAAGACTAACTTTAATTATATTTATACACACACACACATTACAAAGGTGTGCTTTTACAAAATGAGGATCCCAGAGCACACCACAGAATACATATAGATCATCTATGACACTATCAACACCAAATAATTGCAGTTACCTATTTTATTCATCATTATTAAGTGGTGCTGTGGACCCTAGATGCATGCGCCAGTCTTGGTCGCTGTCTCAGTACTGAAGCTCTCACAACCAGTATGGATGCTGCCGATTCTTTTTGTAAGATTGATTCTGTTTACTGGAGTCCTGAGGCACAGGCTGCGGATCCTGTGTACCCATGGGCGTTTTGCACCATCCCCTATACCTAACAGCATCTTATGATGTACTGCGCATCCCAATCAGATGCCTTATGGTGCTCTGCGCAGTGCAGTGGTTACGTGTCATACTACCAAGCTTCACCAGTTGCAGAGTTCTTTTTGCCTACCAGAGACCATGAGCCAAAACCTTCCCCGCCCCTCCTCAGAGAGGTGCAGAGAGCAATGACATATGATCTCTTTACATTTAAAGGATATCATCTTTGCCATCACCAGGGAAGGCACCAAGAAAAATAAGCAAATCAAAACAAACCACTGCCTTGTTTAAAAACACAACCAAAGCATCCAAAATGACAAAAGAGCTCCCAATAATAAAAAGAAACAACTTAACAAAACTGCTCTCCCCCCCCCTGCTAGTAAACTCCATCTCCACCCTTTTGTGTGTGTGGTGTGTGTGTAATTACCTAAGTGTAGTTACAGGATGAGAGCTACGCTCGTGGTGTCCCGTCTTCCCAGCACCCTTTGTCATATAACGCTTTGAAACTACTGACGGTCTTGGCCTCCACCACCTTCTCACTTAACTTGTTCCAACCGTCTACTGCGCCGAAGGTGAATCCATTTGCGAAGGTGAATTTTCTTATATTTCTTCGGCATCTGTGTTTAGCTAGTTTAAATCTATGACTCCGGGGCTCACCCAGAAACTGACACTTCATTATATTCATCATGATTTTCTGTAGGAAACCCTGTTTGCTCCCTATCCGCAGAGCATGACAATAATGGGAAACCTACCAGAGAGGCGAGAGCAATACTGGTATCAACTCTACTTCAAGTTTTAAGGTGGTGACAGGCACCTCAATGCAACACATGGCCACAGAGGACCAGGATCGTTCACAAGATACCTAGTGGCCAAGATCACAGAGGACCTCCTACACCCATGTCATGTTATGGAATGTGGAATAGGAGAACATAGACCCCACACAACCTATATATTATGTGAGAAATCTTTAAAGAATTCTGATAAAGAAAGAGATCTAGGGGTGGTTCTAGATAGAAAACTATCACCTGAGGACCACATAAAGAATATTGTGCAAGGAGCCTATGCTATGCTTTCTAACTTCAGAATTGCATTTAAATACATGGATGGCGATATACTAAAGAAATTGTTCATGACTTTTGTTAGGCCAAAGCTAGAATATGCAGCTGTTGTGTGGTGCCCATATCTTAAGAAGCACATCAACAAACTGGAAAAGGTGCAAAGACAAGCTACTAAGTGGCTCCCAGAACTGAAGGGTAAGAGCTACGAGGAGAGGTTAGAAGCATTAAACATGCCAAAACTAGAAGACAGAAGAAAGAGGTGATATGATCACTACATACAAAATAGTAACAGGAATTGATAAAATCGACAGGGAAGATTTCCTGAGACCTGGCACTTCAAGAACAAGAGGTCATAGATTTAAACTAGCTAAACACAGATGCCGAAGAAATATAAGAAAATTCACCTTCGCAAATAGAGTGGTAGACGGTTGGAACAAGTTAAGTGAGAAGGTGGTGGAGGCCAAGACCGTCAGTAGTTTCAAAGCGTTATATGACAAAGAGTGCTGGGAAGACGGGACACCACGAGCGTAGCTCTCATCCTGTAACTACACTTAGGTAATTACACCCCCTGCCCGAACATCTGCCTAAGACATATTACAAAAAACTGCTGACAAGGCAGCATACTTGCTAACATCATGAGTACGAGTGTAGACTGCAGGCTACCTAGCTTTAATGTCACTGCAGACAACCTGAGAAATACGAGCTCTGGAAAAAGAGAACCAAAGAAACCGGATCAACCCACAAGTCCACTGAAATGGAACCGGTGGCTTGAACACCAGACATTGTGCTTACGCACAATGCTTAGGTGCAGTGGCGTAAAGCTGCCACTGGACAAAGCATATGAGGCACCCCTGGCTGATGCAACCAAGCCTCCACAACCAAAGAACCCCTCAGGATGCCTGCTATCTCATTCTTCGTCAGAAAAGAGGAGCAGGACGCGACAACGGGAAGCAAAGGAAATAATAAACAAAGCCTTCCAAAAATAATCCCGAACCAGAGGGGTCACAGTAAACCAATGTGAAGAAAAGAAAAGAAAGAACCAAGTCCAAAGACCAGGTAGGCTCAGGCAGTGCATGAGAAGGCTGGAGGTGAAACAAACCACGAGAAAGTTTGAGAAAGGAGTCAGAAGTAAGGTCCACTCTGAACGTGCAACAAGTAGCAGCTCTGCCAAATGCAGCACTATAAGAAACGACAGTATTAGACATCGGATGCCTATCGAGGAAAAGCCAAGAAAGAAGACAGAACAAAGACAGCTGAAAACAAAGGATTGTGATAACAATGAGTGAGAAAAAGCAAACACGCTTTCAACTCACTTGAATGCTTTCATGACAGCCATTGTAAAATCTTCTCCAATGACTGTGGCTTGTGGAACCTTAACAAGTGTCCAAGGGCTGGGAGTTGAGGCTACATTTGCCATCTTCGCAAAAGCATCTTCATTGTTTGGTATTTTCATGGTGAAATCTGCCATGCTTAAACCATCCAGGGGAACAATGCCTTCAATATCATCGTTCTGTAAGAAAATAATTATATTTTATTATTATTTTTTGTTATTCTGAAAGGAAACCTGAACTTACTTCTTTTTTTCATAGATGTCACATGTCCCCTTGTTTGAGTATCATACACGTGTTAAATAGTCTGTCTGTATATACCCTGTTGATTTCCCTGAGAATTTTGTATGCAGTAATCATGTCTCACTTAACTCTTCTGGCTTCCAACGGTATGACTAGTGTAGTCTTGGGAACCACTGCATTTGTTATACCTGACAACTTTGTTTCAGCGAGTGTTATTACATCCAAGTTTTCCTCCTGTGCTCTGTCACTAAATTCTCTTGCTTTATTTGTAATTCCATCTATGTTTGGGTACATTAGTTTTAAGCTAACTATCTTTTATCCAGTCTGTCCAGAAGTGGAAGGATCTGAGATGTGAAGGCTGGGAGGGTCCGGGCCAGGAGGGTCTTGTGGGGTTGGGGAAACAGGGAGAGCATGTGCTGAGGGGAGCAGCAAGAGCAGGGGATGGGGGAGGTCTCTAAGGGTTATGGAGGTTTGTGTGTGCACAGTAATTACCTAAGAGTAGTTACAGGATGAGAGCTATGCTTAGGGTGTCCTGTCTTCCCAGTACTCCTGGTCATATAACGCTTTGAAACTACTGACAGTTTTGGCCTCCACCACCTTCTCATTTAACGTGTTCCAACCATTTACCACTCTGGAAAAATGAATTTTCTAATGTCTTTCTCAGCACTTTTGTTAAGTTAGCTTAAATCTAGGACCCTTTGTTTTTGAAGTGCCAGGTTTCAAGTTTTTCTTAATTTTGTTCGTAGTACCTCCAATGAATACCTGGTCAACCAGGCTGTGATTCATATGACAAGCTGCGAGCAGCCACCTCCAACAACCGAACTGACTAGACGACCAACTGGGAGGCCTGGTCAGAGACCGGACCATTGATCCCAGGAACCTACATAAGATAGACACCAGCTAAGAAGTAATAATATATCTTTTTCCTCTAACCTTGCCATATTTAATCCTTGTAACTTCTCCTTGTATCTTGTCTATCAGTTTTGGAAGATATTTAGTTTCGTGTCTTTGGACTTTTTCCAGTTTGTTTATGTCCTCAAGATATGGGCACCCATACAGCCACTGCATATTCCAACTTAGGTCTCACAAAGATTGTGAACAATTTCTTTGATATTTCACCTTCCATGTATTTAAAACAAATGCTGAAATTGGAAAGCATAGCATAGGCTTCTTGCACAATATTCTTTGTGTCCAAAAGACAGTTTTCTATCCAGAACCACCCCCTAGATTTCATTCTTTATCAGAGTTCTTTAAAGTCTTTTCACATAATTTGTAAGTTGTGTGTGGCCTATTTTCTCCTATTCCACATAACATAACGTGCCATTTATTCACATTGAATTCCATTTGCCAAGTGCTGCTCCATACACACATTCTGTCCAGATCTTCTTGAAGGGCATAACAATCTTGCTTTTTATTTACTGTGGTATCTTAGCATCATCAACAAACATGTTTATATAATTCTACACTCCTTCTGGTAGATAGTTTATGTAGACAATGAACATTATTTTCATCCATGTTAGAAGCCCCACCCTGTCACTCCTCCAGTACATTCCACTTTCCATAGTAACCTGTGGGACTCTGTCGAAAGCCTTTTCTTTATGTCCCCCACACAGGATCTTCCTATTCGAAAACCATACCATCTGTATTAAATAATTTCTCTTCAGGCGTTCTACCCATTTGGTTTTAATTATTTTCAAGTGTTTTGATTACCACACTAGTCAATGATACAGGTCAATAATTGAAAGGGTCTTCTTGGTTACTACTTTTGTAGATTGCAACTGTTTGCTTTTTTCTATATACTGTACTGTATCTGCTAAGATCCTTGTGTGAGGGAATGTACAGAGAAACAGTCATTGGAAGATTCCCCTCTCCACCATAGCCAAAGATAGCTATATAATTTTTTTCTAAAGTTTCTATGATCTTGGAATGCATTTTTTGACAATATATTAATTTAACACTTTTGCTGCCCAATGATGCAAACTGCAGCATAAAACCCAAGCACGCAGAGTTCGTGATTATGCACGGCGTCATTAATTTTAAAATTTGTAAAAATTCAATATATTGTCCCAATAATATGGGACCTATTTTAAAATATGTGCCAAGGTCTTCCCATTCTATGTATACCCCACATGGCATTCCCACCCTGCCTTGTGGGCACCCACCTACGCTGGAGGCTCACAGTTCTTGTGACCTTGCTCGTGACAGCAGCGGCCTCCCGACGAGTCGAAAAGTTTCCTTCGTTTGTTATTTTATCTCGGGTATTTGTTGCTACCGGCTTTATAAACACTGCAAATTGACTTCAAGATGGATAGTGATAAAGAACAGAGCCGATCCATGACGAAAACAGTGAAAAACACGTAGAAGGGAAAATTTATTGAGTGTTCGTCAAAAGTATAGAAAAATGAGGCATGTTCGTATATGCAAATATACCTTTACAGCATTTTATTACGAACAGTCTGTTACCAAATTTAAAAACATAGTATGAAAATTGAGGTGAGAAAGCTGAAAAAGAGCATAAACACTGGTGTGACTGTTTGCTCACCAGCAATGATCAGCCTACTTTGCGGTGAGCGGCGGGTTACCTGCTGGGCCAGCTATAGTGTCAAAGAATTTTTCTTGTATGTGCACTATGAAGTTGTCATATGAAACGTGTGTTCAGCAAGTACAGCATTAAGATTTCTAGTAACAGTAGCAATTATACACATGTATTGTATAAAACAACAACAAAACTAAACACCATACTACTTTTCAGGGAGAAAACCCTGCTGAAGAAATCTCTCCGCGATAATCTAATATATAATTTTCCTTCAAAAATAATCCAATACTGTACTTACATCAGAGACTCCGTTGGCTCCACTAAATCCACACTTTGAATCTTTTTTGTTTATTTCCATATCTTCCTGTGGACACTGATCTAGGGGTAGGATAGGAATGTTTGCTGAAGGTTGAAGGATGCCTGTGATCTGTCGATGCTCCTGTTGCTGGACCAGTCCTGGAGGTGGTCTGTTTTCATCTTGATCTTCCATGTACTGATCATTGGGGTCCAAGGCTTTACAATCCTTTAAAGAGAAAGATTCTATGTTTTCATCAGTAAATCAAACCAATTTTTATAATACTTTGCATTTTCTGATTTGGCAATGCCACATATACCGCTTTGTTATGGCACCTTAGTTTTGACTGTCTTCTCATCTTTGGTTAAAATTTTGCAAAAAAAAAGTTATACAGTGCAGCCTCGATTAACGAATTTAATCTGTTCCTGCACCAAGCTCGCCACGTGAAACGCCCGTCTTTCGAAACAAATTTCCCCATTTAAAATACTGTAATGGAAATAAAATTAATCTGTTCCACCACCGAAAAAAATCAATATGACATTCAATTTTTTAAATAAGCAGCCTATCTGACATACACTGAACAAACCATTGACATTTTTTTTTCAAATTTGTTAATTTTTTATATTTTTTTTTATAGAAAAAGGTTCTTTCAGTGTATGTCAGGTAGGCTGCTCCATTTTCTATGAAAAATTAAAAATGATATATAATTTTTTGTTTAACAAATTTAAAAAAAGGAAAAATGTCAAAAGTTGTTCAGTGTTAGTCAGGTAGCCTGCTCCATTATGACTTTTTCAAATCTGTGGGGAGCCCTTACGGCTCCCTGGAGCTTATTGGACTAATGTATGTTATATTAGACCGGGACATTAGCTATGGAGTTCAGACCTTCCAGGGACCATGAGCCAGAACCTGGACCCTTCAGAGAGGTTTCAGGGAGCAATGGGCCCCTGGAACCCCCCCCCCTTGGTTGGGGTTTTTCCTTATCTGCCATCAACCGGGGTTAGGCACCCAGAAAGGAAGGCATAACAAAACAAAACCCCACATGGTACGAAACTAACAAAAACTGAACAGAGGTAGAAACTCCCTAAAATCCTAAGGAAACAAGCAAACATTACACTTTACTGCTGCGCTGATCGTCCGCGCAGCCTTCCCCACACCGAGAGGGGGAGGGGGGCCCGGACCTCACCGCACTGGCTGCCTAGCATCAGTTAGTAAGCTAATGTCAACCGGGACAGACGCTTCTCTGGCCTCAGTTTCCTAGGCGGTGTTTGCCTTTTGTGGCATTCACTGCTGTGTGTTGTGTTGTGCGGTTGCCAGGTGATCCTCATCAGTACCTGGGCTGCATGCGCTTAGGGGCTTCCTTCCTTAAGCGCCCTGTGAGTACTGCCCCCCTGCGTGACAGGGTTATCTTCCCTGGGGCGTTCAGGAACCATTCCCTCAGAGGTTCTTGCAGCTCAACATTTGCCTCGCCCTTGGGGCCAGCTGGGGCTTGGGGCCCTTGTTTGGCCCTGGGAATGACCTGATATCGTGCTGGTTAGGGCGTCAAGGTGTTGCGCGACCTACCACCTAAGCGGCGACCAGTTCATGTTGTCTCTGGGGACCGTGTACTTTTGCAGGGTTTTTCTTTTATTTTTATTTTCATTTGCCTGGTGGGGGTCTACCTAATGGCTATAGTTCCACTAATAGTGTTTGGTGGCCCTCTGCTAGGCCCCCGTGATTGAACACGTCGCAGGGGTTTTCAGTGTTGTCCTCTACCCCCTTGTTAGTTTTGGGTGTTTAACTGGTTAGCAACACCTTGCCCGGACTTCCCGTAGTTGTTACCCCTACGGGCCCTAGAAAACCCTGTCGGGGCTCGGTGGATCATTGAATGTGTCTTTCGGGTTCCAACCCGTCTTGTGCGGGTTCGTTGGTTGCTGTGCCATTGTCTCCGGGTGACAGTTGCCTCATTTAACTCTGTCATGCTGCCTGTTGGGTCACTAACACCTTGACCCGGAGTCTTGCGAGTTATTCTCTGCTTGTTCTCCAGTATTCTCCTGATGTTATTACTGTTCAGAGTACAGGCAGCATCCACGTTGCAAACTTGGTTTAGGCTGCTGCAAAGAGCTAGGTTGGTTTCCCACTCGGATGCCCCGGGGCCGCCCCGTTTAGTTAGGGGCTGTTTGCCCTTTTCCCTCCCTGTTCCCGGCTCCTGACCGTCTGAGGGTTTTGGGGTCGGGGCGGGATTTAGATGGGACTGAGACTCGTGCGGTTTCGAGGGCTGTCTCGTTCGGGTTGGGGACAGAGGTTTTTGAGCCTGTTCCTCCTGCCAAGGCTTCTGGGTCTTAGCAGTGGCCCTTTCTTGCTGCCTTTTCCCCTGGACTCTTCCTTTTCTTAAAGGGCAGAGGGCGTGGAGGACGGCTCTGCTGCGGGTTCCCGGGGCTGTGGGGGATGCCTGCTAGCAGTTCTGGGGCTGTTTGCCCCTGCCTGGATTTTCTGCTTCTGGGCAGTTTTTCATCCATCAAGTCTGCTTGCTTCCCACATTTGCTGGCGTGTTTTTGTATCAATTGCGTCGGTCACAGCCTCCTGTTTCTTGTGGCCATTTTCTTCTGCCGGTTTCCTGGCGTGGCCACCAGCGCAACGTTACAGTTTGTTTACATGTGCCTGGGTGTGCGAGCTAGCGTCTTGGGTGAATTTTTCACCTCTTTCAGGGTTTCTTTGCTTTTCTGGAGTTTTCTGCCCATCTTCTGGGAATGCTTGGGTGTTGGTTTTTACACCGGTCACCAGTTTTCAGTTTTCTGTCTGTTTTGGGTCTGGGCCCTAGGGTTTGGACTAAGTGTCCCTGTCTGTTTATGCTTGCTCCCACACCTTGTCCCTCGGCTTTCGGTCAGTTTTGGCCATTTCCCTTGGGGGTCTGTTTGAGGGCTGTGCTTTGCCTTTCTGTGGTGTATTTCCGCCGACAAATGTGGTAGTTTGGGCTTCCCCGGGTTCGATTCTGGGTTCCTTTGGGTTCTTTGGTTTCGTTCTGGAGGTTTCTTTCTCTTGGCCCCCCCCCTCCTTAGTGGGTTCTCGGGGCTTTGTTTCCTCGTGTGTGACCCGGTTCTGCCTTCTAGTGTTCCGGGGTCTTCCTGGCTTGCAGGTTGATCTTTTTGGGTCTTAGCACTTGTTGTGGTTGTGCCTGGGCCTTGGGTTTTGTTGTCGAGGTGGGTCTTTTGATGCAGTTTTTTGCTTTCTTGGTGCCTTCTTCGCCTGGCCGGCGTGGTGCTCTCTGCCCACTGGTCGGCGTCTTGTATTTTTCTTTTCTTTATTTAATTTTCTTTTCTTTTCATGTATATGTGTACACATATATACATGTACATGTGTACACTTGTGTGTGTATGCACATGTGTACAAGTGTGTGTAATTACCTAAGTGTAGTTACAGGATGAGAACTACGCTCGTGGTGTCCCGTCTTCCCAGCACTCTTTGTCATATAACGCTTTGCAACTACTGACGGTCTTGGCCTCCACCACCTTCTCCCCTAACTTGTTCCAACCGTTTTTTCCTACACGTGCATACACGTTCCAACCGTGTATGCACATGTGTAATACACCTTGTGTGTGTGTATTTAAACATATACAGTATACTTTTTCTTTCGGAAGGGGCTCCGTTCCCTTCGCTGTTGATGGGGCGCTGGGGGAGCAGCTTGCTCGGTTGGCTCTCACATGATCCCGCAGTTAGTGGGCGTCTTTGGTTGTCTTCCGGCTTCTCCCCCTTTGGGGGGGTTCGAGGCTGGCGGGGTGGGCTTCTTTCCCTGTGCTTTGTCATGTCAACTTGGTGGGTGCGTTTGGACATGGCCGATCCACCTCATTCATTCGGGGTTCCCGTCTGCTCTATGCAGACACAGGCCTTGCAGATCTGGGGTTCTTCTGGACTTGTTCAGTCTGCGCCCTGGATTCTTTGCCCTCTTCAGAGGAGTGTTGTCTCCGGTCCGGCTTCTGTTGGGGCCGGGTGTCTGGATGGTGGCCCTGGACCTCTGGGTCACTTCTTGGCACGTTCCTCTCCAGGGTTCCAGGACTTGCACAGTTGGTGGTGGGGCTTCAGGCTTGCCGCTTTTGTTGCCTTCCCTAGTTTGTAATTGGCACTTGGTGTATTTATGCATCTTTACCGGATCATGGTGCCCTATCTGAGTCTGCTCGGGATTCGGTGTCTGGGCTACTTCGATGACTGGCTGGTGTGGGCTCCCAGTCGGTCCGCTTGTCTGCTCGCCAGGGGTGTGGTTCTTTCCAGATCGCCGGGTTCGATTTCCTGGTGACCTGGAGGCCGTTCCATCTGTTTCTGTCCCGGATTCTTTCTGGCTGGGTCTTGTTTAGGGCTCTTGAGTCACTCCTTGTCTTTCCCTCCAAAAGCGTGCTGCGGCTGTGGTCCCGCCTTTGGCTGATTATGAGGGGATCCCAGGTCGCTCGGCAGTTGCTCGAGTGGTTGTGCGGTAGTCTGAACTTGGACGTGCTGTTCTGCCCCGCAGGGTCGGGTTTGGCTTCAGTGTCTGGTTCCTTCAGGGACTTCGCTTCCGCCTCTCTTGCAATCATTGGGTTCGTCCACCGGTGATCTTGTGTTGGTGCTGTGTCACCAGCTTCCTCTTTGGGGTTTTCAGGGTTCCGTGCCTTGGCACCTCCCCGAGCCTTCGTTCAATGTGTTCATGGACAGGTCATCTCTCGGCTGGGGCTTTGTGATCATTGCTCACCAGGTCGGCCGGGGATGGTGGGGTCTGTCTGTCCGTAGGGCTCACAGCACGGGTCGGGAGTTCGTGGCTGTCTGGTTTGCTCTTCGGAGGGTTCGGGTCACTCGGTGCTCTACCATCCAGCTCCATTCGGACTTTTCTCCGGTGGTTCATTGCCGGAACCACGAGGTTTCTCTTAGGTCTTTGACCTTTGAGGTGGGTCCCTTCGAGTGACTCGTTTGATGGATTCTCGGGGGTTGGCTAGCCGTGCGGTTCATTTCTGGGCTGTGTCCTGCGTCCTGGCGGACAGCATGTCTCGGTTCATTCCTATGTTCGCGGGTTGGCCGGTTGTCGCCGACTCGTTCGTTGGCTCTGCTGGACGTATGGACTCCTGGTTATGGACATCTTTATGTTGGGGTGGTCTCGGCATCTACCATTCTATTTGGCGCCCTTACCTGCCTGCGAGGCGTTCACGGTGGAAAGCCTTTTGGCAAAACTGGTCGAGGTGGGAGTACCTGTTCCACTTCTCCCAGTCCAGCTGTTGCTTCAGGTTCTGGCTCGGTTGGAGGCCATTCCCTAGGAGAGTAGTCCTCGTGGCCCCTTGGTGGCCGGCCCAGCTTTATTTTCAGACGCTGCTTGATAGGTGTCCAAACCCGGGGCATTTTCCCGCGGCTCCGCCTCTTTCAGCAAGTCGGACTGGTCCAGCCTTATCCTCGGCTTTTCGCGTCTGGAATTTTGACGCAGGAGTATCACCATCTACATGGTGATCAGGTGGCTTCATTGATGGTGTTCCCACCTGCGAGCTTTGTCTCCACGACAGCATGATGTTCCTGGTGTTTCTATTCGCCATTTTCTTGCTCTTCGTAGGTTGTCTTCTCATTCGCATCGGGTTGTCTTGTCCTTTCTTGGGTTTTCAGGACTGTTATTTGATGCTTCTTACTGTCGCCTCGTTTCGTGCGGCACTGGCGGAGCCGCTCCGGCTTGCGTTCAGGTTGGACATCACATCCGCCTTGTTCCATACGCTTTCTCGTGTTTTGTTTCACCTCCGGCCTGCTCATGCGTTGCCTGAGGCATCCTGGTCCTTGATCAGGGTGCCCTCTTATCTATCTTCTCAGTTTGTGGTAGCCCCTTCGGTTCAAGATTATTTTTCATAGGCCATATTTTTTTGGCATAGGCATCTGTGGGTCGGGTCGGGGAGCTTCTGGCTCTCTTCCGGTGCATGGGGTTTCCTGCTCTTTTTGTACTGGTGGTAAGTTTGTAAGTCCGCAGCCTTTCTCCGTCCTTCTGGCGACGGTCGAGACAGCTGTTTTCCAGAGGGGTCCTTGGGTTATTGATGCTTGGTTGGTTCGGCCGGGGGTGCGTCATATGTTGTTCGGTTGCGGCTCTTTGCCGTTACCTGCGTACCGTGACTGGGGATGCGCTTTGGGTTGATCCGGTTTCTTTCGTTCCCTGTTTCAGGGCTTGGGTCTCCCAGGTCGTCCACAGAGTTTTTAAATCTACCAGCCTGCGGTCTATCCTTGCACCCGTGCCGTTCAGATGTTTGCAGCTTTCGCTGCTGTCTTGGTGGCGTCTAGGGTTCATTTCAGGCGCGAGGATTTGGGGGTCGCACAGGTTCCTGGCTGCCCATTCTTTGCGCGCGTGTCTGCTTCTGTGCATTCTTGTATTGCCTTGGGTCCTTGTAGCCTGTTGTCTCGGCTTCGCGTTGCGGAGTTTTTCTTGGCAAGGCAGGGCAGGGCAACAATAATCGAGTTTAGACAAGACGAGAAAGGAATGTAAGTCTCCATGGTGTAGTGGTAAGACACTCGCCTGGCGTTCCGAGAGCGCTTTGTCATGGGTTCGTATCCTGGCCGGGAAGGATTTACTGGGTGGAAATCCTTAACTGTAGCCTCTGTTTAACTCAACACTAAAATGGTTACTTGGTTATAACAACAATTCTTCGAGGAGGGGATCGTATTCCAGTGACCTGCCCGAAAAGCTGTGTGTACTAGTGGCTGTACAAGAATGTAACAACTCTTGTATATATCTATATATATATATAAAAAAAAAAAAAAAAAAAAAAAAAAAAAAAAAAAAAAAAAAAAAAAAAAAAAAAAAGCGCGCACCTATCCACTCCCCAAGAAGTATGGGACAAAACCTTGAGGAGGATAAGGGACTTAGAACATTCAACTCGGAGGTAACAGAGATATGGGGTGACCAAGACAACGAGTGTCAAAGATTAACCCCAAAAGCTTAGTGGAATCCCTGTACACAAGGGGATGGCCATAAAGCGACAAAGAGGGACGAAGAACGACATGCTTCCGAGTAAAAGTCATAGCACAAGTCTTAGACGGAGAGAACCTGAAGCCATGATCGGTGGCACACAACAAAGCATCAATCGCAAGTTGAAGCTGCCGTTGAAGGAGAGGCGAATCATCACCTCGACACCAAAGGGTAAGATCGTCGACATAGAGAGTGGAGAAGACGCCAGAAGGAAGAGAGGAAAGAAGACCATCGAGGGCAACCAGAAAAAGAGTGGTGCTCCGAACACTACCTTGGGGCACAACTTCGTATTGCTGAAAAGAGACAGAGAGTGGCACCAAGCCTCACCCGAAAGGCACGACGAGAGAGGAAGCCCTGGAGAAAGATGGAGATGACCATGAAGGCCAAAAGAATGAAGTTGGGACAGAATATGATATCGCCAGGTGGTGTCGTAAGCCTTTTCCAGGTCAAAAAGGACGACAACAACGGAGGTCTTCGCAGCAAAAGCAGTACGAACATAGACCTCCAAGTTCACCAGGACATCTGTTGTGCTGCGGCATTTGTGAAAACCAAATTGAGAAGGGGAAAGGTGGTGATAGTCTTCCAAGAACCGCATCAAATGAACGTTAACCATACGATCAAAGAGTTTGCCGACAACTTGTGAGGGCAATAGGGCTGAAGTCCTTAGGCGATGACCCAAGAGACCCTGGTTTCCGAACAAGGAGGACAACGGCATCAAGCCATTCTACAGGGACTGACGACGACTCCTAGACCCGATTATACAGACTCAGTAAATACTGAGACGTGCATGGAAGGAGATGGTAAAGCATCTCATAATGAATGTCATCGGAGCCCACCGCCGTAGAACCGCATAGGGCCAGGGCAGACTGAAGTTCAGAGAGAGAGAAGGGATCGTTATAGATAAGTCTGAGATGGGTGGAGAAATCCAAGGGACAAGATTCAAGAAGAGGTTTACGAAGAGGAAAAAATTGAGAAAGATGAGAACCAGAGCTAACAGAAGAAAAGTGGGAACCCAGTTCGGTAGCAACCTGCAACGGGTTCGCCACAAGAGTGCCACGGAGGCAAAGGACCGGCACCACAACGGGAACGACTTACCCGCTATCTTGCGGATACGCAACAGAAGAAAAGTGGGAACCCAGTTCGGTAGCGACCTGCAACGGGTTCGCCACAAGAGTGCCACAGAGGCAAAGGACCGGCGCCACAACGGGAACGAACTTACCCGCTATCTTGCGGATACGCTTCCAGATCTGCAGCAGAGGAGTTTCGCACGTAATGGTGGAGACATAAGGCATCCAACATTCACGTTTAGCGGTACGGATGGTCCTAAGAGCCACCTCACTCGCCTTCCAAAACTACAGGAAAGACTCAACCGTCTGCTGGTGGTGGTAGCTCTTCCAGGCTGCACACTTACAGCGGACAGCCCGAGCGCAGTCTGTATTCCATCATAGAACGCACTTCTATAGGCCCCAAGAGTTAGAGGAAGAGCGAGGAATAGAGCGGAGGACAGCGTTGAAGACGGTGCCATGAAAAAGGAGGAGGGCGCGAGGGAGAAGCAGACTGGAGAGGTCGGAGAGAGAAGCACAGGGTAAATAGGTTCCAGTCTGCCTTGGCAAACCACCACCTAGGGAAGGAGGGGGAGAATGTAAAAAAAAAAGTCACTGCCATGGCGGTCATCAAGAACCCACCACGAGAAATCCAAGTAAAGAGACGATGAGCAGAGAGAAAGATCAAGACAGGAAAGGGTGCGAGTCCAAATGAGTGGGCTCACCAGAATTCAGAGGAGACAGGGAAAAAGATAGGATGAACGGTTCAAGAAGGTGACCCCAGGTGTTTGTCAGAACATCATCCCAAAAAGAATGACGATAATTGAAATCACCCAGCAGGAGCACAGGCTCTGGCGTGGAGTTCAGTAGATGTTTAAGATCGGGAAGAGAAAGCGGGACACTCAGGGGGGGGGGGGGGAGGGATAAATGGAACCGTGTACCATTTCCTCACAAAGATACGGGCAGCAGAACATTGGAGAGGCCAGAGGACTGACCCATGGAACATCACACTCCGACAGCCGCCCACCAAGCCCCCTCACGGCAACAACGAGCCGGACAGGGAGGGAGTCTGGCTGGAGAAAATTGTGGCCTGAATGTGTTTCAGAACTAGACATTGAGGGGTTTGAGCCTGTACATGAAGTGCCTATTGTTGAGGAAATTGTTACTCTGGGCCAGAAAATTGGCTTAGAATTGAATGGTGCTGACGTGGAGGAGTTGGTGGACGAACACAACGAAGAATCAAAGAACTAGCCCTTCAAAAGGAGAAGTAACAAGAGGCAGCTGAGGATATTTCTTCAGGGGAGGAGGAGGCAGAAGAGAATGTCCCTTCCTCAACAATTAGGAAGTGGTGTATGCTGTTGGGAGAAATGCAAACTTTTGTTGAAACGACTCGCCCAATGAACGCTGTAGTAGGCCGGTGCATTAACTTTTTCAATGACAATGTGAGGTCTCACTACAGACAAGTGTTGCAAAGAAGGGAAAAACAATCTTCAATGGAACGTTTTCTTGTGAGAAAATCAAGCAGAAAGCCACAACCAGGTCCTAGTGGTTTGCAGGAGAAACGTACCAGAGTGCACCCTAGGGGAAGTCCTCAATGCCTGATGTTATAATGGAAGGGGACTGACTCCCTTTCCAAACAGTAAAACCTCTCTTCCTTCCCCCTCCTCACCATCTTCCATACGCCAACAGGAGTCATCAGTAAAGGTAATAACTTGTACATACTTTTGTAGTGAAGATTTGGATGAATTGGGTATAAGATTTTCTTTGAAGTTAATTTCTGGGTGAGTCAGGAACGGCTAATTCATTTCCCATTATTTCTCATGCAGAAATTCGCTTTGGTTTACGAATTTTTGGGCCACGAGCCATCTCCAGGAATGGATTAAATTCGTAAACTGAGGTACCCCTGTATATGTATGTGTGTGTGTATATGTATGTATGTATGCATATATAATAAATAATACACCCTAATTTATTGTCACCAAATTATTTTGGAACAAAAATCTGGCCTTGTTTGTTGTAGTTGATAACAATATTATTAAATCTAACAAATCCTTATATTGCATACTGAATACTTGCAAACAAGATTTAAACCATTTGCAATAAACAGAACATTTAATACTTGCTTTCAAATCCCTATGGATTCTTTAGGCATTCTGCAGAACTGTATTGATTACATGGCAAATAAATCATTACCCTACAAGACTATCAGACCAAAGGCATCAAAACATAAATAAATGTATTAGGACTTACAGTGTTATCATCTGTATCCTTCATATCTTCAAATACAGCAAATGGCTGTGAAGGCTTTACATTACCTTGGCCATTATTGCCATCCTGAGAAAATAAAATAAACAAGCACTGTATAAAGTCCACACGATTAATAACTTATCACAGTGCAAAACAGAAATAGTGGAAAAGTTATCATTGAACAAATTTATATCAAGATAGCACAATTAATATCGTCACAGTATTTACAGAGGAAGTCAGAGCAAAGATAATTAGAGAAATACTAGACCTCTTTTCCAAATTACCTGGTATATAAAATAAGGCCCACAAGATTATATGATCGAGTTTTCATGCAATTTTTTGTGATAGTTACTCTGCACCTCAAATCTGTTGCCCTATTTACACATGTAATGCAATTCAATAATTGTCTTGATAATAATAAATTGCCTAATAAAACAAAATAGGCAATGGATTCATTTGATGCATCTGATTAAGGTACTACCAATTTCCTATGCCAGCTTCTCTCTCAATGCAAACAATTTAAGTAAGATAACATACAAAACACAACCTACATGGACCACACTTTAATATGCTGACCAGTTTAAATACCTACAAATATTTAAACTATTAACCCTTAGACCGCGCAATACATACATACATACATATATGATTTGACAGAAAAGAATTTAACGAAAGTTTTTAAAACTTGCACAAGCACTTTCCAATTTTTTGGCATAATCCACTAGGAAAATGCTCCAACTTTGTCTAAATGATCACAGCATAACTTGAAAAACAAGAGAATCAAAATTAATTTTAAAACTGAATATTAAAAACTTCAGATTTTCAATTCAGATTAAAAAATGTGAACTATTACCAACTGTTCATTTAATGTTACTATTCTCTTAGAATAGCATATGATCTTCATTTTCATCTAATTAGAATATAGGTTTTCAGTATAGTTTACTGTAAAAAAAATCAATAGGGCATTTGAACTATGCGGCAAATTTAGACTAAAACAAATTATAACTCCAAATGTATAAAGTTTATGAAAAATCCATTCTGAAGGGATTGCAGAACAGACTGCTGAGCACACAATATGACAACGTGGTGAGAATCGGTCAAAAAATGGAATTCTAGAAGCCATTCAAAGTTGAAACTCTAGTTTCAGAGATAATTGAAGTTACTGTATCAACAATGAATAAAGGTAGTTTTAATTTGTTAATGTAATTGTATGTTTTAATTAACATTGTTTGGCATTCGTAGTCACACATGCGAAAGTTTTTGGTCAATGTGTGTTGAATGAAAGTCAAGGAGAAAAAAAAAAAAAAATCAAGTCCCAACTTTTGCGAGTTGTGACTGATTTATTTGTTGACCAATTTCATTTTATCTTCACATAGTTAGGAAAACATATGTATTCTCCAGGATGTAAAGGTTACAATAAGATCAGATAATAAACAAAGGGGAAAAAACTAAAATCTTAAAAAAATACAAAAAATTCCCTTAAAAAAATATTTTTGGAACATTGATGAAAGTAACATATAACAACATTGGACAATGTATTTATATGACACATAACAAAATAGATCATATTAACATTTATTATTTGTGTTATATGTGTTACTCAGCAATGATACAACGGCACCAACTGCATATCCACTTTATGGACAATTCTTACTACTATTCTTATTTGTGTGTCAGACAGGTGCTTGTATCTATTACTGCATAATCCTTCAGTTCCAGTTATTAGGAGCTGTTGTTATCAACAAAAAGTTCTTATTTTTTTTAAATTTGTATAAAATCAATTTTTGAATATATTTTGACGAAAGCTTCACGATACTGAAGTCAATAAGTTGGAGATTTGTTTAACATTTTTAAGTTATTTTGACATAATTTGAATATTTTTCAGTAATATACCCCCAATATGCACGGTCAAAGGGTTAAAGCAATAATTACACATGATAAAATACAACAGCTGATATTTTAACAGACGTACTGTAAATATATTAGATTAAAATATTTGTGTAAATGTATGTTGGAAAAGAGGCATCTCCCAAATATGCCAACTAAAAATAAAAATACATGTACAGTATAAACAAAATATTGTATATATTATCTCACCTGATATATAGTAAAAGGAGGAATTTTGTCACCTATTGGTTCAGTATTAATCTCAGACTCTATACCTGAACCACAAGTATCCTGCTGTAAATCTCCATGAAACAAGCTTGTAGACCACATGTCATTTATCATGTTCATGGCCAGTTTTGTATTAACAGTGGTTTCAGTCACATTTAAAACACGAGAATTGCCACCGCTGCTGAGGTTTGAATTATCCTGACCTGCTGAACTGACACCTGTAAAAATAATAGTAATCCAAATTAAATTAAAATGTAAAGAAAAACAAATTACAGTTATGTTGTTTCAATCATAGAGAGGGAGGTTAGCCTATGTCCTGTCCCTATGCCAGGCACATCTCTCTCTATATTATGAATATTCTTATTTAAATTCCTGTCTGCTTCGCATCATCTTCTTCTCAAGGTTATCTTGAGATAATTTCGGGGCTTTGCGTCCCTGCGACCTGGTCCTTGACTAGGTCCTTTTTTTTGTTACACACCCCCAGGAAGCAGCCTGTAGCAGCTGTCTAACTCCCAGGTACCTATTTACTGTTAGGTAACGGGCATCAATGAAAGAAACTCACCATTTGATTCCGCCTCCACCGAGGATCGAACCCGGAACCTCAGGACTACGAATTCAAAGTGCTGTCCACTCAGCTGTCAGGCCCCATGTATACAATAATTTTAAAATACAGTACAGGTATAAACACATTGCATGTGGGTGGAACTAAGGTCAAGTGATTAATTTAGATTTAGAAGCTTCATTCATAAGTGATTTATACAAATCAGTACTGCTGTTACTTGAGTGAACAGGTGTGAATTTGTAAAAAAAAAACCAGCGTTGAATGTAATGTAACGCCATTTTCTGGGTGAGTCCCGGAGACTCCACGGAGCTTACTAGGCTGATATGCTAATGTCAGACTTTGGCATCAGTCATGTGTATGGAGTTCTTATGGGCCTACCGGGGACCACGAGCCAGAACCTGACCCCCTCTAGAGAGGCAAGGGGAGCAATGGCCTATAGAAACCCCCCGTGTAATTGGAAGCTGTTTATGTCTGCCATCGACCGGGTTAGGCACCCAGAAACGTAGGTGTCCCAAAACAAACCCCTATTCTGGTGAAAATTGCAACCAAAAGCTGAACGAGTGGATAAAACTCCCCAAACAAAAACGAGCAAACTAGTATGACGTCATTTGTCGTCGCGCCGCTGTCTGCGCAGCCCCAGACCTTAACGCGCCGGCGAGCCACACCCCAGTTCTGAGGCTGGATGTCAAAAACACGTGAAAAAAACCCCGGCCGGAGGGAGGGAGGGATGCCGGGGAGCCTCCGGGACTCACCCAGAAAATGGTGTTTCATTACATTCAACACTGGTTTTCTGGTGGGAGCCCCTATGGCTCCCCGGAGCTAACTACCCACAGAGGAAAGAATAGGGACTTACCCGGGAGGCAGTTGCTGCTCACTCCTCAACCTGAAGTCGAGACAACTGGCTGCATCCGCCGATCCAAAGCGACACAGGCCCAACCGGGCCCAGGAACGTTTACAAGGTAACAAGCAGCTAGGACCCTGTTCGACCGCCAAAATCTCTGCGCCCGAATGTCAACCCAGGACATATTGCCAAAGACGGCGGCAAGAGCCGCGAACTATGGACGTCATGGGCACGGGGATAGACCGCAGGCTGGTTTTAAGGCTGGACCGCATGAGCCTTAATAACTTTGCGGACGACCTGGGAGACCCGCACCCTCGAACAGGGAAGAAGGGAAACCGGATCAACCCAAAGCTCATCCATGGACACCGAAGCCATGGGATGCAAATAATGGCGCAGCGCCCCAACCGGACACAAAACATGCTGCACCCCCGGAATCAATTTCCGCTAGGCAAGGAAGTAAATGAGATGTATGCCAAATATTGTGAAATATATGATGAAGGGACACACTTTCATAGCAAAACAGATGCAGGACCAGAAAACAGGATGGGTTCAACAGAAATTGTGAGAAGGCCAAAGAGGAAAAGACAAGAAAATGTGGTTAATTTAGGAAGAGACCTATATTGAACTAATTGCTGTGGGAGGCAGAGTAGTGGCATTGTCTTCTGACTGTGTGTGGCCACCTTTTATTGACTACATTCACCATACCAGCATAGTGGTTTGCTATGGTGAACACAAATGTACATACTTATATATAACGTGTGTATAGAGGGTATAAACAGCAAGAGTAGGAGGTTGGGAGCCGCCATTTTGGTGAGGGCGGTGGCGTTGTCTGCACGACTTATGTTGTTTACTGGTGACCACGATGGTCTTTGGGCACCATACCAGTTTACTTGTACAAGTATGGTTAATAAAACAGGTAGATACTTATATATAATATGTGTATATAGCGTAATAACACCATAAACAGTATTGTTGGAGGAGAAATATTAGTACGCCTGGCCTTGAGGGCGGCAACCACCAGCTGACTGTGTGAGTAGCTACGTCTTTGTGCCTTTACTCACCATACAAGCTTACATGTACAGTTATGTTAAACAAAACATGTAAATGCTTATATATATAATGTCTGCATATAAAAGCAAAAACAGTGGTTCCAACTTAGTGGTTCATTATGGTGAACACGAATGATGATACTTATATATAACGTCTGTATATAGTGAATAAAAGCAAAAACAGTATGGTGGGAGGAGAATGTGGGCGAGTGAGGTGTTGAGGGAGGGAGTGAGTGGCTGGCTGGTGTGTGACAGTCACTCCTTGTTACTTTTTGACTCATAATAGCAACTTAGTGGTTAGTTATGGTTAACAAAACATGCAGATACTTATACATAACCTGTGTATATAGTGTAATAACCGACAAAGTATTTGTTCACTGTTTGATGAACATAATTGAATCAACAATATACACACCATATTTTTGAGTACAGCGATGATTCACTCATTTTATTATATAAATATATCACACTACACACTATTGAATAATATTACAGAAAAAAAACTACGAAAAATCAATCAGAGACATTGAAATAATTAGGTAATTATCTCTTTGTGGCAACTCCGGCCTGACAGCTGGCGATCAACAGACTGCCTGGGACGCACGCTGAGTCAGCGCCTGTTTTTTGCCAGACTTCCCCGCCCTATAGCGGGCAATATATGCCACTTATGATTTTTTATTATTTTTCACATGATCAGTGAACACAAATTAACAGGTTAGGAAGAAAAAATATATTTTTTTTTTTGTATGCGCCTGTGGGTGTCAAATGGTGTATAGCCATGTGCATTTAAGGGTTAAGTGAGAAGGTGGGAGACCAAAATTGTCAATAGTTTCAAAGCGTTATATGACAGAGTACTGGGAAAATGGGACACCACGAGCATAGCTCTCATCCAGTAAATACATTTAGGGAATTACATACACACACAGTGTATATATACATACTGTGTATATATATATATATATATATATTTTATATATATATTTTTCAGCGCCTCAGTGTGGCAATCCAGAGAGGAAATGCTCACTGCATTCATTGTTCCTGCCCGCCATCTGAGGAGCTGGAGGAGCTGTTCAACTTGTGACAAGCAGCCTTGTACCCTGCATGTAAGCAATATTGTAACTTTTTTTTTGTGTAATGACATTTTCAAATAAAGTTAGATAAATATACACACATACCAAAAGAATAGGGGTGGTAGGAGAAGAAAATATCAAGGTGTTCAGTGAGGATCCACAAGGTCTTCTCTGAGTACTCTTTATTTTCTTCTCCGAGGCTATGGGTCCCTACACTTGCACCGGAGGTGGTACCCCTTCTATATAAAATATATATATATATATATATATATATATATATATATATATATATATATATATATATATATATATATATATATATATATATATATATATATATATATATATATATATATATATATATATATATATATATATATATATATATATATATATATATATATATATATATATATATATATATATATATATATATATATATATATATATATGTGTCGTACCTAGTAGCCAGAACGCACTTCTCGGCCTACTATGCAAGGCCCGATTTGCCTAATAAGCCAAGTTTTCCCGAATTAATATATTTTCCCTAATTTTTTCTTATGAAATGATAAAGCTACCCATTTCATTACGTATGAGGTCAATTTTTTTTTATTGGAGTTAAAAATAACGTAGATATATGACCGAACCTAACCAACCCTACCTAACCTAACCTAACCTATCTTTATAGGTTAGGTTAGGTTAGGTTAGGTAGCCGAAAAAGTTAGGTTAGGTTAGGTTAGGTAGGTTAGGTAGTCGAAAACCAATTAATTCATAAAAACTTGGCTTATTAGGCAAATCAGGCCTTGCATAGTAGGCATAGAAGTGCATTCTGGCTACTAGGTACGACATATATATATATATATATATATATATATATATATATATATATATATATATATATATATATATATATATATATATATATATATATATATATATATATATATATGTCGTACCTAGTAGCCAGAACTCACTTCTCAGCCTACTATTCAAGGCCCGATTTGCCTAATAAGCCAAGTTTTCCTGAATTAATATATTTACTATAATTTTTTTCTTATGAAATGATAAAGCAACCCTTTTCTCTATGTATGAGGTCAAGTTAGGTTTTTTTTTTATTGGAGTTAAAATTAACGTAGATATATGACCGAACCTAACCAACCCTACCTAACCTAACCTAACCTATATTTATAGGTAAGGTTAGGTTAGGTAGCCAAAAAAAGCTAGGTTAGGTTAGGTTAGGTAGGTTAGGTAGACGAAAAAACATTAATTCATGAAAACTTGGCTTATTAGGCAAATCGGGCCTTGAATAGTAGGCTGAGAAGTGCGTTCTGGCTATTAGGTACGACATATACATATATATATATATATATATATATATATATATATGCAATTGAGTTTCATTATCCTGTCTGGACCTTGATCCTCTAGATTAAGGTGCGAGTCTTGTATTAAACACACTTTTTAAATAATAATATAATTCACAAAGTGTGGATTTCATTCCGATGCTGTGAATTGCTGTATTCTCACATTGTTTCTTTATTACCTTTTTTCACTATTCTCATATTTGTATGTGTGCTACACTCATATATTCTCTTCTAACATTCTCTTTCAGTAGTTGCCTTTCCCCTATGATGTCAATTCCATTTGGGTTTCAATCACTATTTCCCAATTTCATGCCCTTAAATGTTGTAACTTTATTTTTTATTTTTACAATATTGTAAGGTATCTGTAAGGATTATATAAAAAAATGACTGCACATGCTATTAATAAGGATAATCGTACTAACCATATGAGACTGGAGTCAAGATATTTGTAATAGACGAATCCTTATTGCCTACACCGGCTGTGGCTGGTTGACACTGAAGCAATGCACTTGTACTGCTTTCATCCAAGAACTAAGAAAGGGTAAAGGACAAATATTAGTACAGTACATACATTTATATATACAAAACATTTAAAAAAATGGGAAGCAAAATACCTCAACGTTTTGTTTCTTATTTTTTCAAGCGTGGGTTTTCTACGCATACACACACACACACACATTCACGTGTGCATGGGCACGAGAGATTAGTTTGCGCAAGGACAAATGAGATGTGCTTCATTATAAGGAAGGCATGCATGATGATATAAAAAGGTAATATAATTAGTACATCAGGTAATTACCCAAGTGTAATTACCTAAGTGTAGTTACAGGATGAGAGCTACGCTCGTGGTGTCCCGTCTTCCCAGCACTCTGTCATATAACGCTTTGAAACTACTGACGGTCTTGGCCTCCACCACCTTCTCCCCTAACTTGTTCCAACCGTCTACCACTCTGTTTGCGAAAGTGAATTTTCTTATATTTCTTCGGCATCTGTGTTTAGCTAGTTTATATCTATGACCTCTTGTTCTTAAAGTTCCAGGTCTCAGGAAATCTTCCCTATCGATTTTATCAATTCCTGTTACTATTTTGTATGTAGTGATCATATCACCTCTTTTTCTTCTGTCTTCTAGTTTTGGCATATTTAATGCCTCTAACCTCTCCTTGTAGCTCTTGCCCTTCAGTTCTGGGAGCCACTTAGTAGCATGTCTTTGCACCTTTTCCAGTTTGTTGATGTGCTTCTTAAGATATGGGCACCACACAACTACTGCATATTCTAGCTTTGGCCTAACAAGTAAGCACCTAACAGGTGCTTACCTATAATTGATTATGTAGCAATGAGATCCTGTATCCTGCCTTTTAGGGGTTTATATCTAACATGCTAATTACCTCTCTTAACATAAATGTTTTCAATGAGAAAATCAGTAGGAGCCATGAGGAGGATTTAAACCTATGCTCTGGGTACACCCAAACAAATTCCTTAGACAACTACACCACAACATTTATCTATTTATTTATTATTTATTTATTTATATACAAGAAGGTACATTGGGGTTAACAGAGAACATAGAAATTAAGTTGATTTTACATTCTTGTAAAGCCACTAGCACGCATAGTGTTTTGGGCAAAGATGGTCAAAGGAATTGCAACCTGGAATTCAGCTGAATCCTGAAGGGTACCTGAGGCTTCTGCTGAAGTCTAATCAGGGCTTTACACAATTTCCCCATGTACTCTGCCTTTATAGTCCAGAAATTCTACCTCCAACACTTCTCTTAAAATGCACAAAGAAATCCCATTAATATGATATATGAATGAGAAAATAATTGATCATGTCATTGTATAGTTGTCTAAGGCATTTGCTTGGGAATACCCAAAGCACAGATTCGAATCCTCTTTATGGCTTCTTATTTTCTCATTGATACATCATGTTAATGTGATTTCTTTGTGCATTCGAAGAGAAGAGCTGAAGTAATTTCTAATAGTAAACCCAAAAAACAAGCGTTTAATGTAATGAAATTACATTAAAATTACTCACGCCAGATTCTGGGTGAGCTCCGGAGGCTTGCTGAAGCTATTTCACTGGTATGCTATCCTATTTGGGGTTATCAGTCAAATATTTCTTGTTGCCTACTGAGGACCAGAACCAGAACCCCTCAAAAAGGCACAGGGAGCAGTGGCTTATGAACACTTTACATTTAAAGTTTATCATACTTGCCATTAACCAGATAAGGCACCCAGAAAGGTGGGGAAAACAAAGCAGACCTCTCTCTGGTTGAAAAATGTTACCTACGTACTCAAAAGTGCACAAGAACTCCTCTATAAAGAAAACAAACAAGTAACACTTTGTTCAACGACAAACGCTCTTTTTTTTTTACGACAAATTCTCGCCCAGTAACACCACTGGTACTGGCACCAGGCTCGGTAACACACTGTTCTGATTCCATTTCACTAAAACCAGAAAAAGTCACCTTCCTCTGACTCGTCACCAAAAATATCCTCAGATTCTTAAATAAGCACAGGAACTGTGTGGTCGTAGGTGAATTGGAATAGACACTGGGCGAGGTGGCATGGGTGAGCGTATAGGCCTCGCCATGGGAGGAGGCTGTATCTCATTTTCAATGTCCGTGCTACTATCATCAGTCAATTATGTGTAGTCTTTATCAATGTCAGAGTCAACAAAATCACATTATATTTAAAGGGTTAAATATACCAAAACCATACGACAAAAGAAAAATAGACGATATGATGGCCATGTACAAAACAATAACGGGAATCAATAAAATTGATAGCGAAGAATTCCTGAGACCTGGAACTTCAAGAACATGAAGTCATAGATTTAAACTAAACAAAGCTGCTGAAGAAACATAAGAAAATTCACTTTCGCAAACAGTGGTACAGTTGGAACAAGTTAGGTTAGAAGGTCGTGGAGGCCAACACCATCAGTAGGCACAAAGCGTTATATGGCAGGGTACTGGGAAAACGGGACACCACGAGCAGAGCTCTCATCCTGTAACTACACTTAAGTAATTATACAAGGCCCAGCCAAGTTCGAACCTGGGACGGAACCAACTGGAACTTCCGCCAGTTCACCAGGAACCCGAACCTGGCAAATTGGGAAAGAGCCAGATCCCTGGCTAGCAGACCACCTGGGAGCCCACACCAACTAGTCATCAAGATAGGCCAAGACCCAAAGACCAAGCAGACACAGAAAGGTTACCCCAACCCGAGTCAAACTCATAAAAATGCGAATTGCCAGATTCTACCCAAAATGGAGGCAGTAGAAGCAAAAAGTGCCGCCTCACCTCAAATCCTAACCAATCCCCGAACTCCGGATTGATAGGGACATGCCAATACGCATCCTTGAGTTCCATGGAAATCATCCAAGCACCCGGATAGAGAATGAGCCAAACGTGGGACAATGTAGTCATCTGAAAGAAGGGGCAAGGAATCAAGCTGTTTAAACAAGGGGCCTGACAGCTGAGTGGACAGTGCTTCGGATTCATAGTCCTGAGGTTCCTGGTTCGATCCCTGGTGGAGGCGGAAATAAGTGGGAGAGTTTCTTTCACCCTGATGTCCCTGTTCACCTAGCAGTAAATAGGTACCTGGGAGTTCGACAGCTGCTAAGGGCTGCTTCCTGGGGGTGTGTAACAAAAAGGAGGCTTGGTCGAGGACTGAGCCGCGAATATGCTAAGCCCTGAAATTATCTCAAGATGAGCTCAAGAAGTTAAGTTCAGAATGTACCCGAGATCTGCACAGTTACGTTCTGGACCTGGAAACTGGTGGGAAATCCACCTGGGAAACGAGGTCATTTCGATCATGCCCAAGCGAACCACTGAGATAACCCGACGGATGGTTAGGTAAGAGGCCAGACCCTCAGACGTGAGCACCCCCGAAGGGAGGAAGGTTTGCCCAATGCCATCGAAGGCTGCAAGAAAATACCTGAAAAGCTCACGAATCATCGGACCAAGTGTTGGCAAAAAGAACCAGCCTCTCGCTCATCGCCCCATCAATGGGGCAACCAACGATAGGACCGATGTGAACCCCTAGAGCTCAACTTCCGTGCAGAGCGAACACCGCACTGACCAGACGAAGAAGGCACTAGGGGAAATCACCAACACAGAAACTGGCACCACAGGCCTACCCAGACTCCACAAGCGACTCCTCACGAAGAATCAATAAATCAGAAACTGGCAAGCAACTAGTTGCAGCTGCTGACAAAAACTGAGACACAGTCCACGAGGAACAAAAGAGAACAAAATGTTAAAGAAGACTGAAGAGCCTGGGCACTAGCTGTATCCAAAGAGAAAGTGAGCACAGCCTGCCAACACATGAGACAGATAGTGAAAATCATGGAAACCGCTTCCCGGAGTAGTGGTGCAAACAGCTTTAGTAAGGCAGACAAGCAGAAGCAGATTGACAAAGACCCCAGCCGAGGCCTCCTATGCCAGGACATGTTCCGAAGACAGCTCCAGAAAACCTAATAAAATGCAAGACAGAGGCCAAAAGTCATTGGCCACCAGAGCAGCCGAAAGAGAGGACTTGAGCATGCAACTGTACCAGACCAACATCCCAATGAAACGCAGGGGTGAAGAGGTACTTACTGAGAAACTCCAGATCCACCTCCAAAAAACAACTTGCAACACTGTGGAAAGCACTCGGCACTCAAGTGCATGGGTACGACAAAAGCCATGCTACGTCCCAAAAAAGGAGGAGGGATAGTCTACCAGTCAGGAAGACGTCGGAACCTCATAACGCACCCAATATGAGGAGCCAAACTCAAAGGGGGAAGAGATCCATCACAGAGGCATAAACCAGGTCCTGCAGAAGGTAAGCACCGAGAGCCTCCCGAACCACTGCAGGGGAAATCCGAGAGGAAGAAAACCTCTGGAAAGACAAATCCGAAGAACCCAAAGGCACATTGAAATGAACCCAGGGGAGAGGAGCCCCATCCAACGTAAACTCATAATGGGAAGGAGGGTACAAAAAGCCCCTGCACAAAGAGCACAATGGCCCAAGCAAGGTCAAATGAAACCTAGACGTTACACTCAGACTCCTCCCAAGCCCCAGAAACTACCCACAAAGACCCCAGGGCAGAGCTCTCATCCACACCCACCGTCAAAAAGAAAATGCAGAGTCCAGGGAAAAAAGCTTCAAAGAAAGGAGTCTGCTGGGTCGACTCAGAAGCCTCGGGAAAGAGTTTCAACCACCTCCTCACCCCACATCGGAAGGGGCAGCTCCCCGAAGCCACCCAGGCCTCACCTCGAGCTAAACCCTATCCTGACTCCAAAACCGAGCCAAAAGCAGGGCAAACGACGCCCACATAGGAAGGAAGAGGCCGAAGGCCGAAGCGGCAAACGCCCCTAAATCCGAGTCCTTAAACTGGGACAGATCCATGGCTTCCAAATGGACAATGGATCTGACCCGCAAGACTTCAGGTCGTAGGTGTCCCCGACCCAACAGGCAGTATGGCGGAGGCAGAATGGATGATTGTCACCTTGAGGCAGGGGCGACAAACAACCCTCAAGTCGCACAAGGTGAGTGAGCTCAGAAGAAGCATCCATAGTATGACCAAGCCCACAGGGGATTTCCATGACCCGTAGGATGAATGAGCCCTACAGGAAGCCCAAGCACGGGGGCCAGATAAACAGGTAAACCCTGCCAATGCCAGCAAACCGACTGCAAGCATCCGCTGAAAAGCCTTGGGGGAGAGTGGGGTAGCGCAACAGAGGAGTATCACCACCACACCCTATGTGAAGCCTAATGAGGAGCAAGGCAGGACTTGTTTGAACCAGGAAAAAATACGATGAAGACCCCAAAACTCCACAACAAGCAGTCGAGAGAAACGTCAACTGCTGCATGATAGCTTAAGCGGGCTCTAGCAGCTGCAGTGCACCCCACCAGCTGATAAACACCTCCCCTACCCAGGGCAAGGTAAAGGGACGTTTATCCTGCCATCCGAAGAAAGGCCAAGACCCCTGACTGACCCCAAGGGCGAGGATAACCACAAGTGAAGTCCTCTAATAGGGAGTTTTTACCGAACGTTCCTGGGAAGATAACCATGACCACGCAAGGGCAGTACTCACAGAGCACCTAAGGAAGGTATCCGTAGATGCATGCAGCTCTGGTACCCAGGAACTCCAGGCCAGCACACATCACAAGTGCAGGAACAGCCGTATAAGGCAAAATCCTATAACAGAAATTCGCGGCCTGAGGTGACGTCTGACAGCCAGCATCATCATACAAGAACTGTATAGTGGGTAGCTGGGCTCCCCCTTCCCCTGCAGGAAGGAGGGGGTAACAAAAACAAGAGGGGGCTAGTTAAAATGTGTTGCTTGTTTGTTTTCTTTATAGGGGGAGTTCTTTTACACTTTTGAGGACATAGATCGCATTTTTCAACCAAACAGTGATTCGTTTTGTGTCGCCTACCTTTCTGGGTGCCTTTCCTGGTCGAATGCAAGTATTATATACTTTAAATGTAAAGGGCTCATAGGCCACTGCTCCCTAATCAGGGGGACCAGGTTCTTGCGCTAGTCCCCGGTAGGCAACAAGAACTCTGACTGATGACCCCAAACAGGATAGCACTATATCAGTTGGATAGCATCAGGGAGCCGACAGGGCTTCCCCACAGAAAAATGAGTATCTTGCACATAAATGTAATCCAGTTATAATTTGATTTGATGCAAATTAAATTTTACCAACATTTATGGGCAAGACCATTAAAGGTATACCATATTAGACCAATTTATAGTGCAATGTTTAACACTGATTAGCATCAAACTGATTTCTTAAGTCCGAGGTCTAACAAGTTTAACGTGTAGAATAAAAGTGCTTTGTGAAAACATTAAATACTGACTCACATGTGAAGCATTAGCAGAGGCATTAACCGATTTGTTAATGGCAATCCAGCTGTCTTGGTAAATACTATGGCTCGTATTCTGTGGAAATCAAAGTAAATTAATCATACAGTACTGTATATTTTTTAAATTTCTTGTCATTAATTTATATTTTCATGTCATACACAACAGTATTATCTCTGCTTGTACTTCCACAATACATTACTCATTCACACAATAAAATTTACACATGAGTGAGTGAGCATCACACTGAGGAGTCACACTGCTGCAGGCTCCAGGATAATTCAAATTATCTAATTGTTTGGAGTAGGGTGAGGGTTGCAAGTGGTGTCCCAGAATACATGAAGGTGTAGGAAATCTGAAAAAAAACTAAGAGATAAGAAATAATTGTCTGAATGAAAAATCTTGGCTACAAAAGTTAATCTTTCAAAACAGCAGAATGCCAACAAAAATGGCCACCACCACAAGGGAGGACAGTACCCCAACAAAGGAATGTTTTGTAGGTTTCTCACAACAAGATACAATGAAAGGGGGTTTTCTTGGCAGGATAGTGATTATTGAGGACATGCTAAAGAATTATGAAGAAAAGGTAATTAAATTAGAAAATGAAGGACTCAAGATTGAGTTCTGTAATTTAAAAGGAAGTATTTTCCAGCAAGAAAAGAAAATTACCAGCTCGACTAATAAGGTAAGGATACAGGAGGAACACATAAAGGAACTAGTAAAGGACAATGAGGCATGGAAAGTGAAGAGTAGGGAATTTGAAGAAATTAACAAGAAAATAGACTCATATGGTGAACAATTTCAAGGGACCCTGAGGGTTAACATGGAGTTAGGCAAGGAGATCTAACGAGAAACTTCATTGGACACTCAAATAGAGGAGGCTAACAAAGAACTAGAAAAGTATAAAGAAGAAATAAGAGACGTATGTGCAAGTTGTAAAACAGAGAGAGACAATCAAGGAAGTGTTTGGAAGTCAAAACCAGAAATGACCAACAAGAAGCAGAAATTCGGTAAGCAATTAGGAAAGAACTGGTTACCAACAGTAAACTAGTACAAAACACTGCAGACAGAAGTCCATAATAATTTTTGGATGTTTAGAGAAGGAAATTTCATCTAGGGTGGACCGAGCAGCAGAAGATATGAAAATCAGAGGAGAAATAGTAGGTTTAGGAGAAAGCTCAAAGAAAAATGTCAGTGATTTTAGAATAGAAAAATATGAGAAAGACAAGAACCACCCTTTAAGGGTGATGTTTAATGAAGAGAAAAACATGATGGAAGTGCTTAGAAATGCCAGGAAATTGCAGCGATGAGGATGGCAAACTTTGGTCAATTAGACAAGACCTCTCAAAGGAAGACAGAGAATAGCTGAAAATGAACCTCATTGAAGCAAAACGTCTAAATGGGAATAGAAATGAAGAAGACAAAATATTTTTTCTACAAAGTGTCAGGGATTGGAAAGCTAGTGAAATGGTACATAAAAACAAGGCAACAAAATCATTAGTGGTAGGGGAAGTAAAGAGTAAAAGGAACATATTCCTGAAAATTGTATATACCAACATAGATGGAGTTAGATCAAAAACATTGGAGTTGCAAGATATAATTCAGCTTAAGGTCCCAGATAGTGTCGCATTATCAGAGACAAAGCTTGAAGGAAATATTTCAAATGAACTCGTATTGCCAAGGGGCTACTCAGTTTCGAGACGTGACAGGACAACTAGGAAGGGTGGAGGAGTGGCTATCCTGTTGAAAGAACACCTGAAGGCAAGATAGTTAATACTTAAAAATCCTTGTGAAGTTAACAATCACATTGCAGGTCTGGAATCGAGACAAGTTGATAATTTTAAATGCCTACAGCCCACTGGCAAGCAACACATGAACAAAGGAAGAACTGGATGACAAACAAGAGGGCCTCATAATGATCATGAGAGAAATTATAGTACAAGCAGATAGATAAATCACAACTGTTTTCAGACATTAAATATGCCTTAAGATATCACCCAGAAGAAAATGGGGACATTGAAACAATTGATAAACTTGATTTCAAGAGAGGACGCTATGGGGAACTTCAAAATTTTTTAATGAGTGTAACTAGACAGACTTGTTGCTAGGCAGGGAAGTGAATGAAATGTATGCCAATTTTTGCAAAATATACGATGAAGGCACAAATATTCATATCTAAACAGAGATGCAGGGCCAGAAAACAGGATTGGTTCAACAGAAATTACAAAAGGGCCAGAGGCCATGACATAAAAATGGAATCAATATAGGAAGAGGCCAAACCCTCAAACATGCCAGCAATACAAAGATGCGAGAAACAACTACACAGCAGTAAGGAGAGGCAGAAATTTTTTGAAGAAAAAAAAAAAAAAAAAAAAAAAAAAAAAAAAGATATAGCAGAAAAATGTAAAACAGAATCAGGCCTATTCTACAAATTCATAAACAACAAATTGCAGGTAAAGGATAATATCCAGAGGTTGAAAATGGGAAACAGATTCATGGAAAATGGTAAGGAAATGTGTGAAACATTAAATGAAAAGTTCCAGAGTGTGTTTGTACAAAATGAAATCTTCAGCGAACCAGACAAATAAGAACTCTAGAGTGTCTAAGTGAATAAGTGTCTAGAGACGAAGTGGAAAATATGCTCAAGGAGCAAAGTAAGAACAAAGCAGTTCGCTCAGATGGAGTTTCACCATGGGTTCTGAGAAAATGTGCATCTGAGCTCAGCATTCCCCTTCGCCTGATTTTTCAGGCATCCCTGTGTACAAGAGTTGTAACAGACGCGTGGAAAAAGGCCAAAATAGTTCCAATCTACAAAAGTGGCGGCAGGGAAGACCCCCTCAATTATAGACCCGTATCGTTGACAAGTGAAATGTTCAAAATATTGGAAAAATAATTAAAACTAAATGGGTAGAACACCTGGAGACAAACGATGAAGAATATACTGACGACCCATACTGACAAGTATGGTTTTCGATCTGGAAGATCCTGTGTAACAAATATACTCAGTTTCTATGATCGAGCCACAGAGATTATACAGGAAAGAGATGGTTGGGTTGACTGCATCTATCTGGACCTAAAACAAGAATTTCGACAGAGTTCCACATAAGAGGTTGTTCTGAAAAAATGGAACACATTGGAGAGGTGACAGGTAAGCTGCTAACACGGATGAAAAATTTTCTGACTGATAGAAAAATGAGGGCAGTAATAATAGGAAGTGTATCGGATTGGAGAAATGTCACAAGCGGAGTACCACAGGGTTCAGTTCTTGCACCAGTAATGTTCATTGTCTACATTAACGATCTACCAGATGGAATACAGAATTATATGAACATGTTTGCTGATGATGCTAAGATAATAGGGAAGATAAGTAACTTAAACGATTGTCATACCTTCAAGAAGACCTGAACAGAATATGTATATGGAGCACCATTTGGCAAATGGAATTTAATGTAAATAAAGGCCATGTTATGGAATGTGGAATAGGAGAACATAGACCCCATACAACCTATAAATTATGTGAGAAATCTTTAAAGAAGTCTGATAAAGAAAGAGATCTAGGGGTAGTTCTAGATAGAAAACTATCACCTGAGGATCACATTAAGAACATTGAGCGAGGGGCCTATGCTACACGCTCTAACTTAAGAATTGCTTTTAAATACATGGATGGCAAAATATTAAAGAAATTGTTCACAAATTTTGTTAGACCAAAGCTGGAATATGCAGCGGTTGTATGGTGTCCATATCTTAAGAAGCACATCAACTAACTGGAAACAGCAGCGCGGGGAAACAGCTTAGTGGCGGGGCCATTCATGCCACTAAGTGGCTCCCAGAACTGAAAGACAAGAGCTATGAGGAGAAATTAGAGGTATTAAATATGCCAAAACTAGAAAACAGAAGGAGAAGAGGTGATATGATCACTACGTACAAAATAGTAACAGGAATTGATAAAATTGATAGGGAAGATTTCCTGAGACCTGGAACTTCAAGAAGAGGTCATAGATTTAAACTAAACACAAAAGCCGAAGAAATATAAGAAAATTCACTTTCGCAAACTGAGTGGTAGATGATTGGAACAAGTTAAGTGGAAGGGGGAAGAGGGAAGACGGGACACCACGAGCATAGCTCTCATCCTGTAACTACACTTAAGTAATTACATTCAACTAAAAGTCTATCCAACTTAAAAATCAATGACTAAAGAAAGTAATACTATCAGGGGTATGTTTTATCTCCATTACAGATATGACACCAAAGCATGCACATTTTATATATTATGTCTGGAAAATGTGCTAACGTGAATGAAATAAGACCTTGGTTGTGACATGCAACGTCCATTAACCTGTTTAGCAAAATGTTCCCAAGTGAAGAAATGTTCACCTAGGTCATCCTGACTTTTAACCCTTAAATTGCGCATCGCATCATATGATGCTTTGGAGTACTACGCAAGATTTAAACGGCCCGCAGACACACAGGGTTCACCACACCTTCATCAGGGCTCTTGTAAACAGACGCCATTTAAAAAAAAAAATCGTGGGCCAAATTCCCGGGTGTTAGGGGCCTCAGAATTGAGCGAGCTACCAAGCCTGACGCATGCAGCATGAGCTCACAGCACTGCTGTTCAGCTTGTGACCACAGCATCACCTAAAAATGCCATAATATACTTGTTCATGCTATTATGTAGCGATGATATTATTACATAAGACCCCTGACTGTGATACAACTGACCAGGGTTCTGATAATAGCAGGATTGTGGTGATATTTAGCGCTGTGCTCCATGGAGGGAGGAGTAATGCTGTGGGAGGGGAGGGTGCTGGTGTTATATTCTGACTGTGTGTGGGCCAACTTTTATTGACTGCACTCACCATACCAGCTTAGTGGTTTGCTATGGTGAATACAAATGTACATACTTATGTATAACGTGTGTATAGAGGGTATAAACAGCAAGAGGAGTAGGCTTGGGAGCAGCCATTTTGGTGAGGGCAGTGGTGTCGTCTGCACGACTTATATTGGTTACTGGTGACCACTATGGTCTTTGGGCACCATACCAGTTTACTTGTACAAGTATGGTGAATAAAACAGGTAGATATTTATATGTAATGTGTGTATATAGCATAATAAAACCACAAACAGTATTGTTGGAGGAGTAATATTAGTGCGACTGGCCTTGAGGGCGGCAGCCACCAGCTGACTGTGTAAGTAGCTACGTCTTTGTGCCTTTACTCACCATACAAGCTTAGATGTACAGTTATGAACAAAACATGTAAATACTTATATATAACGTCTGTATATAAAAGCAAAAACAGTATGGTGGGTGGAGAATGGTGGCAAGTCAGGTGAGGTGAGGGAGGGAGGGAGTGGCAGCCAGTGGCAGGCTGCCACTGCCACTCAGCATACCAACTTAGTGGTTCGTTATGGTGAACACGAATGTAGATACTTATATATAACGCCTGTATATAGTGAATAAAAGCAAAAACAGTATGGTGGGAAGAGAATGTGGGCGAGTGAGGTGTTGAGGGAGGGAGTGAGTGGCTGGCTGGTGTGTGGCAGTCACTCCTCGTTACTTTTTGACTCATAATAGCAACTTAGTGGTTAGTTATGGTTAACAAAACATGCAGATACTTATATATAACCTGTGTATATAGTGTAATAACCAACAAAGTATTTGTTCACTGTTTGATGAACATAATTGAATCAACAATATACACACCATATTTTTGAGTACAGCGATGATTCACTCATTTTATTATATAAATATATCACACTACACACTATTGAATAATATTACAGCAAAAAACTATGAAAAATCAATCAGAGACATTGAAATAATTAGGTAATTATCTCTTTGTGGTAACTCCGGCCTGACAGCTGGCGAGCAACAGACCGTCTGGGACGCACGCTGAGTCAGCGTCTGTTTTTTTGCCAGACTTCCCTGCTCTATAGTGGGCAATATATGCCACTTACGATTTTTTTATTATTTTTCCCATGATCAGTGAACACACATTAACAGGTTAGGAAGAATATGAAAAAATAAATATATATATATTTTTTTTTTTGTATGCGCCTGTGGGTGTCAAATGGTATATAGCCATGCGCCATTTAAGGGTTTAAACATCACAAATGATGCCATCTGATGGTGATCAATTGTCATAGCATGCAGTAGTGCAAAACACTAGTGTTGAATGTAATGAAATGCCTCTTTCTGGATGAGCCTGGGTGGAAGGTATCTCACCTAGATGGCTCCCATCGACTAGGTCACATCAGCCACAGAGTTCTGTTTGGCTTACTGGGGACCAGAGCCAAACCCACCTCACAGCAGCACAAAGTGAATGACACTGCCACCCTACCAAGAAAGCATCCAAAAAGTCAGCAAACCAATACAGACCATTGCTGGGCTCAAAAAGACCAAAACTTAGAATTTGCCAAACAAATTAAACAAATTATCGAATCTATTGAAACTAGTGTGAGCTCATTAAGACTAATCCCCTTCATCTTCCAAGACAGTTCTGTAGCAGATGTGAAGACATACCAACTGACAAACCTGGAGGGGAGGGAGGGAGATAATCAAGGAGTCACCCAGGATCTTTAAGCAAGAGGCGTTTCATTACATTCATTGCTAGTTTTCTGGGGGAGCCTATCGAGGCTTCCTGAAGTTAAGGGGGCATATTACGAAAATATGCTATAAATGAAAACTGGTTCGATTTCAATCAAACTTTGACTAGTTGAATATAAAATTGGGTTGATCTGGTTCAAGTCTCAGCATCGTAGCATAAATAGGAAGGGAGAAGAAAATTATTGAATTTGACCAAAATGGTCAAAAATTCCTCCTTTTCTATTTAGGGTGCAATACTGAAGCATAGAACAGTTGCAGCCCTTCTTATATACACAACTAGTAAAAAAAAGTTTGGTTGACATTAACCACTGTGATGCGCCGAGTTTATTGTGAAATTCACCATGCGCACGAAATCAAGTGTTTCCCCCAAATTTTTTTTCTTCGTAAAATGATAAATTCCCTTCCCTGAACATGCTTATGTAAAAATAAATACCAAATTCCACTTACTTTGGCTGTGGGGACGTGGACAAGGTGCGCTGTAACGCCATCAGAGGCTGGTCGCCCGTGCGTGACATGCCCAGACACGGTCGTGCGGGGTCATTCAAGCACCGGGTGGTGCACAAATATATTTTCAATTATTTGTTCTTTGTATTTCCAATGCTTTTTTATTTTATCATATATGATGCATATTTGTGCCCTTTACAATATGTATACAGTAAAATGTTCATAATGTTCCATGGAACTGTGATACATGTGTCAGTAATGTGTCCACAATAACTGTTTATTGTCGCAATATTACTTGTTAAATGATGAAAAGACCACACACTAGAATGCGAAAGAACGACGACGTTTCGGTCCGTCCTGGACCATTCTTGTTAAAAATTCACTAAAATTACAATATGTACAGTTTCACACACTATTTACACAGTAACACACTGTACTGTATTACACACTCAGTACTTCGGAAGTGAGTAATAGTCAACAAAGTAGTCCATGGTACACAGTGTTACTTTGCTCTCGTTGCACCAGGTACAGATTGATTTTCGCTTCCCGTTTCTTCGTTCTGTGTGCTTGCAAATAACGCACTCACATACACACCCTCGGCTTTAGTGGTATGTAGCCAAGCTTGTAAAACGTAAGGTAGTCTTGAAAAGATTATAGGGAAAGATCAATTTGTAAGGTAGTCATGAAAAGATCACTTTGTAAGATCCTACACAGGAAGAGATTCAGCCAGCCCCGAAGAGTGTCCATCAGTCTGGAAGAGATTCAGTGAGCCTCAAAGAATGTCCGTCAGTCAAGAAGAGATGCAGCTATTCTTGAAAATAACTGGAAAACACCACCAAGGAAGCCGCTAACATTGTTCATCTATGCTACTTGTATCAGATGCATCATCACAACGCAGAAAACGATTCATCTATGTATCTATATACATAGGAGATAGCATAGAGGGGCAAGGGTGGTGCTTAGAGCTACAACTGGATACGCTCGCTGTATCGTCCTCATAGGTGCTGTATCACTTGCATCAGACCTTTGTGTTAGGTCCTTATTGCACCTAGCTTCACCAATATTATGACCCTTATGTTCTTCAAACAATAAGGTTTGAAATTCACTGACAGAACGCGATCTTTTATCACTGCGTTGGACAGGTGTTTGGGAGCCAGAGGTGCATGCGCCACCCATGGTTGCTCACTGAGTACTAACCCAGCCAGCAATTGCCAGAATGCTAGGGCATTCTGGGAATTTTTTCCAAGATGGCTGCCTCTCACTGGAGGTGATAAGAGTCCATTTCGTACACAACCAACCGCACGCAAATTAAGAATGGTTACGAAAAAATAAAAAAGTTTTCTCGGTTGGCGTAGTTTCCCACCGTCCGAGAATACTCCGTTGGCGCAGTTCAGTGGTTAAACTAAAATTAAAAATCACGTAATATGGCACCTTAAAAATAATCCAATTTACTGCTGTAAGATAACTCAACTTTTCGCACTTATAACTTACCTCAACATTTTGCTCTCGCTTCCGTTTCTTAAGTAAGCACTTCATGTGAGTTTCTGGCGAGTTCACCACTAACTCTGGCATTTGTCTCATCTACGGAAAATTAATTCCATAAACAACTATAAAATATTAGAAAAGGTTGCCTCTGTGCCATAACATGAACCCTTACTCAATATACAGGGATTAAATTCCCATTTGGTGTCACCCCACTATAGCATTAACTGTACTGTATTAATCTTAGTATAACACTTTCGTGGGCCTGGCAGACAACTCGCATCGCACCGCAAGGTAAGCCGGCCATTGCCGGTGAGCACACAGCCCACTGTTAAAATATTTGAATCACAATGTTTATACAGTGGTACCTCCATTTTTTAATTTAATCCATTCCCAGAGACGGTTCGATAACCGAAACAAATTTTCCAATAAGAAATAATGTAAATTGAATTAATCACACACCCAAAAATATTACCTTAAAAATACATTTTATACAGGACACTACTCATATTTATCACACAAAAAACAATCAGGTATAAAAATAAACCATAAATAAAATAAGTGAACATTTAACTACACTTTACCTTTACTGAGGACTCTTGTTGGCACATGGGAGATGATGAGGAGGGAGGAGCAGTGTTGGTGTATGGGGAGAGTGAGGATACATGCTTCAAGGAGTTCTGAGAGTTGTTGTTCTCACAAAGCCCGGCCCGAGGCTAGGCTTGACTTGTGAGAGAGTGGTCCACCAGGCCGCTGCTTGGAGTGGCCCACAGGCCCACATGTCCACCACAGCCTGGTTGGTTCGGCACTTCTTGAAGAAAACTATCTAGTTTTCTCTTGAAGATGTCCACGGTTGTTCTGGCAATATTTCTTATGCCCCACCATCCATCCATTCAGTTCCCCCCCCCCCACCCTCCATCCATTCAGTCCCGCCCCTTCCATCTATTCGTTCCCCACCCTCCACCATCCATCCATCCATCCAGTTCCCCCACCCCATCCATCCATCCAGTCCCCTCGCAATCCATCCATCCAGTTCCCCCACCCCATCCATCCATCCAGTCCCCTCGCAATCCATCCATCCAGTCCCCTCGCAATCCATCCATCCAGTCCCCTCGCAATCCATCCATCCAGCCACCCCCCCCACCATCCATCCTGTTGTCCTTTCAAATACAATATTCAAGCGCGATCTTGAGGTTATCTTGAGATGATTTCGGGACTTAGCGTCCCTGCGGCCCGATCCTCAATCAGACCTTTTTGTTACATATCCTTAGGAAGCAGCCCGTAGCAGCAGTCTAACTCCCAGGTACCTATTTACTGCTAGGTAACAGGGGCATCAGGGTGAAAGAAACATTTTGCCCATTTCTCTCAGCCTCCACCGGGGATCAAACCCGGAACCTCAGAACTATGAATCCGAAGCGCTGTCCACTCAGCTGTCAGGTGCCCTCGCCCACAGAGCAATTGTCGGAAAACCTGACACCATTTATTAATATTACATGCAATATGTAGATAATATTGCTGCTGTGTTGTATACACAAGTTAACCCATAGAAAATGTAGCTTGTAGTGGAATTTTCCGTCAATAGAAAACAGAATATGATTGCCACATAGTACTATAAGTTCACCAGTTATTCTGTTGGGAATTATTCATAAATACAGTAGTCTTTGGACTTACACCATAAAACATCTCATTTGAGTTAACTTAATTATCAGTATCAAAATAAAGTAAATGTGACCCTTCTACCACATATTGACATCTGGACAAAGTGAGCCAAGCGTGAGTAGTTAGGAAGATCAGCCATTGTTAAGACCAGAGTCGTTGGAGCAAATTCCTCTCCTATAATTTCTCTTGGACGAAGTGTTATGGAGATCAAATCTATTAGTGCTCTACCATCATTAACACGCTGTCAACAACCACAAGGGAAGTGTCTTTCCGAAATCTTATCTAAGTCATTATTGGCCAGTAATGTTATGTTACAGGATTATTTCCGGTTAGAACACGAACGATTGACTCAACACAGGTAATTAAGCCTTGGTCCTTATCTAATAATATACAGTGTTTTCTCTGATATAGCTGTCATATATTAGGATTCTGGCTTTACAGCTAGTGCCCTTTGACAGGAACAAGAAGAGGAAGCAAGAATTAATCTTGGTACATCAGTTACTTGGGTGATGGAAGCTAGCCTCTCACGAGGATAATTTGGTGGCTACATCCTACTAAGGGAGCCGGTCGGCCGAGCAGACAGCACGCTGGACTTGTGATCCTGTGGTCCCGGGTTCTATCCCGGGCGCCGGCGAGAAACAATGGGCAGTTTCTTTCACCCTATGCCCCTGTTACCTAGCAGTAAAATAGGTACCTGGGTGTTAGTCAGCTGTCACGGATTGCTTCCTGGGGTGGAGGCCTGGTTGAGGACCGGGCAGCGGGGACACTAAAGCCCCGAAATCATCTCAAGATAACCTCAAGATCCTAGTTATACCTGGTGGACTAAGCCTGCTGTACAATAAGATAAGACACCTCCTCAATTTATATACTAATATATGTAGTTTAATACTGTAGTTTGATTGGCTGCATATATATCAATTTAATATAACCCCCCCTAATGTCTAAGGATCGATTTGTGAGAATTTGCAGAAATACAGTTCACTTAACATCATACAAATTGCTATTGAAATATATAAATTAACATAAATATAAATTCTATATAAATGAAATAAATATAAATTTCACAGGTCGGTTCCCACAGCAATCATCACTAGGAGGGATAAACTGGTAAAGTGAACTCGCCTCACCCAGCAGAACAGAACCACATGCTTGTTAACCCATACAGTACATGTATTAGCAAACTTGAGGACAGTGTCAAAATTTTGAAAGAAATTGAGTTCGAGTACCGAAAAATTCTAAAAAGGAGGCAGTTGAAAACCGAGGTTCTACTGTACAGGGGTACTTGTTAATAAGAATAACCAAAAATTAATGCCATCATCCACCAAACTGCATGCATTGTTTGGATGACTGCAATACATGTCGTCAGGATGCCAAAGTGGCAAATACAGCTATATCAGAGAATCCCACGAAGCAATCTAAAAGAACTTTCACACACAAATGACTTCTTACAGATAAGTGACAGCTTTGCATGAAACCTGCAAATAGTAGTATCAACTAGAAAACACCTTACATCATATAAGAAAATAATGATTACAAATATATGTTATGCAGATCACAACCTAATTGAAGCTCAGACAAGCTTCGGCAATAGACCTGTGCAGCTAGTCTTAATCGAAGTGGAGAATTCAGCAAATTCAATTTTAATCTGATCTTAATTGGGTCTTTAAATGGGCATCCAAAAATAACCTGTTAAATGAAGATAATTTCAGGCTACTGCACTATGCAAAACGAAAATATCAAAATGGAAACTACACAAAATGTAGTCAAACCACATTATTGAAAGCAAAGCACAATAAAAGATATTAGGGAATAATATCTTTTATGTTGTTACAAGACCATAGTTTTAAAGAACCCAAAAAAGTAAATGTCACAATTGCAAGAAAAATGACAAGTTGGATAACAAGAACATCTCAAACAAGAGATGCCATACTAATGATGATACTTTTTAACACTAGTGCTCTCCATATTGTTGCACACTAACAGTACAATTCAAAGCTAGAGTAATTGCTGACTTGGAGAAAGTCACAAGGTATTTTACTGCTCAAATTCACTCAATAAAAACATGTAAATTACTGGAATTGCTTAATAACAATTTTAAATCTGTATTTTCTAGAATGCAGATGCATAATAATTTACTTTATAATTATATAATTATATATATATACTTTATATATTTCATAATTTAATTTATGCCCGAAACGCTTTGCGTAATAGTGGCTTTAGGCATTGTATGTACTAGCTCTACATATAAGTCAAACAATCCTTGTAAATATTTATTGTATGTATGTACCTTACCTAAATAAAATTGTATTGTTGTATTGTATTGTATTGTACTCTTGGAAAATAATAGAGGGGCTGGTTCCAAATTTGCACATAGAAATAACTCCACATAAAATCAGGAGGCATGGCAAGATGTGCAAAATAGCCGCATTGAAAAGCAGAGATGCAATAGGTATGCTGAGAGAATTCTATCAACATGAAGGGCCCAAGACATTTCAACACACTCCCTCTACACAAAGGCATAACTACCCAACCTCTCATGGTGTTCAAGAGAGCACTTGATAAATACCTCCGAAGGAGGTATTTATCAAGTTCCACCCAAGCCACCAACGAGGCGGCCTGGTCACAGACCAGGATGCAGGGATGCTGATTTTCGAAACCAACAACAGGTAGGTAGACACTTTCAAAATCTATAATGGAAATATATTTGACAAAGCTAATCATTTATATATTTAGCAAACAGACCTGTGTTGCTTGAGCATGTTTCTGCTGGCTACATCCTTGCAGTAACTGTTTTATCATCCTGTCTTGTTCTTTGATCCTTTCACGCATCAGAATTAGCTCATCTGAAACACAATACACAGTATACCTATTTAAGAAAGTAGATTTTATAGTTTAAACGGACAACTCAGATGAAGCCGTGGGTTGTGGATGTTGACGCCCAACACTTTCAACACTCCAACAAATGTGCACACCCACATCCCTGTCCTGTGCAACATGGGGAAAAGGGGCGAGGGGGGTTCCACAGAAGAGGGGAGTTCCACACTGATGTGAGTGGGCTGAAGTGTTTCTTTTATGGAATGCTATAGTACCTACCCTTGCATTAAAAGTGATGTATTGATCATTTGGATGGAGACACAAGGTGGTACAGTAAATTAAAATTTGTTTTGACTTTGGCCAAAAAGTGCTTGATGAACTCATGCAAATATGGTACTCTTTAGAAATCTGTGCTAATATTTAGATTTCTCATAGTACAAAGAAAATGTAAAAATCAATAAAACTAATAATTACTGCATCAAAATTTCAGGAATAGATATCATAAAATTAAATTATATAAAATCTTGTATATGCAAGATCAAGTATGGAGCACTTATATTTTTTCATTACAGTATATGTATATTTCTAATTCTTATTTGCAAAGAAATTATTCTGAAAGTGTTAATTTTTCCAAAATACATTAAAGATCTTACCATATTTTACTTTCTCTTTCTCTCTTTGTATTTTGAAGTAGTTTGCAGCTTTTAACTCCTCAAAACTAAATTCTTCGGTTCCACAATAAACCTTAAATAAGTAAATTTAAAAACATTAGTTACAATATATTGTATGAAAAAACATAGGTTTCTTATTCATGTATTTTAGTTTTGTATGTAACAGTTGCAATACAAATATGCATTATAACCCAGTTCCCACTACTAAAACTTCTAGATATTAAATAATAAAACATTGAAAATATCACACATTCATTCATATTACATTAGTTAACAGAGGGGTGGGAACCTTTCGTATACAAAAAAGAGATTTACTTAGCAAAGATTTCATAAGGCCATGCATTGAATGGCCTTATGTGTATATTCAAATACTGAACATCACAAACTTACAGATTAAATTTCATTAATTTAAATGCCTTTCAAAAGCTGCACAGAGTACATAAAAGGTTGCTCGTTCCCCACCCCAGATTTAGCACAATAAATTAATAATTTACTGCAGTGAAAGATATAGCAGGAAATGCAGAACAGAGCCAGTGAAAAACAGAGGTGCCATAAGCATGGAGAATATTATATATTGTATGAATATTAGAGCCCCTTGGCTTTACAACTTTCTTCCCATGTGCGAAATATTGCCAAAATAAAGGTGGAACTTTCCAAGAGGAAGTGGGACATGGTCCTGCAGGAAGTTTTAGGCCTGCCGGGTCGCAATGAACGAGTTGACCAATACAAGCATTAACTTCACTGATCAAGTTATCAAAAAAGCCAGCCTGTGGGGTGGAAAAACTACTGAAATGACTACAAGAAAGAAAGAAAAAAGAAAGAAAGAAAGAAAGAAAGAAAGAAAGAAAGAAAGAAAATGAAAGAAAAAGAAAGAAAGAAAAGAAAAAATCCACACTCCAGTAAATAAAAAAACCAGCATTGAATGAAATGAAACACCATTTTCTGGGTGAGCCCCGGAGGCTCCCTGGAGCTTATCGGACTAATGTATGTTATATTAGACCGGGACATTAGCTAAGGAGTTCAGATCTACCAGGGAACAGCGCCAGAACCTGGCCCCTTCAGAGAGGTTTCAGGGAGCAATGGCCCTGGAAAACCCTCTTGTGGTTGGGGTTTTCCTTATCTGCTATCAACCGGGGTCAGGCACCCAGAAAGGTAGGCATGACAAAACAAACCCCACATGGTAAAAAACTAAAACAAAAAAACGAACAGAGGTAGAAACTACTTACAATCCCAAAGAAACAAGCAAACATCACACTTTACTGCCGCCCCGATCGTCCGCGCAGCCCTCCCCGCCCCAAAAGGGGGACGGGGGAGCCCCGGACCTACCTCGCCGGCTGCCCAGCTTCAGTTTGGAAGCTAAGCTTCAACCAATGCGAAAAAACCACCGACCGGTGGGAGGGAGGGTTGCCAGGGAGCCTCCGGGGCTCACCCAGAAAATGGCGTTTCATTACATTCAACGCTGGTTTTCTGTGGCGAGCCCCTACGCTCCCTGGAGCTTCATACCCAAAGAGAAGGAAATGAAAGGGTTAACCCGGGAGGCGGCCGCCGCAAACTCTGCAACGCGAAGCCGAGACAACAGGTTGCAACCTGCGACCCAAGGCAACAAGAACGCACAGGAGCAGACGCGCATAAAGAATGGGCGGCCAAGAACCTGTGCGACCCTCAAATCCCTGCGCCCGAAATGAGCCCTAGACATCACCAACACAGCAGCAAAAGTTGCAAACGTCTGAACAGCACGGGCGCAAAGAGAGACCGCAGGCAGGAAGAATGAAAAACTCTGTGGACGACCGGGGAGACCCCGAGCCCTGAAAACAGGGAACGAGGGGAGCCGGATCATCCACAGCGTATCCCCAGACACAGTACGCAGGCAACAGCAAAAAGCACAACCGGACAACACAAGACGCACCCCCGGCCAAACCAATCAAGCATCAATAGCCCAAGAACTCCTCCGGAAACCAGCCGTCTCGACCGTCGCCAAGACAGAGAAAGGCTGCACATGTACAAATCTACCACCAGTACCAAAGAGCAGAAACCTGAACCAAAGGGGCTACCACAAACTGAGAAGATAAGAAGACACCCTGATCAAGGACCAGGATGGCTCAGGCGACGCATGAGCAGGCCGGAGGTGAAACAAAACACGAGAAAGCGTATGAAACGTCATACTGTCGCCAAGACGAAGCTCGCAGGTGGGACACCGTCAACAAAGCCACCTGAACACCAGAGATGGTGATACCCGCGTCAAAATACCAGACACGAGGAGCCGAGGAGAAGGCCGAACCAGTCACGTACAGGACCGATTTGACCTGCCGAAAGAGGCGGAGCCGCGGAAAACGCTCCGGGTTCGGGCACCTATCAAGCAGCGTCTGAGAATAAGGCTGGGCCGGCCAACAAGGAACCATAAGGACTGCTCTCGTAGGAATAGGCTGCAACCGAGCCAGAACCCGAAGCAACAGCTGGACCGGGAGAAGAGGAACAGGTACCCCCACCTCGACCAGTCCTGCCGAAAAGCATCCACCGTGAATGCCTCGCAGGTGGGTAAGGGCACCACATAAAATGGGCGACGCCTAGACCACGCCGACTCGAAGACGTCCATGGCCAGGAGTCCATACATCCAACAGAGCCAACAAAACGAGTCAGCGACGATTAGCCAATCCGCGAACAGAGGAATGAACCGAGACAGCTGTCCGCCAGGACGCAGGTCACACCCCGGACATGAACCTCACGGTTAGCCAAACCCCGAGAATCCAGCAAACGAGCCACTACGGAACCAACCCCAAAGGACAACACCTAAGAGAAACCCTGTGGTTCCTGCAAAAACCGCCAGAGAACAGTCTAGACGGAGCTGAATGGTAGAGCACTGAGTGACCCAAACCCTCCGAAGCGCAAACCAGACAGCCACGAACTCCTGAACCGTGCTGTGAGCCCGACGGACGGACAGACTCCACCATCCCCGGCCGACCTGGTGAGCACTGGTCACAAAGCCCCAGCCGAGAGATGACCCGTCCATGAACACATCGAGCGAAGGCTCGGGGAGGTGCCAAGGCACGGAACCCCGAAAACCCCAAAGAGGAAGCTGGTGATGCAGCACCAACACAAGATCCCCGGAGGAACGAACCCAACAAATGCAAGAGGCGGAAGGGGATCTCTCCGAAGGAACCAAACAGACGCCGAAGCCAAACCCGATCCTGCAGGCAGAGCAGCACGTCGAAGCCGGGACCCCCTCATGTACAGCCGAAGGCGGGACCACAGCCGCAGCAACACTTCTGGAGGGAAAGACAATGAGTGGCCCAGTAGCCCTAAACAAGACCCAGGTCCGAACCCAGGACGGAAACAGATGGAATGGCCTCCAGATCACCAGGAAACCAATCCCGGTGATTTGGAAAGAACCACCCCCTTTGGCGAGCAGACAAGTGGACTGAATGGGAGTCTACACCAGCCAGTCGTCGAGGTAGGCCAGACACGGAATCTCAAGTACTCAGACAAGGCCCTAAGATCTGGTGATATGCTAAGATGCAAAAAATACACCAAGTGCCAATTACAAAATAGGGAAAGCAACAAAAGCAGCAAGCCTGAAGCCCCACCACCAACTGTGCCAGTCCAAGAAAACTGGAGAGGAACGTGCCAAGAAGTGACCTGGAGGTCCAGGGCCACCATCCAGGCACCCGGCCCCAACAGAAGCCGGACAGGAGACAACAGTCCTCCGAGGAGGGCATAGAATCCAGGGCGCAGACTGAAGAAATCCAGAAGAACCGCAGATGCGAAAGGCCCATGACTGCAAAGAGCAGACGGGAACCCCAAAAGGATGGGGCAGATCAACCATGTCCAACGCACCCACTAAGATGACATGATGAAGCGCAGGGGAAGAAGCCCACCCCGCCAGCTCTGAACCCCCCCAAAGGGGAAGAAGCCGTCCACCGACGCCACCAGAGGCCGGAAGACAACCAAAAGCACCCACCAACAGTGGGACCATGTGAGAGTCAACAGAGCAAGCTGCTCCCCCAGCGCCCTGTCAACAGAGAAGGGAACAGAACCCCTTCCGAAAGAAAAAAGTACACACACATATACACATTATGTATATACACATACACACAAGGTATGTTACACACACGTGTATATACACATGTGCACACACACACAGCGTACACATGTACATGCGTACACACATACATTTTAAAAGAAAAGTACAATTTGCCGACCAGCGGGCAGAGAGCACCACGCCGGCCAGGCAAAGAAGGCACAAAACTGCACCAAAAGGCCCACCTCGACAACAAAACCTCAAATATCAGTCTGCAAGCCAGGAAGACCCCGGAACTCCAGAAGGCAGAACCAGGTCACACGAGGAAACAAAGCCCCGCTGAACCCACAAAGGGGGCCCAAGAGGAAGGAACTTACGGAACGAAACCAAAAAACCCAAAGGAACCCAGAATCGAACCAGGGGGAGCCCAAACCACCACATTTGCCGGCGGAGAACAGCACAGAAAGGCAAAGCACAGCCCCCAGACAGAACCCCCAGGGAAACGGTCATAACAGACCGAAAACCGAGGGACAAGGTGTGGGAGCAAGCATAACGGCCAGGGACACTGAGCCCAAACCCAAAACAGGAAAAAAGGGAAACCCGGTGTAAAATAAACACCCAAACGTTACCAGAGGAACAGGAAACGGGCAGAAAACACCAGAAAAGCAAAGAAACGACAACAGGAGAATAAACCCCCTGAAAAGAGGTGAAAACTCACCCAAGAAGCTCGCTCGCACACCCAGACGCATGTAAACAAACCGCAACGCCGGGAAACCGGCAGAAGAAAATGGCCACCACAACAGAGGGCTGTGACCGACGCAAAAGATACGAAAACACGCCAGCAAAAGTGGGAAGCAAGCAGACTGGATGGACGAAAAACTTCGCCCAGAAGCAGAAAACCCAGGCAGGGGCAAACTGCCCCAGCACTGCTAGCAGACATCCCCCACAGCCCCGGGAACCAGCAACAGAGGCCCCGGGGCAGAGCCGTCTTCCAAGCCCTCTGCCCTTAAAGAAAAGCAAGAGTCCATGGGAAAGGCAGCAAGAAAGGGCCGCTGGTAAGACCCAGAAGCCTTGGCAAGAGGAACAGGCTCGAAAACCTCTGTCCCCTAACCCGAACGGGGCAGCCCCCGAAAACTGCCAGTCTCTGCCCAAACTAAACCCCGCCCCGACACCGAAACCCGCAGACAGTCTGGAGCCAGGAACAGGGAGGGAAAGGGGCGAACAGCACCTAACCAAAACAGGTGTCCTCGGGGCATCCGAGTGGGAAGCCAACCTAGCATGTTGCAGCAACCTAACCTAGCTTGCAACACGGATGCCGCCTGTACTCGGAACAGAAATAACATCAGGAGAGTACTAGAAAACAAGCAGAGAATCTCTCGCAAGACTCCGGGTCAAGGTGTCAGTGACCCAACAGGCAGCATGACGGAGGTAGAAGTGGCGACTGTCACCCGGAGACAAGGGCACAGCAACCAACGATCTCGTACAAGACGGGTTGGAACCCGGAAGACACATTCAATGGTCCCCCGAGCCTAAACAGGGGTTTCCAGGGCCCGTAGGCTGACTGCTACGGGAAGCCCGGGCAAGGTGTTGCTAACCGGTTAAGAAACCCAAACATAAGAGGGTAGAGGATAGCACTGAAAACCCCTGCGACGTGTACAATCACGGGGGCCTAGCAAAGGGCCACCAAACACTACCAGTGGAACTATAGCCACACTAGACAGACCCCCACTAGGCATGAAAAGAAAAACAAAAGAAAACCCCCGCAAAAGTACACCGTCTCCAGAGGCAACAGGAACCGGTCGCCGCTTAGGTGGCAGGCTGTGCAACACCTTGACGCCCTAACCAACACAATACCAATCCCTAACCAGGGCCAAACAAGGGCCCCCAGCCCCAGCTGGCCCCAAGGGCGAGGCAAATGCCGAGCAGCAAGAACCGGGAATGGTTCCCGAACGCCCCAGGGAAGATAACCCTGTTACGCAAGGGCAGTACTCACAGGGTGCTTAGGGAAGTCAGCCACTAAGCGCATGCAGCCCTAGCATTGATGAGGTACTCCTGGGCACCGCACAACGCAACACAAGGCAGTGAACGCCACACAAGGCAAACACCGCCTAGGAAACTGAGGCCAGAGAAGCGTCTATCCCGGTTGACACTAGCTTACGAACTGAAGCTTGGCAGCCGGCACGGTAGGCCCGGGGCTCCCCACTCCCCCTCTCAGGGCGGGGAGGGCTACGCGGACGATCGGTGCGGCAGTAAAGTGTGATGTTTGCTTGTTTCCTAGTGATTGTAGGGAGTTTCTACCTCTCTGTTCGTTTTTTTTGTTTTAGTTTTTTACCATGTGGGGTTTGTTTTGTTATGCCTACCTTTCTAGGTGCCTAACCCTGGTCGATGGCAGACAAGGAAAACCCCAACCACAAAGGGGTTTTCCAGGGCCATTGCTCCCTGAAACCTCTCTGAAGGGGCCAGGTTCTGGCGCTGGTCCCAGGTAGGTCTGAAGTCCTTAGCGACTGTCCCGGTCTAATATAACATACATTAGCGCGATAAGCTCCAGGGAGCCGTAGGGGCTCCACACAGAAAATAAGGTTGTTGGGGCCGGACGGATGGAACGAATTCCGCACTGGAACGAATCGGCTTCGCCCCATATAGTTCGTTGAAGTGAGGACACTGTTTTCAGAGGTTAAAAATGGGGGACAGATACACGGAAAATGAAAAGGAAATGTGTGAAACATTAAACGAAAAGTTCCAAAGTGTGTTTGTACAAAATGAGATCTTCAGAGAACCAAACGATAAGAATTCCACAGAACATAGAGCGTATAGAGGTGTCTAGAGATGAAGTGAAAAATATGCTAAAGGAGCTAAGTAAGAATAAAGCAGTTGGCCCACAAGGAGTTTCACCAGGGGTCCTGAGAGAATGTGCATCTGAGCTCAGCATTACACTTCACCTGATCTTTCAGTCATCCCTGTGTACAGGAATCGTAGCAGACGTGTGGAAACAGGCTAACATAGTTCCAATCTACAAAAGTGGCAGCAGGGAAGACCCCCTCAATTATAGATGTATATCACTGACAAGTGTAATAGTGAAAGTATTGGAAAAACTAATCAAAACTAAATGGGTAGATTACCTGGAGAGAAATGATATAATATCAGACAGTATGGTTTTCGATCTGGAAGATCCTGTGTATCGAATTTACTCAGTTTCTATGATCGAGCCACAGAGATATTACAGGAAAGAGATGGTTGGGTTGACTGCATCTATCTGGACCTAAAAAAAAAAAAAAGGCTTTCGACCGAGTTCCACATAAGAGGTTGTTCTGGAAACTGGAAAATATTGGAGGGTTGACAGGTAAGCTTCTAACATGGATGAAAAATTTCCTGACATAGTAAAATGAGGGCAGAAATCAGAGGCAATGTATCGGACTGGAGAAATGTCACAAGTGGGGTACCACAGGGTTCAGTTCTTGCACTAGTGATGTTTATTGTGTACATAAATGATCTACCAGTTTGTATACAAAATTATATAAACATGTTTGCTGATGATGCTAAGATAATAGGAAGGATAAGAAACTTAGATGATTGTCATGCCCTTCAAGATGATCTGGACAAAATAAGTATATGGAGCACCACTTGGCAAATAGAATTTAATGTTAATAAATGCCATGTTATGGAATGTGGAATACAAGAACATAGACCCCACACAACCTATATATTATGTGCGAAATCTTTAAAGAATTCTGATAAAGAAAGAGATCTAGGGGTGGTTCTAGATAGAAAACTATCACCTGAGGACCACATAAAGAACATTGTGCGAGGAGCCTGTGCCACGCTTACTAACTTCAGAATTGCTTTTAAATACATGGATGGCGATATACTAAAGAAATTGTTCACAAGTTTTGTTAGGCCAAAGCTAGAATATGCAGCGGTTGTGTGGTGCCCATATCTTAAGAAGCACATCAACAAACTGGAAAAGGTGCAAAGACACGCTACTAAGTGACTCCCAGAACTGAAGGGCAAGAGCTATGAGGAGACGTTAAGAGGCATTAAATATGCCAAAACTAGAAGACAAGAAAAAAAGGTGATATGATCACTACGTACAAAATAGTAACAGGAATTGATAAAATTGATAGGGAAGATTTCCTGAGACCGGGAACTTCAAGAACAAGAGGTCATAGATTTAAACTAGCTAAACACAGATGCCGAAAAAATATAAAATTCACTTTCACAAACAGATTGGTAGACGGTTGGAACAAATTAGGTGAGAAAGTGGTGGAGGCCAAGACCATCAGTAGTTTCAAAGCGTTATATGACAGTGTTGGGAAGCCGGGACACCATGAGCGTAGCTCTCATCCTGTAACTACACTAAGGTAATTACTCCCTCATGAAGGAAACATCCAGAAAGTTTGAGAAGTGAAACAGACAACTGTAAGGTTCACAGAGAAAAGGGAAACTAAGCACCCAGTAACTCTGCAAATTATCCACTCAGCAGTTAGATCGAAATCACTAGTCACAGTAATTCACTGCAAGATGGCAGCATCACCAGGAGCTCCAGCTCCTAATGTCAACAAACCAAAGTCCTGGACAGGAGAGAGCAAAACCTTCCCATTGATGAACCTGGATGCTGCTCCCAGCTTGCCTTTTTTGTGTTTGTAATTACTTATGTGTAGTTACAGGATGAGAGGTACACTAGTGGTCTCCCGTCTTCCCAGCACTGTCATATAATACTTTAAAACTACTGTACTGACAGTTTTGGTCTCCACTACTTTCTCCCTTAACTTGTTCCATCTACCATTGTTTGCAATAGAAAACTTTCTAATATTTTTTCAGTACCTTTATTTCCCTAGTTTGAATCTATGACTTGTTCTTGAGGTTGCCAGTTTCAGGAATTCCTTTGTCAATTTGACCAATTCCAGTTATTATTTTATGAGTGGTGATCATATTGCCTCTTTTTCTTCTATCTTAGCCATATTTAATGCCTCTAGCCTCTCTTCATAACTCTCATTTTTCAGTTTTGGAAGTCATTTTGTAACATACCTTTGCACCTTTTCCAGTTCACTGATGTTCTTTTTGAGATATGGGCACCATACAACTGCTGCATATTCCATTTTGGTCTTACAAGTCATGAACAGTTTCTTTATTATTTTACCATCCATGTAATGAAAAGCAATTCCAAAGTGGGAACCTGCAAAAGATGCTCCTCATACAATATCCTTTAAGTGTTCCACTGGTGACATTCTACTATTCAGAACCACTCCTAGATCTCTTTCTTTGCTCAAGTTCTTTAATGCCTTTCTACATAATTTGTAGGCTGTGTTGAAACCATTTTCTCCTATTCCACATTCCATAATATGGCATTTATTCACATTGAATTCCATTTGCCAAATGATACTCCAAGTACTTATTTTATCATGGTCAATTTAAAGTTTAAAGGGCATGACAATCGTCTACATCTCCCTTCTTCCCTAGTAGATGAACATTACTGGTGCATGAACTGAGCCCTATGGTACTCCAATAGTAACTCCTCCAGTTAGATACAATGCCTCAAAATTACCATTCATATTTGTCAGAAAATTTTTCATCCATGTCAGCAGTCTCCCTGTCCCCCATCACACTTACAGCATGATTCAGTTTCCAAAACAACCTCGTGTGGGACTCTTGTCAAAAGCCATTTTTAGGTCCAGATACACACAGGACACCCAACCATCTCTTTTCTGCAGAATCTCTGTTGCACATTCTCAGCACACAAAGTTCAGTCGACATGAGGGCATTATATTCAACTCGAGATCAAAAGTGTGAGAACCATTCCTTTCCCCCTTCCTTATATCATGTAGCAAAATGGACTAGTGCTACCAAATGAATGTTATCTGTAAAAAATAACATTGAGGGCATGTTTACTTCTTCCTACCTTGTGTTTACAATATTGTGGTTGCACATTTGGGTCAAATGGCTCTGGAATGAACAATGCAACATTCCAGTCTTTAAATTCATTGTTGCGAATTGATAAAACATTGCTTGTTTGTGGGAGTTTTGCTGGTGTAGCTACTACATACTGCAATGCAGTTTCATCCTTATGAACTGAAAAAAATTAGATAAATTAATTTCATGTTGGTGATATCTGACTGATTTTTACTTAAAACTGCCTTCTCTATCTCCCAGCAAATTCTGAGGGTGTATAATAGAACAGAACATCCTAAGGACTAGAAAATATGACACACATACTTTAATATAAAATGTTGGCAGTGAAGTATGCCCCCCACCCCAAAAAAATAGTAAAATAATAAAAACTTGATAGAGTTAAATGCAACAAAATGAACTATCCAGGAATGCAATAACTGTAGGATTGGGAATTTATATACATGTGCAAGCATGTGAATGTAATGTAATATCCATCATTTTTATTTCATCTGTTTAAGTACAAATTAAAAATTAATACATCCCTATAATTTAAACAAAATTATCTTACGAGAGAATGCAGGTTTGTTGTATTTATTGAGGTCTTCCACAGGTACAACTTTAATAGCTTTCTGTTGAACTTTGTTTTTAGTCCATAAACCAGGTTTTTTTACATTTTCTTGGTTTATTGTGGCTTCTATAGGAAGTACACCACCTTTGTCATCAATTCTGCTATCATGATGATGGCCAGTAGATGTGTTTGAATCCTACAAGAAAGAGACACTTTACCAATATAACGCACGTGAGATTAGGAACAGCTACAATAAAAATCAATTAGCACAATACAGTATCCACTCAAATTAAGGACCTCTGATTTACCGTTCTGTCGGTTCTAACGACAAAATTTTAGATCGTTAATTAGCATCTTATTTACAGTCATTGGCCGTTAAATCCAGAGTACGGTACCGAGTTTGTTGTAACAATCTTGCCCTCGCTAGGCCAGCAGTTACAATTTTCCTTCACAGGTTTCACTTCACCTGTTATGCAGCATCCAGTCAGAGCCAGTCACAGTTAGTCTCAACCAGTAAGAGGCAACCATGGTCAAGTCAGTCAGCAAGGAATTCACAATCACAAGTCACAGTCATAACCAGTCAAAGGCAGTTAGGCATTCACAGTTGTGGTACCTTGTGGTTACCTTGAGGTGTTTTCGGGGCTTAGCATCCCGTGCGGCCCGGTCGTCGACCAGGCCTCCAGGTTGCTGAACTGGTCAACCAGGCTGTTGGATGCAGCTGCTCGCAGCCTGACATATGAATCACAGTCTGGTTGATCAGGTATCCTCTGGTGGTGCTTATCGAGTTCTGTCTTGAACACAGGGGTCAGCTAGTTATGTCCCTTATGTGTAGTGGAAGCGTATTGAACAGTCTCGGGCCTCTGATGTTGATAGTTCTCTCTCAGAGTACCTGTTGCACCTCTGCTCTTCAACGGGGGTATTCTGCACATCCTGCCATGCCTCCTGGTCTCATGTGATGTTATTTCTGTGTGTAGGTTTGGGACCAGCCCAAACCTGCACTGGTAGCAACCAGTCACAGTTTGTAAACAATATGAGTATGATGTAGGGCATTCAGGTCATCTGCCTCCCAGGCCACCAGGTGGTAGGAAGGTAGCCAAGAATCGAAACCATACAATATTAATCCCGTACAGACGGACCATAGACATGGATGGAGGGGTGAGGAATATATCTGGGAGGGTCTGGTGTGGGGAATGGGGGGGGGGGAAAGGAGGGTTAGGATGTAGCAGGTATGAGGGAGCCGAGGGATGGATCCAGTGTCACCTAAAAGCCAGTCTGTGATAGTCCACCTGTCAGCCTCCAATCCATCCATCCACCTACCCACCTTGCCTGTTCACCAGTCAGCCACAATCCATCCATCCACTTACTCTGCCTGCCCATCCACCTTCCCACCCTGCTTGCCAGTCAGCCACCATTCCATCCATTCATTTACCTACCAACCAATCCCTCCACTCACCTTCCAGTCAGCCACCAATCCCTCCACCCACATGCCAGTCAGCCACCATTCCCTCCACCCATCTGCCAGTCAGCCACCAATCCCTCCACCCACCTGCCAGTCAGCCACCAATTCAACTGCCTACCCACCAGCCAGCCAGCCAGCCAGTTATCCATCCACTTATCTAGCCCACTTGCCTATTCACCCACCCACCTACCAGCCAGCAAGTTATCCATCCAGCCCACTTGCCAATCACTCATTCACCTACCAGCCATCCATCCAGCCTGTTGCTCTCATAATATGGCAAGAGCTACCAACATTTTAAAGCCTCCGGATTTAACAACCTGGGTACAGCCCCATATAGGTCGTTAAATTGAGTGGATACTTATAGATTAAAAACAAGCCTATATATTACGAGATTCAAGTGTAACTGGAAGTAACATCATGAACAAACTTCGTATGGCCCTTAGGCCTATGTCAGAGGACACTAGCCTTGCCTAAATAACTACTGGAAAATATATAATAATTGTAATTTGTTGCGCAATTACTTAATGACTCATGCCTTGCTCTAGACAAAAGATTCGTTAATAAATCAATAATAATGAAAAGGCACCACCCTTATGTTTTCATTAACAAATAGTAAATAATACCTGGAAATCTCCATGTCCCAAGTCACACAGATGATATGTAAAAGGATAAAGCAGTACAGTATCCTCGGACCATCATATCACAGGATATGAATGAAGTGGTGTAAGGAGTAAACACACTTCCAAAACTATAAAAAATGTTGACCTAGAAAACCACTTCTTACTTGGAATATTGAAAATGCAGGACCTCCGGCATTCTTTATTGGCTGATCTTGGGAAATACGTCCTGCAGGCCCAAGCACAGATGATCCCACACGTTCATAGCCAACACGATTGTTGCGACCTTGAGGCTTGAGAGAGGTAAGTACTGCTCGATGTGGTTCTGTATTCAATTCATTGCCTTCAAGCATTCCCTCCATAGTTGATCTAGCCACTCGCATTTGGAATTTTCTTAGAAAAAAGCATTAATATACAGCATGTAAGGGGCAAGAGCATTGCTACAACTAAATATTGCTGTTCTTTAATTTTGTGGCTTGGTAGTTCAGTTGTACTGTACTACAATGCTTTGCATCAAGTGAGTGGAGGTTCAAGTCTCAGCCACACTAATTGAAATTTTCAAGGTACTGTAGTGTATGTATGTGTATACACACAAAATTCTCAGGGGAAATTGACAGGGTGGACAGAGACAAGCTATTTAGCATGGGTGGAACATGAACAAGGGAACACAGGTAATTACCTAAATTACACTTAGTGTAATTTAATTATGTGTAATTAAGTGTAATTACCTAAATTACACTTAGGTAATTACAGGTGGAAAACTAGTACCCAAATGAGCCACAGAGACATCAGAAAGAATTTTTTTTCAGTATCAGTGGTTAACAAATGGAATGCAAAAGGCAGTGATGTGGTGGAGGCAGACTCCAAACAGTTTCAAATGTAGATTTGATAGAGCCCAATATTCTCCAGAATCTGTACACTAGTTGATTATGAGAAACAAGAGACCCCAGAGCTACCAGCTTCCTTTTCCAGCACCTCAGCATAGCGATACAGAGGGAAAATGCACACTGGATTCAGGGTTCCTGCCGGCCATCTGAGGAGCTGGAGGAACTCAACAACTTATGATATTTTTGTACCTTGTGTATATAACTCCTTTTTTTGTAACAGTTTAAGTAAAACAAATATATATGCATATATATACAAAAAAACTGGGGTGGTAGGAGAAGAAAATATTAAAGTGTTAAGTGAGAATTCACAAGGTCTCTGAATACTCTCTATTTTCTTCTCTGAGATTATGGGTCACTACAATTGCACCAGCGGTGGTACCCTCAATTTATATATATATATATTTTTTCAGTTGAATATAACCGAAAGGGTAAGATTATTGATTCTAATACAAATCTTCTCAATATTTCTTACGTTTTATCTTCACTGTCGAGGGAAGTAGAAAAATTAACTCTAAAGTTCATTTTTACATTATTATGTAGATAATTACATGTTCCTTGATAGAGACCTGTTGTTTGTGCATTGTTAATTGCCTAGAGAGACATTGTTGTCTTGCCTATATATTGAAGCGTAAAATAATAAAATAGACGCCTAGGGATGTGTTTTGCAAGGTACACCTTACACTGTCAAAGACAATTTTACCATGTTTAACATCAGATTATATACTTTTTGGGTGAAGTGGTGTATGAATGCCATAAAAAGGGGTAATTAAATTTATCAGTGAATAAATGGATCAAGGGGTATCAATGAATAAATGTATCAGGAGGTATTAGTAGGGTCATTGGATGCTGTGTCTGCATTGGCTCTGGGTCTTGAAGTAGGTAGAATGTAATCATGTGGTAACTGGTTGTTGATTGCTGATCTGGACTTCTAAATATGTAGTGCCTTGCTGATGTCCAGTCTCCTGCTGTCGTTATATCTATCGATTATTTCAGTGTTGCTTGTCAAGATGTCTCTGGCGATGATCTGCTTGTGAGTGAAGATTACACATTCCTTGATAAAGCCCTGTTGATTGTACATTGTTAATCGCCTAGAGAGACGTTGTCTTGTCTAGATATTGAGAATGCTGGGGCTGACAGTCCCCAAGTGGACATTTGAAGGAATAGACGACCTAAGGTTCTTTCAAGGTGTTAGTTTTCCATAAGCAAGTTTGCGGTCTCTTTTTTTTTTTTAGTAAATTGTTACAGTGATACCTCGGATTACGAGCATCCCTGGTTACGAGCAGGAAAAATTGGAAATTTTTTAATAAGTTACTTGGAAAATTTGTATCGGGATACAAGGGTGTTGATACGCGTACGGGCCGACCTAGTGGTGGCACGGCGATCGCCTCTCAGTTTACTAGTGCCTCGCGCCCAGTGACTATCCTGCCTGAATTCTTCACCAGGATTTACAATGTTTCGTTGAATATTTGGCCATTTGAACATAAAAGTTGTTATTATATATCTCATTATGGGTCCCAAGAAAGTCAGTGGTAAGGTTTCATTCGTACCCATTTAAGTGGGTACTTCACCCACTTCAAGACCGCACCAATATAGAAGCATCAAGAAATATGGGCCAATAAGCCCTTTGCAGTTACTTCCATTCTTTCCTTTAACTTACAAAATATTATACCCATTGTTTCGTGTTCTGTCTTGTGTTGAAAGTTTGTTTTCACCTCATCCAAAACTGTTGTAACATATCACCTCACCCAAATGCAGGTATAAAATCAAAGCTGTTTAAACTCTGTTTAGTGTTTGCAGGTTATAGTTGTGTGTGTATAAACTAAAGTCTTTCAAAATGTAATAAGTTATTATGAAACGCGTTCAAGTGTCGCGTCAGACTAGAAATAAAAATGAATTTTGGAGAATTGATTTTTCAATTACCATCAACAGTGAAAAGAACCATAAGAAATATTGAGAAAATTTGTGTTATAATTATTAATCTTACCTTTTCAGTCATATTTAATAATATATGTCTACAGGAAAGACTGCTACCAAAATATACTAAAATAAATATATATATATATATACACACACACACACACACACACACAGTGGCACCTTGACATACGATTGCCCCTACTTACAATAATTTCGAGTTACGATATAAATTTCATCGAAAAATGCGACTCGACATCCGATATTTGTTGGTACACGTTCAGGTCGGCCGAGCGCGTGGTTCCCGGTCACGCGGTCCGACCTGCCTCAGTTTACTACAGCTACTCGCTTAGTGACGATCGCGCCTATAAGAAATTCCGCTTTTGTGGTGATTTTTTTTGCATTTTGAACATTAAAATAATTGTTATATAATACGCCATGAGTCCCAGGAAAGTCAGCGGTAAGGCTCAACATATGAGATCCCATGTAAGAATGACCATAGAGCAGAAACAACAGATCATTCGTAAATATGAAGATGGTGTGCAGGTAGGTGAACTGGCTAGGCAGTACAACAAATCTCAGTCAACGATATCCACCATACTAGCTAAGAAAAAGGACATTATGGGTGCTAAAGTGATGCATCATTACAGACAAATGTTAAAATGAATTGAAAAACAAATGTTTCTTGACAAATTTGTAGTGAGACAAACAAGCACTGAACCACAACCAGGTCCTAGTGGTATTCAGGCAAAACGTAGGAGAGAGTGTAGCCCAGAGAAAACATCACTGCCTGATGTGATAATGGAAGGGACTCTTTTCCTCCTCCCCCTTCATCACCATCTTCCATACGCCATCAAGAGCCCTCCATAAAGGTAAGAGTAACTATGGTACTGTATTGTAGTTAGAAAAAACATTGTATTCAGTATAAAATGTATTTTTATGTTAATATTTTGGAGGGTGGGGAACAGATTAATTCAAATCCCTTTATTTCTTATGGGAAAATTTGCTTCGACTTCCGTTCTGTCTCTGGGAACGGATTAGCATCGGAAGTCGAGGCCCCATTGTATATATATATATATATATATAAAGAAAATTTTGGTAGCAGTCTTTCTTGTAAACATTTGTTGTTGAATATGACAAAAAGGGTAAGATTAATGATTCTAACACGAATCATAATATTTCTTACATTTTTCTTCACTGTTGAGGATAATTGAAAAATTAACTCTCCAAAGTTCATTTTCACATTTTTTTATTTATGGTCTGACGCCTAGAAGCGTTTCGCAAGAGACTTCTCACATTTTCAAAGACAAATTTTTATGTACTTCATTTCATGCTTATATTTGCTTTTGGATGAGGTGATATGACAAATTTTTTGGGTGAGGTAATAAAACACGAACCAATGGGTAAATCATTGGGTAAAGATGATTTTACATAGTCAGAACACGAATCAGTGGGTACACTGTACTGTATTGCGTATTTTCTCTTCTTGCTTCTGTATTGGTTCGGGGTCTTGAAGTGGGTAGAATGTAATTTTGTGTTAATTGGCTGTTGATTGCTGGTGTTGAATTTTTGATGTGTAGGGCCTCTCTGATGTCGAGTCTCCCGCTGTCGCTGTATCTATCGATAATTTCCGTGTTGCTTGTTAAGATTTCTCTCGTGATGGTCTGGTTGTGTGAGGAGATTATATGCTCCTTGATGAAGCCCTGTTGTTTATATATTGTTAATTGCATAGAAAAAGACGTTGTAGTCTTGCCTATATACTGAGATCTTTGGGGCTGACAGTCCCCAAGTTGGCCTGTGAAGGCATAGACGACGTTTGTTTCTTTCAAGGCGCTCTGTTTGGTGTCTAGAGAGTTCTTCATGAGTAGGTTGGCCATTTTCTTGTTTTTGTAGTAAATTGTCAATTGTATTTTCTTTTATACAATCTTCAATTGTATTTTTCAATTACCCTAGACAGCGAAGAAAAACGTGATTAATATTGAGAAGATTCGTGTAAGCAGGGCTTTCGGTCATATTCAACATTATAATATATATATATATATATATATATATATATATATATATATATATATATATATATATATATATATATATATATATATATATATATATGTATATATATGTATATATATATATATATATATATATATATATATATATATATATATATATATATATATATATATATATATATATATATATATATATATATATATATATATATATATATATATATATATATATATATATATGTCGTACCTAGTAGCCAGAACGCACTTCTCAGCCTACTATGCAAGGCCCGATTTGCCTAATAAGCCAAGTTTTCATGAATTAATATATTTTCTCTATTTTTTTCTTATGAAATGATAAAGCTACCCATTTCATTACGTATGAGGTCATATTTTTCTTATTGGAGTTCAAATTAACGTGTATATATGACTGAACCTAACCAACCCTACCTAACCTAACCTATCTTTATAAGTTAGGTTAGGTTAGGTAGCCGAAAAAGTTAGGTTAGGTAGGTTAGGTAGTCGAAAAATAATTAATTCATGAAAACTTGGCTTATTAGGCAAATCGGGCCTTGCATAGTAGGCAGAGAAGTGCGTTCTGGCTACTAAGTACGACATATTAGGCACCCAGAAAGGTAGGCGTCCCAAAACAAACCCCTGTTCTGGTGAAAATTGCAACCAAAAACCGAACGAGTGGATAGAACTCCCCAAACAAAAACAAGCAAACTAGTATGACGTAACCCATCATCACGCCGCTGTCTGGTATATATATATATATATATATATATATATATATATACTGTACATATATATATATATATATACATATACATATATATATATATATATATATATATATATACATACATATATATATATACATATATATATACATACATATATATATACATACATATATATATATACATACATATATATATATATATATATATATATATATATATATATATATATATATATATATATATATATATATATATATATATATATATATATATATATACATATATATATATACATATACATATATATATATATATATATATATATATATATATATATATATATATATATACAGTGGTACCTCGGAATGCGATTGTCCCTGTATGCGAGGTTTTCGGAAGGCGAGGTGTATTTACTCCAAAAATTTGTCTCAGAAGGCGAGGGTTACTTCGGGAGGCGAGTTTGGACGCGAGTTTGTTGATACGCGTACAGCCGACCTAGCGCGTTCGTCGCCCCTCCGCCCCTCAGTTTATTATTGTCTCGCGCTCAGTGACTACCCCCACATCAATTCTTCTCGCGGATTTTCAGTGTTTTGTTGGAATTTTTGGTGATTTGTCTATACAATTTGTTATTATATATCTCAGCATGGGTCCCAAGAAAGCCAGTGGTAAGGATAAAGGCCAGAAAGCTCATGTGAGGATGACAATAGAGGAGAAACAAGAGATCATTCGGAAGCATGAGAACGGTACACATGTTGTTGAACTTTGTAGGCAGTACAACAAAGCCACATCAACAATATGCACTATACTTAAGAATAAAAATAAGATTATGGGTGCTAAAGTGGCAAAAGGAGTAAGAACATTAACGGCACAAAGACCACAAATACTTGAAGAAGTGGAAAAGTTGTTATTAATTTGGATACACGACAAGGAGTTGAGGGGTAATAGTGTTTCGGAGGCCATTATTTGTGAGAAAGCCAGGGTGTTGCACGAAGACCTTCTAAAGAATACCCCTGCAACGAGTGATGCAGATAAGAAAGAGTTTAAGGCAAGCAGGGGCTGGTTTGAAAAATTTAGAAAGAGAAGTGGTATCCATAGTGTTACAAGGCATGGGGTTATGTGATGTGATTATGGAAGGGGACTCCCCTTCCAAACAGTAACTCCTCTCCTCCTCCCCCCTCCTCACCATCTTCCATACGCCTACAGCACTCGACAGCAAGGTAAGTAATAACTGGAACACAGTTTTGTAGGTTTATTTAGATGAATTAGGTAAATTAGGTATAAAAATTTAGTTTGATGTGGGGTTTTTGGGGTAGTCAGGAACGGATTAATTCATTTCCCTTTATTTCTTATGGGGAAATTAACTTCGGAATGCGAGTTTTCGGAAGGCGAGGCGTCTCCAGGAACGGATTAAACTCTTATTCTGAGGTATGCCTGTATATATATATATATATACATATATATATATATATACATATATATACATATGTCGTACCTAGTAGCCAGAACGTACTTCTCAGCCTACTATTCAAGGCCCGATTTGCCTAATAAGCCAAGTTTTCATGAATTAATTGTTTTTCGACTACCTAACCTACCTAACCTAACTTTTTCGGCCACCTAACCTAACCTAACCTATAAAGATAGGTTAGGTTAGGTTAGGTAGGGTTGGTTAGGTTAGGTAGGGTTGGTTAGGTTCGGTCATATATCTACGTCAATTTTAACTCCAATAAAAAAAATTGACCTCATACATAATGAAATGGGTAGCTTTATTATTTCATAAGAAAAAAATTAGAGAAAATAAATTAATTCAGAAAAACTTGGCTTATTAGGCAAATCGGGCCTTGCATAGTAGGCTGAGAAGTGCGTTCTGGCTACTAGGTACGACACACACACACACACACATATATATATATATATATATATATATATATATATATATATATATATATATATATACACACACACACACACACATACACACACAGGGGAGTTGTTGAAAGGCGGGACCAAAGAGCCAAAGCTCAATCCCCGCAAGCACAAATAGGTGAGTAAACACACACACACACAGTGGTACCTAGGTTTAAGAGTTTAATCCGTTCCTAGAAACAGCTCGTATTCAAAAAACTCGTAATCCGAAGCTAATTTCCCCATAAGAAATAATGGGAAATGAATTAATCCGTTCCTGACTACCCAAAAACCTCACTTCAAACTAAATTTTATACCTAATTCATCTAAATAAACCTACAAAACTATGTTCAAGTTATTATTTACCCTTGCTGATGAATGCTGTAGGTGTATGGAAGATGGTGAGGAGAGGGGAGGAGAGGGGAGGAGGAGAGGGGAGGAGGAGAGGGGAGGAGGAGAGGGGAGGAGGAGAGGGGAGGAGGAGAGGGGAGGAGGAGAAGGGAGGAGGAGAGGTGTTACTGTTTGGAAGGGGAGTCCCCTTCCATTATAACATCCGGCAGTGAAGACCTTTCTGGTGTGCCCTGCCTGGCACATTTTGCTTGCACTAGGCACTAGTGCTCCTGGGGAGGGGGGAGCTGCGCAGACAGCGGCGCGATGATGGGTTACGTCATACTAGTTTGCTTGTTTTTGTTTGGGGAGTTCTATCCACTCGTTCGGTTTTTGGTTGCAATTTTCACCAGAATAGGGGTTTGTTTTGGGACGCCTACCTTTCTGGGTGCCTAACCCAGTCGATGGCAGACATAGAATGCTTCCAACCACACGGGGGTTTCTATAGGCCATTGCTCCCCCTGCCTCTCTGAGGGGGACGGGGTCTGGCTCGTGGTCCCTGGTAGGCCCATAAGAACTCCGTACACATGACTGATGCCAAAGTCTGACATTAGCATATCAGCCTGGTAAGCTCCAGGAAGCCGTAGGGACCCCCCTCCCAGAAAACCTTTATTATATAGTAATGTGATAACCGAGTGTCATAGAAATGATTTCGGTTGACGCTTGTGTTTTTATAAGCTCTTTGAAAAATGTTGAAAAATTGTCTAAAATACAATTTTTTTTCTCCCCTTCTATTTAGGCTGCAATGCTGAAACTTGGACCAGTTTTAGCCCTTTTCACATGTAAAGCATCAATAAATTTTGATTGCACTAGAACAACTTTTAATAAACCCTTCTGATGCCCCCTTAAAGGAAGAGGGAAAGTTCATGAAAATGGGCAGACAGCAGAATAGAATATATTCCATACAGGAGTGATGAAGTTACCCTGTTGAGTGGATCAAGTAATTGTGTTCAGCAGTCTCATGGGTCAACTGGGACAGTAGATATGGTGTAAACTGATAGGTCTCTTATGGTTTTGTAAGGGTGTAACTTTGGTGTAAGCTAGCTGGCTCGCTGTTAATTGACAAGTGTAGTTTTTGTGTTATGCTGTATCCTTTAACAGGATACAATGCTACACAAGCTGTATTCTTTGTTCAATATTTGCTAATTATGTTTTTAGGGCCATTTCTTCCATCTTCTGATATCTTTATTCTTATTTTATCAGTTGTTCCATTTGATATGTAGTCTCTCTCTCCTTATTCCTCCTTCCTTGCCTCTCTTCAGAACCTACACGGCACATAATTTATCAAATCTTGCATTTTTTCTTTTCTTATATGCACACCCAATATGTCAGGTCATTAATATTATTACTCCTTTGCAGCCAACTATGGGATCATTTTTTTAAATTACATATTCTAGCTAGAGGAGCTACTAGGACTTGGTGAATACCTGGAAAAGAACAATAGAAGCAACACAGGTATGGGTACCTCAAAATGTGAATGTTTAGGAGATAATAGGACAGGACAACAGTCAAGCCTATGAAATGAAGGATATGTGTATAAAAAAAAAAATCTAGTACTTACTTGTGAGCTTCATGAAGAACATCAGCAGGTTTTGCACCAAGCTGAATACCCTTTTGATAGATATTGTCAGCTCGTTTGTAATTTCCAATCTTTTCAATCTCCCAAGACCAACTGATGTAAAATTCAGCAAGTGAAGTGAATAGCCCTTTAGCTTCTAAAGTCTGGTAGCATTCAATTGGTGATGCACTTACATTTGCCTGCAAAATTACACTTGTCACAAATATGGCTGAGTAAATATGAAAACTTATTTTCTTATCAAACTACTACTGTATGTTCTGTAAGGCAAGATAACTGATGGTATCATTGACCAGAATCATTATACATTACTGCCAATGCTCGGTAATCTGAATCATATGCCCCTCCCCCATTTGAGTTGGTTGACTTTTTAAAAGGAAATTTTAAAAAATTAAACTCGAATTTACTTGAGATTATTAATACCAATTTGAGTTAAAAGGTAAAAAACTTGAACGTGAATTCACCTGGATTACCCAGAGATTTGGGTTATTGAAATCCGAATTACCTAGCTCTTTACAGTTACAGTGTATACAGTAATTTACACCATTAACAGATCAAATGACCTTCCTGTAATTACTATGGACTGGAGAGCTTTCCTCCAGTGTATCCATAATACCTGACTGACCAGACAGGCACATTAAAACAAAATTCTTGGTCTGGTACAAAATGTTACTGCCTTAAGCCTAAACATGATCCAGTCCAATGAGACACCAGTAATATTGATTATGTGAGTGGAAGCTCAAAAACACACTTCTATAGGGGTCAATCTCTCAACATTGAATTATAGCACTGTATTTCAGAGAATATAGCTACAAAAACACAAAATAGTGAAAATCTATATCATAGCCAGGTAAGTGCAGTTATAGTTGTACGTTGATGGGAGACCATCAGGCAGCAATGACTGCTGGGAGACAGTAGTGAGTTATTGGAACCATATGGGCATCACTGGTACACAAATTGACACCTTAACAAATCATTATTTGATAACAGCAATGAATTAGATGATCAACACGATAACTGCACAAGAATGCTAAAAACCACAAAGGTACCAATTAGTTCACCGGAACACTCGTTAAACATACATGTAACTCAGTCGGGCATACATAGGAGAATAAGCAAACTCAAAAATATTCATCACCCATTTCTCCAATTTTTACATTACAATGCAACCTCAGTTTGGTGCACCTCATTTTCATGAATCTCCGACTGCAAAACACACCTGGTTTATCAAACAGGATGATAAAATGATAATTGTAAATGCCTATAGCCCACCAGCAAGGAGGCACTAGATGACAAATGAGAGGGCCTCATAATGGTCATGAGAGAAATTATAGTAAAAGCAGAGATATAAATCACGATTGTTAGTACTAGGGAACTTCAACTTGAAGCAATAGACTGGGAGGCCTATTGCTCTCAAGCAATGGAACGGAGCAAGAACGTTCAAAAGAATGGAGCAAGAGCAGAGGACACTTTGAACGGCAGATTTGTAAACCTCATTTTTGAGACATTCATGTATCAACACGTCAAGCAACGCCCAGTTCAGTCGCGACCTGCAACGGATTCCTTACAAGAGTACCACGGAGGTGAAGGTGGAAACATAAGACTTCCAACACTCACGTTTAGCTATATGGATGGTCCTACGGGCCACCACACTCGCTTTCCAAAACAAAACAAAAGACTCAGCCGTCTGCCAGCGGAGTTGTGTCTTCCAGGCTGCATGCTTACAGTGGACAGCCGAGGACAGTCTACATTCCACCAAGGAACGCACTTCTGCGTTCCCCAAGAGGTATAGCGAGGAATAGAGCGGAGGGCAGCGTCGAAGACGATGTCACGAAAAAGGATGGAGGGCACGAGGGAGAGGCAGAATGGAGAGGTCGGAGAGAGTAGCGCAGAGGGTAAATAGGCGCCAGTCAGAGTGGCAAACCGCCATCTAGAGAAGGATAGGGGAGGGTGAAAAGAGAAAAAGGTAACAAGGATGGGAAATAGTCACTGCCATGGAAGTCATCAAGAACCCACCATGTGAAATCCAAATAAAGAGACAAAGATCAAGACAGGGAGAGGTGCGAGTCCGAGAGTCCAGATGAGTGGGCTCCCAGAATTCAGAAGAGACAGGGAAGAAGAGAGAACGAACGGTTCGAGGAGACCCGGGTGTTTGTCAGAACATCACCCCAGAGGGTATGTTGACAACTGAAATCACCCAGCAGCAGCACAGGCTCCGGCAAGGAGTCCAGTAGGTGTTTGAGATCGGGAAGAGAAAGCGGGACATTTGGGGGGAGATAATTGGAACAAACCGTGTACCATTTACTCACAAAGACACAGGCAGCAGAACATTGGAGAACATTGAGTGTCAGAACATTGGTCCGACACTCAAATTTTTCATTACATGTTAATTTTTGTGATTTACACACACACACATTATATATATAAATAAATAAATAAATAAAGCAGCTGCATCTCACAAATGCCTCCCAGAGGCTTCTCTGGCCTTACAAGTTTCTCATCAATGTGTGTCTTGCAATTAGGAGAATACAAGGGGCCTGTTTTACTGCATTCCCAAATAAAATTTTATACAAAGTTGAGTGAATAGCAGTGCCATTTTATAGATTGACTTCTTAATGTAAATTAGACATGTTAATATACATTATGCTTAAAAAAAAAACTAAGGTACTAAGCAGGAACTCACACATTTAATCCAGATATCCAACATACGTGGATCATTTTTGTATTTTTCTCGTTTTTCATCGCTGGCGTGAATGTCTTTCAAGCACATGTGAACTATTTTAATTATATTACCTTCCTTCCCACCCTTAGGATAGTTCTGCTCAGTCCAGAGACAATAGCGATACCATACATCCAGGGGATCATCCCCTGAATATGTGCGGAGCTCCTCTTCAAATGCACTGAAAAATAATATTTTAATTAAAAACATCACAAACTAGATAATTATACTGTATTCAGAAAATAGTCATTTTCCATTCCTTATGTCTGACATTTTAACAATAAAATGAATATTAAAAAAAAAAAGTATAGTTCAGACTGTACATATTAAAATATTATCCTAGCCTATAGAAATTATATCATATTTAGCTACTATGGATAGAATATACATAATGTGGTTTAGTAAGTATCATAAGATGGCACCAAGCCAGGAAGGCTACAGCAGTCTGTTGCAGGATATTCAATGGGTACTAAATATCACTCAGGATGCCAATACGAGAGCAACAATATGGTTAGGTTGCACCAGCTTTTCTTATGCTTTTAAAATAACAATACAGTAGTACAAAACATTGTGCAGCAATTATATTTTGAACACTATCACTATTAGCTCTAAGTCAGAGATATTCAATTAGAGGATGAGTTGTATGATACCAGTAAGTAATTTAGCTTAGGAAAGGAAGGGAGGAGGGGGGAGGGGGAGAGATAAGGGGGAGGGGAACAAAAATGAAAAGAGAGCAGGGGAGTGAGGGAAGGAGTGTGGGTGTTGGGGATTAAAGAGGGAGTAAAGGGGAGAAGGGAGAGTGGGTAAGGTGGCGGTCGAAGGAAGGGATGGCAAGGGGGGGCAAGGGAGGGAGGTGTGTTCCTAGTGGTGGTTGAAGGGAAGGGGCTAAGGGGGGGGGGGGGTTGATCCTGAGACCCCAGAAATCTTTAACAAGTTAACCTTTATCAAGTGAAACCTATAAAGTGTGCCACATACTTTGCTGACTCTTAACTATGACTGAATTTGTGGAGGTTTGAGTGAGAGGAGTGTCGAGGGGTTTATAGTGAGCATGCATGCATGTTGACCAGACCCCACACTAGAAGGTCAACATGCTTCAGCCACATTGTGACTCATCGCCTGCATAAGTAATTATGTGTGCTAAATGATACTGTATATGCTTTAGCATATATATCTGTTAAATGTAATTACCCAAGTGTAGTTAAAGAATGACAGCTACGCTCGTGGTGTCCTGTCTTCCCAGTACAGTACCTTTTTGTCGTATAACGCTTTGAAACTACTGACGGTTTTGGCCTCCACCATCTTGGCCTCCGACGGTTTTGGCCTACACTTGTTCCAACTATCTACCACGCTGTTTGCAAAAGAAAACTTTCTATTGTTTTTTTAGCACCTTTGTTTCCTTAGCTTAAACTGTGTCCTCTTGTTCTTAAAGTCTGGTTTCAGGAATTATTTTGTCAATTTGGTAAATTCCTTTATGTACAGTATTTTGTAAGTGGCGATCATATCACCTCTTTTTATCTTCTAGTTTTGGTGTATTTAAAACCTCTAGCATCTTCTCGTAACTCTTGATTTTCAGTTCCAGAAGCCATTTTGTAGCATGCCTTTGCATCTTTTCCAGTTTGTGCACTTCTTGAGAAATGGGCACCATACAACTGCTGAATCTTCCAAGTTTGGCCTCACAAAAGTCATGAACCGTTTCTTTAGTATATCAACAGCCATGTAATTAAAAGCATGTCTGAAGTTGGAAAGTGACACATGCTCCTCTCACAATGTTCTTTGTGTTCCTCTGGTGACAGTTTACTATCCAAAAACCACCTCAAGATCTCGTTCTTTAATGCCTTTCCAAATAATTTGTAAGTTGTCTATTGTCTCCAATCCCACATTCGATAACATGGCATTTATTCACATTGAATTACATTTGCCACATGTTGCTCCAAGCACTTATTTTATATACAGTATCAGTTTGAAGTTTATGACAATTGTCTCCATCTCCTATCTTCTGCAAACATGTTCATTTAATTGTACTCCTTCTGGTAGATCATTTATGTAGATGATGAACATTATTGGTGCAAGAACTGAACTTTGTGATACTCCACTAGTAACATTTCTCCAGTCACATACATTGTCTCTGATTACTACCATCATCTGTCTAGTCTGCCAGTTAGATAATTTTTCATCCCTGTCAAAAGTCTTCCGTCACCCCTCTAGCATGTTCCAGTTTCCAAAACAAAACATTTTTGTGTGGGACTCAGTCAATAGCATTTTTTAGATCCATAATGAATTATGGATGATGCTTTTAATGAATTTATAGAAAAGACCCAGATCTGTTTTACATTTGTCCACTATACATTTCTTAAAGCTCCTTTCTGCCTCCCTCCTCACTGTTGTGTATTTGTTTCTTGCTTGTGTAGTGCTGGTATGTTTGTAGATAAGGCCTTTTCCTCTCTGCCCCTCTCACAATTTGTTGAACGAATCCTATTTTCTGGTTCTGCATCCTTGTTTTGTTATGAATTTGCCCCTCTCACAATTTGTTGAACCAATCCTATTTTCTGGTTCTGCATCCTTGTTTTGTTATGAATTTGTGTGCCTTCATCTATACTTCACAATATGGCATACATCTCATATACCTAGCATTTAACTCATCTAATTTAACTCATTAAATAATTTTCTAAGTTCACCATAGTGTTCGCTCTTGAAATCAAGTTTATCAACTGTTTCAATATCCCAATTATCTTCTAGATTATATTGCAAAACATATTTAATGTCCAACAGGACATGATCACTCTTTCCCAAGGGAGGAAGGTACTGGATGTCAAATACCTCCTCCTCTTTCCTGGTGAATATTAGACCCAGTACTGACAGAACATCCCCTTCCCTCATTCTTGTGGCCTGCTTGACGTGTTGATGCATGAATGTCTCCAAAATGAGGTTTACAAATCTGCCTGTCCAAATGTCCTTCGTTTTTACCTCATAGGCCTCCCAGTCTATTGCCTTCCCCAGCACCAACAATCAGGATTTATCCTTGTTTGCTCTTACAATAATCTCTCTCATGACTATTATGAGGCACTCATTTGTCATCTAGTTCCTCCTTTGTTCATGCGTTACTTGCTGGTGGGCTGTAGGCATTTACAATTATGTTTATGTTTGTGTTGCTGAAGAGAGGGGAGGGGGCATGGTATTGCTTAGGATATAATGTGGTGCTTGTGTAACTGGAAACCCTAAAATGGGGAACCATAATGCATCAGGAATAGGTCAACCAAGTCTAATAACAAAAGCACCAAAATAATGTGCCAATAAACAAATAACAAATCTGCAAAGTCTACAATACTTACTGTCTAGTAATATTTAGCGCCTGTGAAGCACTTTCATCAAGGGCTACAGATAGAACCGTCTCTTTCCTTCCTTGTCTCAAAGGCTGAATATTCTCCTTACTTAACTCCCAACACTTTGATTCTTCAGCAACATCCATCTCACCAGGTCACTTTCACAACTACTGTACCAAGAAAGTTTAGAGCAAATTAAATATAATTTAGTAAATTACAGCAAATTAAGCCATTTGTGTATAAAGTATTGTATTTGATACTAATATCACCATGAGGCAGTTACTGTTACATTATTATGTTAATCTACAGTACTACATAGTAAACTTTGTCAATATATATAGTACTGTACATAACAAATCATTAATTTGAATTTTGGAGCATGTGGCACCATTGTTACCCAAAATATTTATTACATTTTTTAAATACAAATTATATTGGTATTTTTCTTCTGACACCCCTAGTTATTGTTTCCCTGAATCCCACGTGAAAAGAAAAACTTTTTTTTTCATGTGGCAACTTGTTAAAGGTCCTCCCATTTTCCCCGCTGGATTTTAAACTGCAGTAATGTCTTGGCATTTATGGCTTTGAATGGTAGGGTTAACTCCATGGGTTAACCCTATGGGTGAAAAAGTATTTTCTGTTTTCTGTCCTACATTGTGCCAAGTTGAGCTTAAAGGCATTGGCCCTGTCTGTGTTACATTTGACCTTTCATAGTAGTAGTCTGAATTAATATCCTGCAACTTGCTCACTCAGTACAGTATTTTAAGAGATCAGTGCTGTCATGTATGGTTTAGAGAATCAAGTGCAGACTGAAGACAAGGACCAAAATCTGGCCCCATTGGTAGAGGCATAAGAAAGTCTAGAGAACAAGAACACATTACCAAAGGAAACACCACAAGGGTTCAAATCAAGGGGTCCCAAATTGTGGAATGACCTCCCAAATGTAATTATAAGTTGTACATCTCCAAGCCAGTTTAACCCTTGGACCATGAAGAAATGGTCATAGAATTCCCTATGCACAAAAAATAAAATTACAACAAATAATTTTTCATTATAGAATTATTAATTTGTATGGAAAATATAAAAAAAAATTAAAACAAGTGAATATTTAACATTTGACTGGGTAAAGGCACTGCAAGACTGCATCTGGCACTTGTCAATGCCTGGTGCTCGACTTTGACACTTCCTGTTCCTCTTTCTATAGCATTGTCAGTGCAGTTTCTTCACAATCAAAAGGTCTCGGATTCAATTCTCCTGGTCAGTGTTATGGGTGTGTTTCATCCCTAGTAATGCCCGGTCACCTAGCACTCGACACGTACTGTACCTAGCAGTACACAACTCTTGTGGCTTGCATCCTGGCAAAAGTTACTACTGTAGGTGGCCTATGGCGACTTCAGTAAGTGTAATTGGTTTCCAATTCTTGACAATTTAAGAATTTAAAAATGAAAAACTAAGCACCAGAATAAACCGTGGATACATTAGAATACCAGAATAAACCGTGGATACATTAGAAAAGTTTTTAATTGTGAACAAGTCAACAAATGGAATGCACTAAGAAGTGAAGTTGAGACTATACAACCTATGCCTGTTGGTGGCTTTACGAGAATTTTGATATAAAAATAAAACCTGCAGTTACAAGTGTGAGCTAGGCACAGGTACGCCACGGCTCATAACACTAAAGAATCAAAGCTTAACCCTTTAAGTGTAACTCCGCGTATATGTTGGACAACGTTCAACAGGCAATCATGGGATGCAGTGGATATAGGCGTCATTGGGTTAAACACCAATGGGTCTGGCCAGTAAGATGGATGGATGATAAGGTCACAAAGCTTCTTCCCTTTCTTGTTGATAGTAAGTGCAGTTTGCATAAAGGGTTTACAACAAAGCTTGACTGTGGCTTGAAGAGTATTTTTACCAGGACACTCTCCAACAACAACACTACAATAACATACTGCGCCAGGAGGCAACATCATAGGCTTTACCAATTTTCACTTCCGAGTCAATCACGTCCAGAAACTCATAAGAATGAACTAGTGAACATAAAATTTATGAGCATGACGTATAGCGAGAAGTACTTACAAGAGAAAGTGAGATTATAAGGCAGGATAGTAGCAGCAGAAGGTAGGAGCGAAGGCCGCCCTGCGTCCCTTCACCTTCTCCAATTCAAACTGTGTGCAAAACACCTGCGCATGCGCATACACACCCAATTCACACTTGCATGTCCTTAATATTTTTTCTAATACTCTCCCTTATTTTAGAAAATATCTATTATGCCATAGTTATAATATGCGTCTGTGTTAAGATTAAAACAAATTTATATATCATTGCAGAGTCTCCAAAATACCAAGGAAATTTAATATACAATATTTATTCATTTTGGAAACAATAGTATTATCTATCTTACAAATATTTAACCTTATATTTTTTGTGTTGCAATATTGTGTTGTGGATGTGTTATATGTAGCATGAGTGATGGAGGGATGATTTTTGTGGATATGAACGGTGTGACGGAGCGTCAGCGAGCGGCAGTAAACACAAGCTGGGCTCCTCAATGTGGCTACCTCTCGCACCTCCTCCCTCTCTCTCTCTCTCTCTTCCATATACTCACTAGTCACACCAACACCACAGTCATGATGGCCGTCGCTACAGTCGAGAACTCCTCGCTAGACAAGATAATTAAGTGAGTATATATATATGGAAATCTTGAGTACTGTATATTGTACTCAAGGCATCGCTGGAGACCTGCTGGCATTTACAACTTCCCATTACCATTACTTTATACCAACTCCCTATACAATAATTAATTTATACAAACTACCTATACAGTAATTACTGTATGCAAACTCCCTATACAATAATTACTGTAATCACTCATGGACTGAAATTTTGAGTGTCACTTCTGAACAAGTGTGATTGAATTTACGTTTATGCATTTGTATTTATGTCTATGTAAGAATAAGCTTGTACAATTTACCTGAATTTAGCTGAGGGGCCACTAATATCGGTGGCCTCGACGAGGACAGGAAGCCTGCGGCTTGTAAAAGGTCCCCCCATTTGCCCTAACAATGTTAGGATTACCATGTAAGAATATTTCAGACAACCAGGTTTAAAGTACGATGATAGTAATGCAGGAGGCTATGTTCAATATGTATTTTATTTTATTTATATATACAAAAGTTCTTACATGTCAGGCTCCTATGTAAGGCGCCTGACAGCTGGGTGGATGGTGCTTCGGATTCGTAGTCCTGAGGTTCTGGGTTCGATCCCTGGTGGAGGCAGATACAAATGGGGAAAGTGTTTCTTTCACCCTGATGCCCATGTTACTTAGCAGTAAATAGGTACCTGGGAGTTAGACAGTTGCTACAGGCTGCTTCCCGGGGGGTGTGTAACAAAAAAAGGAGGCCTGGTCGAGGACTGGGCAACGGGGACGCTAAGCCTTAAGCCTTGAAATCATCTTAAGATAACCTTCATATACAGCCACTAGCACGCATAGCATTTCGGACAAGTCCTTAATCCTAATTTTCCCCTATGTAAGAAGTGTTATCCTACTGTTGAAGCAAGTTCCCTTAATTTTGTTTAAATATTTCCAAATAGTACCTAACCCACACAAATAGGAGTCACCACAGTGTGCTTGTATTATTTGGGCTAAGCCTGTAGCAACTATATTATTAATAAGTGATATACTGTGCTTGTTCCATATTATTATTAGTTTAAGTGCAGGTAATGAGATTGGTCTATTAATTCTACATAACCTATCTCTAAGTGTTCCACATTCCTAGAAGTCCTACACTAATTCGTGGTCCACTAATTACAATTCCCAAGTGCATGCCTAAGTACAATTCGTACCTCTTCCCAAACTGCTAGATGCTGGTCAGTTTGGCCAAGGTGAAGGGACGCTTGCAATATAAACCCTCTTCAGTGAATCATAATCAGTCTAAATCTAACACTTGAAAGATGCCGCAGATGTTCAGTACCATTAACACTTGCCAGCAACAAAGTAACAGTCTAGTTCTAAAATCAGTTCTACTTTGCACTAAATCAGCAAATAATAGTCAGTATGCCTATGCACTCTGCACCAGGCCCTGATTCCTGAAACTCCATATGCATTAAGAACTGTACAAAACCACTATCGCAGGCCCTAAACATTTTTTTTTTTTTGAGATGGAGCTTAGATACTGGTGTTATCCCTGACATACTAAAAACAGCAAAAATAGCTCAACTCCATAAAGGAGGGGGAATAAAGCAGAGGTGAGGTAAAAAACTATAGGCAGATAGCACATAACATCACACATCATAAAAATCTTTGAAAGAGTGATAAGAAGTAAGATCACAAAACACATAGAAACACAGTACATGTATCACTATAACCCTGGACAACATGGGTTCAGAATAGGGCGCTCCTGCCTATCACAATTACAGGACCACTATGACACGGCCTTAGATGCCATGGAAGACAGACATAACGCTGACATTATATACACAGATTTTGCAAAACCTTTCAACAAATGTGACCATGGTGTTATTGTGCACAAAATGCATTCAAAAGGAATCGCCAGAAAAATAGAAAGATGGATCTACAATTTCCTAACTAACAGAACCCAATGTGTAATAGTCAACAAAGTAAAATTCGGACCATCAACTGTGAAGAGCTCAGTCTCCTAGGGTACCGTCTGGCTCCAGTACTCTTTCTTATTCTCATATCAGATATAGACAAGGACACAAACTATAGTACCGTACCTTTAGTACCATACCTATAGTACCTTTGCAGATAACACTAGGATTTTTATGAGAGTAGACATCACAGAGCACACAGCAAACCTCCAATTTGAGGTAAATCAGGTTTTTCAATGGGTTACATAAAATAAAATGGTATTTAATGAAGATAAGTTCTAGTTCCTGTGCTATAGAAAAAAAATAGAATATAAAAACAGGAACCAAATACAAAACACAGTCAAATTATACCATAGAATGTAAAGCAATGTAAAGAATTTGGGTGTACTCATGTTGGAAGACCTTACCATTAAAGAACACAATGAAGTAGCCATCACAACTGCAAGAAAATGACAGGTAACAAGAATGTTTCAAACAAGAGATGCCGTAAAAAATGATACTTTTCCAGACGCTAGTGCTCTCTAAAGCGGAATACTGTTGCTTAGTAACCGCCCCTTTAAAAGCTGGAGATATTTCTGACCTGCAGAGAATGCAGAGGTTCTTCACTGTTAGAATCCACTCAATAAACCATCTAAATTACTGGGACTGACTCAAAAACCTAAATCTGTATTCTCTAGAGTGCAGGCTGGAGAGATACATAATTTACACATGGAAGATATTAGAGGGATTCTAATATCTGCACACAAATAACATCACATGAGACCAGTAAGCATGAAAGCCGGTGCAGGATATCCCCATTGAATAGCAGAGGTGCAATAGGTATTCTGAGAGAGAATGCTTATCAACATCAGAGGCCCGAGACTGTTCACGTTTCCACTACATATACTACACATACTTCCACTACACTCCCTCAGTGTTCAAGAGAGAACTCGATGAACACCTCCAAAGGATACCTGATCAACCAGGCTGTGATTCATACATCAGGTTGCGAGCAGCTGCATCCAACAGCGTGGTTGAACAGTCTATCAATCAGGAAGCCTAGTCAGAGACCGGGCCGTAGGGACCTTGACCCCTAGAATCACCACAAGGTAACCGCACGGTAAAGTCTAGGTAGGTCTCGCGTCACTGTCATTCAATACCCCCAATCCTTTCACAACTCGCATTGCCAGAATTTGCATCCTTCATCTGGTAGATGGTACCACTTTCATATCCCAACTTTAGGACATTGCATTTATTAACCTAGACCTTGATTTGTTACTCAGCTCAGTCTTGCAATGCAATGGTCTTTCTGTGTCTGGTTTGTGTCTCAGTGAGACTGCAAGGATCCAGTAAGTTCAATAGAACTTCGGTTTCAACTCTCTTACCATGTCATAGCTGAGTTGATTAAGGCAGCGTCTGGGATGCTCTTGGACGCAGGTTCGAATCCTCGTCATGACCCTTGTGGATTTGTTCATTTGATGCATCACATTTTTGTCATTTCTGTGTGTAATGAAGTAAGGGCGAAGAGGGAGAACGGCCTATTGACATAGCTTGAGTGCATGGGGGAGTTGTGTAAAACCCTGGGTTGTGTTTCAGAGAGACTGCAGGATCCAGTAAGTTCAGTAGAACTTCGGTTTCACCTCTCTTACCGTGTCGTAGCTCAGTCGATTAAGGCAGTGTCTGGGAAACTCTTGGACGCAGGTTCGAATCCTCGTCACGGCCCTTGTTGATTTGTTCATCTACAGTATTATGAATAGTATACTGGTAGACCACAATTTTGACCCTGGGGCATACCACTGGTGAAAAAATAAAAATAAAATACTTGTGACATTTCTCCACTCCCTTATCACCCTATTGATGCTAACTATACTTCATATCCTTCAATGAAACTTTCCTACCAGCTAGGGGGAAGCTACTTGGGGCCCCCTGACAAGTATAGGGCATTTCATTACATTAATGGTTTTTTTAAGAGCAGCAGAATTGCATTTATCATTTTTGGCAAAATATGACTATTTTACCAGTACACAGCTGCAACTTGCACAGTAAAGTAGTGAAAGTTGTTCTAAAAGTTACATTATAATCTATACCATTTCTACGGACATAAATGTCTGTCACATACTTATCAATAATCTTATTTTTTATTTTAACTTAATTCTTATTTTTAAAGTAATATATCTACTTTAATAAACTTTCAGCTTTGAGGACTGTCTAATTTGATAACTTGTCTTTCAGTTTTGTCAATGACACTGGATACAAGGAACTTATGCAAAATTCTGCAAGATATAATGTAAGAATCCGTAAAGACAGGATATATCGACAGCCTTATATTGATGGACAAACAGGTATGTTAATAATATTATTGGTTGTTATAACATGAATGAAAGATTAAATGCCACTTTCCCTGAAAGTTGAGTGACAAATTTAACTTATCCTGCAGGAATTCTTATTTAGCTTAGGATTTTTCAATCACTTCAAATATGGATGCGAGTTTTTTTTCTACGCCTACCTCCCTTAGGAGGTGGACTACAAGTTTAAAGGCTGCTCACGGTAGTTAAGCATGAGTCCAATAGAAAAAGGAAAAGCGGGAGCAAACCGCCAGGCCTCCACCACTAGGGGCGAAAACCTGTCCACAATAGGCCGCTGGTTCCTCCTAGTTAAACAGGACGTTAAAACTAATAAAGGGTAACCGACGGGCTCTCACAATCAAATATTTATATTTGATGTGGCGCTATGAATTGGAATTCGAATTCCCAAGAACAGCTGTCATATCAAGATCATATCAACATTCAATCGTATAAAGCAGAACATGGGTGGAAGAGAATGGTTGAAGGGTTGACATCAAAGACCGTTTTCTATAACATAACAATTTATTAATAACAAGAGACTAAACTACTACATTATCGAGTTTACGTTACGTTAATGTCCATCCAGTGGCACAATAACAAACAGCTAAATAGCAACCCTTGCTGTGCGGCTGCATACTGAACTAACCTGAACACAGGTGTGCCCACTGATGACGCAATATTGCAAATCAAAAAAATATCACAGACTAAGTTACACCACAGCGAGTGGTTACGTTATTGTCCATCCAGTGGCAATTGCAACACAGCTATTCAACAGCCCCTCGAGAAATGACAGCAGGCTCCATCCTGCTGACACTTCGGGTTGACAAGTGAACTAACTGAACAATGATGCCCACTAAAGACACAAGCATGCAATCAGTATTGTCACGGCTTCACGGTGACAGAATACTATAATCACAAGCTTAAGGGTCCTCCTTCCAAACAGGAGTGACCCCCGTAACTAGGCGGGTAGTCCAACAGTGACTCCCCCTGTCACAACCTAGTGTGAACACACTTTGCAATTCCCTACAAGAAACTGCACTGTAAACAGTAAACAAAGTCAGGCAAGGTGGGAGTCTAGGACACAGCTCCAGTAATCCCTAAGTTACTCTACTCTCGTCACCAGACGATAAACAAAAGAAATTGCCTTAATCAATTACCAAACTGATTGTGTGATTAATTACGTTAATTGACTGATCACAGCAGTCAGCAACAAAGTACTACGTTAATCATAATTGCCTCTCATAGACAACAACATGATGGTACTCTACGTTAATCATTAACACTTGTCTCTCTTAAGACATGTCATCTTGTTAACAATAACTCAAAACTCTCTTATATTACATCACACTTGACTCCTTGCAAGTATTCAGTGAGTAATTCTTAATTAAGGTCAAACGGACCACTAATTACATCCCCATTGAGTTACGATAACTAAGCCTACCCTAACTTGGTAGCTTCTCAACAGTCTGTGTCAAAATTTACTTTACTGAGTGTTAATTACCCTAATTAACTCCGAGCAATTAATTAACTGTCACCAGGACCGATAATTAATCATCCATAAATACGTCTCACTCCGCACTGCCTAAGCAGGTCTCATCAAACACTGTGAATTCACGGGAGAGGAGTTAATTACCCTAATTAACATGAGTGCAGTTAATCCACTGTCCTCAGACAGGATATGATTAATATAACGATTTATGCTAGCTCCATGACCTCACTTTACAGAGTCATCTGAGTCCTCAAGACTCCAGACGTTAATTACTCCACTAATTGCTATACCCCAGAAAGGTAATTAGTCCCGAGCAAATTACGTTAACACAAATACTGACACTGACAGATCCTCTCCCACTATGTGAATTCATGATGAGAAGGCTAATTACATTATTAGCTAGAGTGGTCAATTAGTTGTCACAGACAATTAATTGCTCCCGAGACGTATCTCACTCAAGCTCAACACTGTTCTCCTATAACAGCTCTCACTCACTCAACAATAAGTGTGCACCCCTTATCCAGTTAATTACCCTTTAATTAACTCACTGAATCCTTAAGTCCTCAACACAACTTAAAGAACAAAGTAACCCCAGTGTTACATAGGTCACACTACAATGGCATGCAACATAAATGCACTGCCCACATACGGTTGCGGCTACTGCAACTCGTTAATTTCTGTGCCCACACAGTAATGACACACGGTTGTGCAACAACAAGAGTATACCAATATTACTGCCCCCCCCCCCTTATCTTGCAACCGTTGCAAGGGACTACTTCAGCAAGACAATTTACGTTAATATAAAGCACCGTCGCTACGCGGACAGCTGGCACTAATTCTCTTAATTAGGCAATTAACAAATCAATTGCTTGCTCTCATTAAGTACTGTGAATTCCCCTGAATAATCAAAGAGGCCCCTCGAAGCCTCAACACAGTTCCTAGGGCAGTAATATTGTATACCTGATAACAACACTGCACAAACCCACAGCATAATGATGCCGTCAGCATACCCCACATGCTAATGACATCATTAGGCAATCAATCAGCAATCTCATCTACTGACTCACCATACAACACAGTACATAAAACATGCAAATGAACACATAGAAATGGCATTCACATAATCAATGAAAATTATATCACCAGATAAATGTATCCCTAACTACACAGACTTCAGGGTATCCACTGACATCCCTGCAACACTGGCCTGCCTACCTCTGGAATGATAATAATTTTCATGCGGTACTCTATGGCATTAATCCAGTCTGACCGATTATATAGAATCGACAACTGGATCATTTATATGGTTGATCTCTACACTGACCGATTACATACCCGAGTCAGTCTACACACTTATATAAATACATACTGTATATAACTACTTGTGTGGTACCATGTACAACATCCATCTCCAGGTACTCCCAACCAGTCACCTGGACGTGCCACTAACAGCTGTCTCTCAGCTGCTTCCCTAGCCTGGCAGGGCTATGAGACAATACAGCTTTTTACCTCAGACACTGTTACACAATGATTATTGTACTCACGTTTCTTCAAATCCTCAACAATCCTTTCCCTGGTCACTACCTCTGGCTGTAAACACCTAGCTCGCTCCTCGTGCGAGGTGTGGCCCTAGAATGTCCAGGGAAGGTGGCCAAAACATGTGGCCACCTCGTGGCCCTAAGGGGGGGCTACGGGTAGCGCATGAGGTCACAGCACCCCACCCGGGCTGAGCTGGCGTGCGGGGTGGGGTGGGGGTTTGGCCAGGGTGGCCCCCCCAGGCGGCTGGCCAAGGTGGGCGGCGCGGGTGGCCTGGGGTGGCCCCCGACTGGCTGGCTGGCGCCCACCGGCATACACACGTGGATGGGAGATCACCTACACTCCCATCAAACCAGCATGCTCGCTCGTACACTCGGGTGACAATGGCCGGCGGCGTCACCACACGGACACCGCCAGGTGGAATAAAAAAGTCCAACAGGGGCCTGTAATATCACCAAAATTACACTGCCCATATACCACCAATTGTCCATTGTCCATCAACACTAGACAGGATATTCGAACCATCTGTTACACCATGAGGCTCTGCCAGCTGCCTCATGGGTGCCCACTGTCTCTGAGGCTTTTACTGTTCCTTTCGTACCTCATCGGCCCCAATTTCATGCAAATTGGGCCTTGACACAACCCAGGATGGCAGGCGTGCCATCCACGATGAGTAACAAAGGATGACACAACGATTAACGGGGGGGGTGGCAGGCTGCCACCCCCACCCAATCACTTCTTCCTCAGCTTGCCGCCCAGCTCAAACTGAAGATTTGGCGGCTAGGGAAACTCAAAATGCCCACATCTTCCCCCCTACCTTGTCTTGACCAATCAGCACAAAGCCGGCACAACCCAAAAGGCCGCTACAAATCACAGCTGTTCGCGCCAAAACCAAGCTAGGAGTAGAGATGCCTAAACCAATCACAGGCCTCCCTCACCCTCAGGCGTCCCGTGACGTCACAAGGAGGGGGAGGCCTAAAGACATTGTCTGCCTGTCTCACATGGTGGGGGGGGGGGGGGCAACGTTCACCCCACTGTCCCACCACCTCTAACGGTTTTAGACAAGTATGCTCCCAGACCACTCACTTTCAACTCCCATCCTATTTCACAGAAACAGGAAAATTTCTGTAATTCTCTCTACAGAGCAATCACAGACTTCTGACTAGTCTTAATTGATAGTCTATAGCAAGAGCTTTCATCCAACACCCCACAAGTGTATGTTAGTTTGAAAACTTGTTGTTGTTGTTGTTAAAGATTCGCTACCTGGAACAAAGTTCCAAATTGCACGGGCTATGGTGAGCCCGTTGAAAACTTCTTGACTAGAGTCCCTAGAGCGACTAGCCTAATGTAGAAAACTAGGAAAACTAGCTGAGGGAATCTACATTCCCTCACAATGGACTTGGTCAAATAGATTCAGTAAAACATACAGGGAAGTATTTTTCGTTAGGGTACATTATGATACCTTTATTTTATGGGTTTACACATGGGTAATCACGAAGGTAACTTTTTTTTATAATAGTTATATCCATTTTCCTTTACTTCTGTCTTTCCTTTTCCAGATTCCATACTGATGACTCCATACCTCATAAATGTGGGACACAAAATAATGATGATCTTTGTTTATTTGATTTATGACAGGTGTAGCACAACGACACTGCCACCTCTTTGTTAGTGACAAACATCGAATGCCAGGAATTCTTCAAGGGCAAGTCTATACATATCCTGCACGAAGATGGAAAGCACAAAGACGGTCCTACTTGGGCTCGCTTATGCAGGTAAATCACTTCTTATCATGTTACACAATTCATTTGCAATATTAATAATACATGATTCTACCCTCAAGTACGTTACAGAATTTGGTTTCATCTGCCCCCTTATAGTGTTGTTGCTTTGGGCAATACAGACACCGACATGTTTTCCGGATGCCACCTATCCTAATATGCTTGTTATCCGTTTCGAGTTTGTTCGAATAAAAAGCATTTAATTAACTGGTGGGGCAGGCAGTCTGAATAAAAATGTGCGATAGAGATGGAACTAGTTTGCCCAGTGACTGCCCACAGAACCACTTGTAGAGTTCACACACTAATGGATGGCTCAGAAGATTTAAACTCTGCCATGGCAATAGGTGTATTAGTGCAGCGATCGCCAGCTAGTGGTCTATGAGAAAATTTTGGAAGTCCATAGTGAAATCTGGACATTACTTTGCATTTCTGGGGGGAGCCCCTTCGACTCCCCGCAGCTTACTAGGCTGATATGCTAATGTCGGACATTGGCATCAGTCATGTGTATGGAGTTCTGTGGGCCTACCTATCCGGTAGGCCCACAGAGCTCCATACACAGCAGGGAAAGGACGAATGGGTCAGGCACCCAGATAGGTAAGCATCCCAAAACAAACCCCTATTCTGGTGAAATTATTGCTACCACTACCCGAACAAATAGATAGAACTTCCCTAAAAGAAACAATCAAACAAGCATGACGTCACACATCGCCGCGCCGCTGTCTGCGCAGCTCCCCCCTCCCCTGGATGGGGAATGGGCAGCCCCAGACCCCTCACGTTGGCTATCCACCCTTCAGTTCTAAGGCTGATGCTAGAGGCTGAGGTCGTGTGCTCTGGCTCCGGTAGTTGTTTCAGCACTGTACCTAGTGTGTGGTGACTGTCTTCTAGGTGGTGCGTGAGCCGGGAGTGATTCACCAGAACTTGGGCTGCATGCGTTTAGGGTTTCCTTCCCTAGGTGCCCTGTAAGTACTGCCCTTGGGGCCACCTTCCGCAAGTTCCTTGGGTTCTGCCCCTGCTAGACCGTTTACTGCTTGGTTTTCAGCCGCCCTTTGTGTGCTAGGGTGTTCTGTCTCCCTTGCTCACCTTAGGGTAGGGAGCAGTTTACACTGGTAGGGGCGCAGGGTAATGCGCAGCTTATTTTCACCGATCATAGCGGCTGGCTCTGTTCCTTGGGGTATGTTGTCCTCTTGCGGTGTTTTCTTTTTCTTTTTGTTTGTCTGCCTGGTGGTGGTGGGGGTCTGCCTTGGGTCTTGCCCCTGTATACTGAGTACCCTTCCTTCTTCCGGTGGTTCCCCCTGCTAGGTCCCCGTAAGTGTACACATCCCGGGGGTTCAGTTCTTAGAAAGTTGTTTGGTAGATTTGGGCGTCGGTTAGTAGTCCCTGCCTGTGATTACCTGGGTGTGAGTTCCGTTAAATGCTCAGGACCCTGGGAAACCTCTAGGGGGCATGTGGATACATTGGATGTGTACCCGGAGTCCCCCCCCCCCCTCACATCGTGCGAGTTCGAGGGTTGCTCGGACCCCTTGACTCAGGGTGACTTCACGGTTTTTGCCTCCATCATGCTGCCTGTTGGGTCGGTGACACTTTCGACCCGGAGTCCTGCAAGTTCTGTTGCTTGCTAGTGACTCAGTTTACCCAGTCTCATGATGATATTCTATGGGTACAGGCGGCGAAGGTGTTGCATGTGCGCTATAGGTTGGAACGCGCTAGGTTGGTTTCTCACCCGGATACCCTGTGGCTGCCCCTTTATGCCTATAGGGACCTGGACTTGTGGGTAGGGGTTACTTCGACCTTAGTTCAGTCCATGCCCCATTCGTCCTTCCCCTGCTGTGGTTCATTCTGGTCCCCCCCCATTCCATGCTTCTGGCTCCGAAACGTCTGAGGGTTGTTTCGGAGTCGGGGCAGTGTTTAGATGGTCATGAGTCTCGGACAGTCTCGGGGGATACCCCTTCCGGGGTAGCGACGGAAGCATTCGAGCCTGTTCCTCCAGCTGTGTTGTATGAGTCTGCCAGTGGGCTCCTTTCCTTAGTACTTTTCCAACTGCCCTGGCTATTTCTTGTGAGGCTGGGGCTTTTGGGGGGGGGGGCTCGGCCCCGGGGCCTGCTGTATGGGTTCCCGGGGCTGGAGAGGGGCTGACTTGGGGGGTGTTGGGCCCCGCTGGGTTTTGTACCCTCTGGGCGGGACTTGCGGTTACGAGGGGTGGGGTTTTTCTTCCCCCCTCTCTGTACGAGTTATTGGGGGTCGGCCCCTCCCCTGTTCAGTTCCTTGTCCCTTGGGTCCGTTGTTCCGTCCTAGCGGTGGGTACTCTTCTCCGTTTCTTCACCCTTCTTCCTTGGGACGGGACTTCTCCGTCATGTTCCCCTCTTCTCGGGGTTCTGCATGACTTTTGGTCTCGGGTGTGACTGTGCCTTCTGTGCCTTTGTGCTTAGTGCTTGCTTCTGTGTGTTCTTGAAGGTTTTCGCTTCTTCCCGTATTATTGGAACGTCTTGTCATCCAGTCTGGCTTCACTCCAGTCTTTTCTCGGGCTTGTTGGTCCTCTTCTGTGCTTCTTATCGGTTTTCATGCTTGTCTCGTCCTTTTGTAATTCTCTTCTTTCCGTGCTCTGTCTCAGTACTGTTCGTTTTCTTTCCATACTCCTCGTTGCTGCCTCCCCGCCGAACGGGTTATGCAATTCGGTCTTTGTGTTCTGCGCATGCGCAGTGGGAGTTTGTTTTGGTCTGGGCGGAGTGCTCAAGTGCTGGTGTTTTGCGTCCTTTTCTCTCTGGGTGCTTTGCCTCTCGCTCTTCTCTATTCTCCAGTCCGTGCCCCGTAGCTACTGGGGCATTCTGGATTGCAGCTATAGGGAGGACGCCAGGGTTTTCCCTGTGTTATGGGTGTGAGGCGCCTACTTTGCCTCTACCCTACTCTTCTCCTGCATGTGCGACTCTGGCCTTCTTTCCCTGGCGGTGCTCCCAGAATATTCTCGGCTACGTTGTGTTGTAACACATTCGTGCCTATGTTTGGCAGGTGAGTTTCTGCTGTCTGGCGTTTCTCTCGGCCAGGCGCTTGTTCGTGGCTTTTGGATATGAATATAAGACTATCAACACACAGGTGACTGCAGAGGGCTTGTTGTCCCATATTGGCAGCTCTTATTTCTACCCATCGAGTCCCACTCATATGAATGTCCATCCCATGCTTGAGTCAATCAAGGGGCCCCACCTCATCCATGTTATGAGGTACATTGGTGGAGGTGAAGGTTATGTGGTAAATGTTACTGTGTCAGGATGTTATGAGGTGACATTTTGCTGCAGTTTTGTAATTACCTAAGTGTAGTTACAGGATGAGTGACTTGACTGGGGATGTAACCCCCATGTAGCTGGTGGAGTTTTGAATGGAACGTGAAAAATACAAATACTTGGAGGTGCGTAGCGCACCCCAGACGTGGGCCTGCAGGCGCGTTGCGCAGTTAAAGGGTTAAATAACTGTCAGCTAGAAAGATGGGATCTAAGAGCCAATGCTCGATCCTGCAGGCACAAATAGGTAAGTACACATATATACATTATATGTATAACACACGTATATGTATGGGTGCCTGACTGCTGAGTGGACAGCGCTTCGAATTCGTGGTCCTGAGGTTCCGGGTTCGATCCCCGGTGGAAGCAGAGACAAATGAGCAAAATGTTTCTTTCACCCTGATGCTTCTGTTACCTAACAGGAAATAGGTACCTGGAAGATAGACAGCTGCTACGGGCTACTTCCTGGGGTTGTGTAACAAAAAGGAGGCCTGGTCGAGGACCTGGCCGCGGGGATGCTAAACCCCGAAATCATCTCAAGATAACCACACACACATATATTATACAGTGTGTGAGGTGGGGGGGGGTGTTAAAAATGAAATGTGAATATCTTTGAATCAAACCCTATGCGTATTTGCGTATTATACTGTGTATAATACGCAAGTTTTCACAACTTTATCTATAATTCTTTTAAAGTTGAAAATTATATGTAATTACAAGGGTTTAGAGTGATGGCACCCTCTGGTCAATAACTGAAAATCCAATTTACTGATGCACTGTATTTCAAAACTATTATGGGTTTTACGTGTTGTTTAATAAAGCAGTTTCATTTTCAGCCTTTTAGTAAGACTAGGATCAGTTTTAATTGGACATACATATTTAACTGTCATCCATTCCAAACTATCCTTACTCTGTACACTTGTTATCTTATAGCTCTAAACCCCTCCTCTGCTCATACTCCTTGCACCTCATCCATCTCATTCTTTCTTAAACATCTGTTTCATTTTTATTTACTGGTATTGTTCCTCTAATCTGTTCGTTGCTTTCACCTCAAAGCACCATTTACTTGATCCTCCTTATGTTAGCCTGTGCTTGTTATACTCCCTGTCCTTGGTATTCTCTGTACTCATACTCAGCTCATTGTATTTGATGTACTCCTTATATACTATACCTGTTCTCGTGCTCTTCTCATTATGCTATATTTACTCGTTATAATCTCTTAATTCCCTAAACTCGTTATTCTCCCCGTATCATTATTAGTACAGTATACTGTATTTCCTGTAACCGTAATTGCTATACTTCTTAGTCATTACTGGTATACTACCTATTGTCATTACAGATATACTTCCTGTAGTCATTACATTACATAATCCACTGCACCACTATGGCATTACAGTACTTTGCATCCTGCAATATGCTAGACTTAATATACTTCACAGTAGATCTATTGATCAGTTATAATCAATCACTTTTTACATACATTTATTTCTAAATATTTGTTACAGGCAGCTAAAGCAGACCCTGATGAGCATACAATTACAACAGTGGAAAATCCTGCAGCAATTGTTGCAGCTGTTGAAGAACCTATTCATCCACCAGAAAAAGTGGTTCTGGTAAGAATGCGTATGTCTTGTATATTAGAATAAGAATGCTGGTACTGTATATATATAAAGGTTGATTAAGAATTTTTGAAAACATATGAGTGTTTTAGTAAGAACTGAAAATGTCAGAAAGAAGAATAGTCACTTGTTTTTATCCTTTGACACTCCTTGTTCTGTATGTGAATACTGTATGTGAAAAAGGTGTCTTGTACTGTTCTATGATGAACCAAGCCACGTTCACTATTTGATTAAAGAATCAACAGTAACCAAGTCAAGAATTGTGTGTTTGGAACTGTTAGTGAAGTATAGTGGCACCTCGACTTACGATTGTCCCTACTTACAATAATTTCGAGTTACGATGTAAATTTCATCAAAAAATGCGACTCGACATCCGATGGTGTCGCCGACTTCCGATATTTGTTGGTACACGTTCGGGTCGACCGAACGCGTGGTTCCCGGTCACGCGGTCCGACCTGCCTCAGTTTACTACAGCTGCCCGCTTAGTGACGACCGCCCCTATAAGAAAGTTTGTGGTGATTTTTTGCATTTTGAACATTAAAGTAATTACTGTAACCCCACGATTATCCGGGATTCAAACATCCGGAAAACGCCCTTATACGGCCAAAATCGTGATCGGATAAAGTTATCACAATATCCGGCCAAAATGGCCACAGGAACCGGATAAAAGCTGGTTTGGCCGGATGAATATTCGGCCATACCGTATTAATCCCATCTGTGGCTCTAGACGCATGGTGGAGGAAGGAGTGGGGTGGGTGGGTGGTGTCGGGGGGGTGGGAGGGGTGCGTCGGAAGGGACCACCTAGGTACAGGAATTACCATTAATTTTAGAACACTTAATCATAGCCAAAAACAAATGAAATAAGTACTAGTAATTATGTAATAACAAATAAATAAGTTTCTTAAAATTAATGTGCACAGGCTGAAGTTTCCTTAAAAAATATTGTGAGTTTTTTTCCTCCTGGCGGTCTACGTAACGCGCTATAGCTGCCCCAGCCCAAGTGGACCTGTCCAACACTGGTCAACCCATGTGCATCCGTCCCTCGTGTTACACACAGTGCTGCGCCATTAGTGAAATATTTTTTTAAATAACTTTTTTATTTTCATAGTAACTTTGAACATTTTTGGCCAAGACTATGTCTGGTAGCAGCATCAATCATTCTGGAGGTGTTAAGAGGAAGAAGGTTGTCCTAGCAATTAAAGACAAGTTATGTCTTGTTCAAACAGTGAGGCGTCACAGGCAGCCAAATGCCTTCAACAAGTGAGGCGCCACAGGCAAGCCAAGCGCCTTTAACAAGTGATGCGCAAGCAAGCAAGCGCCTTCAACAAGTGAGGCATCACAAGCAAGCCAAATGCCTTCAACAAGTGAGGCTTCACAGGCAAGCCAAGCGCCTGCAACAAGTGAGGCGCAAGCCAAGCGCCTTCAACAAATGAGGGCATGCAAGCGCTTCAACAAGTGAGGCACATGCAAGCGCCTTCAACAAGCGAGGCCTCACAGGCAACCCAAATGCCTTCAACCAGTGAGGCTTCAGCAGCTGGCAGTCAAAACTAACTTTGCTTAATGAACTGTACAGTAATTTTAAGTGTTAATTTTAGTGTTGTGTTAGTATAAGTTACGTAAATTGTTAAGAATTCTCAACTTCAAGACGTGTGGCATCAATCAAGAAGACGAACACCAACAAGGTAAGTTGAGGTTTCTAGTTGAATATTTAATAATTATATGTGGCAAGGCAATTCAAATTATGTTGTTTGTAGTATAAAAGTAGTTGGAAATTGCCACTTTTGGACTCGTAGGTGAAAAAGTACCATTATCCGAAAAATGTGATAATCCAGCTGGGGGTCCTTCCCATATAGTCCGGATGATCGAGTGGAGACAGTATTATATATCACACCATGAGTCCCAGGAAAGTCAGTGGTTAGGCTCAACATATGAAAACCCATGTAAGGATGACCATAGAGCAGAAACAAGACTACAGAATTTCTCTTCCTCAACAATTAAGAAAATGTGTGCAGCATGGGAAGAATTGCAAACCTTTGCTGAAACGACTCGCCCAAATCAAGCTGCAGTAGGTCGTTGCCTTAACCTATTCAATGACACTGATGCATCATTACAGACAAATGTTAAAACGAAGGGAAAAACAAATGTCTCTTGACAAATTTGTAGTGAGACAAACACGCACTGAACCACAACCAGGTCCTAGTGGTATTCACGCAAACGTAGGAGAGAGAGAGTACCCCAGAGAAAACATCACTGCCTGATGTGATAATGGAAGGGGACTCCCCTTCCAAACAGTAACAACTCTCCTCTTCCCCCCCTCATCACCATCTTCCATATGCCATCATGAGCCCTCCATAAAGGTAAGAGTAACTTAGGTACTGTATTGTAGTTAGAAAAAAAACATTGTATTCAGTATGAAATGTATTTGTATGTTAATATTTTGGAGGGTGGGGAATGGATTAATTCAATTCCCTTTATTTCTTATGGGAAAAATTGCTTCGACTTACGATATTTCGAGTTACGATCCGTCTCTGGGAATGGATTAGCATCTTAAGTTGAGGCCCCATTGTATATGCAAACACTTAAGAAAGAATAATTTCTTTGAGATTTATGACTACAGATAGGCAAAGCCAACAAAGAAGCTTATTGTGATTTACAGTATTTTTAAAGGGATCATTTAGAGAGTTGAAATAATTGAATTGTATAAACGATGTTGGACAGGGTTCATTTATGTTAACCAGACCCCACACTAGAAGGTGAAGGGACGACAACGTTTCGGTCCGTCCTGGACCATTCTCAAGTCGATTGTGATGAGGAAGTAGATGCAGGCAATAAATAGGCTAGAGCAAGGTGAGGAGCAAAGTGTAGTAGAGGGGATAGTAGTAGGAATAAGAACTGCAAAGAGCCTATTGGGTCATACGAGGCAGCTCCTATTATAACCACCGAATGGGAAGAGTAATAGGAATAAGAAGAGGATAGTAAGGGAACATATAGAAAACAATGAACAGAAAAAGAGAGAAGAGAGAAAGAAAAGGAAAGAGAAAGAAAGATAAATGGAAGGGTAAGCTTATGTTAGGTAACGTTTGTTCGAAAGATTAGAGCATTTAAGTATATGCTGTGAAAGGGAAGAGTCCACAGCAACAAAGCCAGGACTCAAGTTCATGTTGGGTACATTGTGTATTAGAGCCGATTCAACAAGACGGCGTCTGTGTAGAGTAGAGGCAGGAAAGATTATTTTGGAGGAAGACCAATCAATAGGATGATTGTAATCCCTCACATGACAGAAGAGAGCATTGTTAGTATCTGCAGACTTAACACTTCTCTTGTGTTCTTTAAGTCTGTCATTCAGTGTACGGCCAATTTCGCCAAAGTATTGGAGAGGACAAGACGAACAGGAAATAGAGTAGACACCAGCAGCATTAGAAGCAGGAGGAGCAGTATGAACTAGATTGCTATAAAGTGTGTTAGTTTGTCGAAAGGCGAGCTTTATGTCAAGAGGACGAAAGGTATTGGTAAAAGTTTTGAGTTCAGATATGAAGGGAAGGCATAGTACAGTGCTACTAGTGTTGGAAGCAGGTTTAGGATGAAAGAAATTTCGTTTAGCTTGAGAGTAGGCACGGTTGATGAAATGCAAAGGGTAACCAAGGCGAGAGAATGATTTGTAGATAAAGGTAATTTCAGAATCAAGAAACTGAGGGTCGCTGATGCGTAGAGCGTGGAGGAAGAGAGAGACGGGGACAGTTTTCTTAACAGAAGGAGGATGGTTGGAAAAGAAGTGAATGTACATGCCACTATGCATGGGTTTGTGGTAGACAGAGAAAGAGAACCCAGACACAGAGCTGTGAACGTGAACGTCAAGAAAAGGAAGGGAATTAGATTCCCATCCAACTTTGAAATAGATAGCAGGAGCCGGGATTGTTAAGAGAGGAGAGGAAAGGCTGTAAAAGACTAAGGTCATGAGGCCATAAAGCAAAAATGTCATCAACATAGCGAAGCCAGAGAGAAGGATGAGTATCAATAGAAGGAAGAACAACAGTTTTGAAGTATTCCATGTAGAAATTAGCAGAACAGGGGAGAGAGGGGAACCCGTAGCGACACCGAAAGTTTGAGTGTAATAATTACTGTTGAAAGAGAAAGAGTTAAGAGTCAACACAGAGTCTAATGAGTTCGAGGAAAACGTCAGTGGGAAGCGGGAGAGGAAGAAGGCCCTCTGACGCCTTCTGTCTAAGGAAAGAGAGAACGTCATCGAGCGGAACATAGAGTGAAGAACATTAGTGAAGAATCATTTCTTCACTGGGCTCTGTCAGCTATCCTCTTGCCTCCTGGCTTGCTAAAACCCTAACACCTTACCTTGGCACTTTTTCCCCTGCCCACCTTCGTCACTCAGAACTTCATAGAAAGACTGCGCCTGCAACCCTCTTGTAAGATGCTTAGTCTTGATGTCGACTCTCTGTTCACTAATGTTCCGCTCGATGACGTTCTCTCTTTCCTTAGACAGAAGGCGTCTGAGGGCCTTCTTCCTCTCCCGCTTCCCACTGACGTTTTCTTCGAACTCATTAGACTCTGTGTTGACTCTTAACTCTTTCTCTTTCAATGGTAATTATTACACTCAAACTTTCGGTGTCGCTATGCGTTCCCCCTCACTCCCCTGTTCTTGCTAATTTTTACATGGAATACTTCAAAACTGTTCTTCTTCCTTCCTAATGATACTCATCCCTCTCTCTGGCTTCGCTATGTTGATGACATTTTTGCTTTATGGCCTCATGACCTTAGTCTTTTACAGCCTTTCCTCTCCTCTCTTAACACTCTGACTCCTATCCATTTCAAAGTTGAGTGGGAATCTAATTCCCTCCTTCCTTTTCTTGACGTTCACGTTCACAGCTCCGTGACTGGGTTCTCTTTCTCTGTTTACCGCAAACCCATGCATAGTGGCATGTACAGTACATTCACTTCTTTTCCTACCATTCAACTTCTGTTAAGAAAAGTGTCCTTGTCTCTCTTCCTCCACATTCTACATCTCGGCGACCCTCAGTTTCTTGATTTTGATATTGCCTTTATCTTCAAATCATTCTCTCGCCTTGGTTACCCTTTGCATTTCATCAACCGTGCCTACTCGCAAGCTAAACAAAATTTCTTTCATCCTAAACCTGCTTCCAACACTAGTAGCACTGTCCTTTGCCTTCCCTTCATATCTGAGTTCAAAACTTTTACCAATACCTTTCGTCCTCTTGACATAAAGCTCGCCTTTCGACAAACTAACACACTTCATACCAATCTAGTTCATACTGCTCCTCCTGCTTCTAATGCTGCTGGTGTCTACTCTATTTCCTGTTCGTCTTGTCCTCTCCAATACTTTGGCGAAACTGGCTGTACACTGAATGACAGACTTAAAGAAAACAAGAGAAGTGTTAAGTCTGCAGACACTAACAATGCTCTCTTCTGTCATGTGAGGGATTCCAATCATCCTATTGATTGGTTTTCCTCCAAAATAATCTTTCCTGCCTCTACTCTACACAGACGCCGTCTTGTTGAATCGGCTCTAATACACAATGTACCCAACATGAACTTGAGTCCTGGCTTTGTTACTGTGGACTCTTCCCTTTCACAGTAGTATATACTTAAATGCTCTAATCTTTCTAACAAACGTTACCTAACATAAGCTTATCCTTCCATTTATCTTTCTTTCTCTTTCCTTTTCTTTCTCCTCTCTTTTTCTGTTCATTGTTTTCTTTACGTTCCCTTACTATCCTCTTCTTATTCCTATTACAATTCCCATTCGGTGGTTATAATAGGAGCTGCCTCGTATGGGCCAATAGGCCCTCTGCAGTTCTTGTTATTATTTGGTTAGCTCCGAGGGAGCCGAAAGGGCTTCCCCCAAAAACACTCCCAAACCCCAGGTAAGACAGAATAGTGCAAGACCGGCTTACCTCAAGGGTGAGGAGGAAACTAGGATCGTTTCCCTAATGCCCCAGGGAAGACAACCCTTACCACGCATGTGTAGTACTCACAGAGCGCACACAGGGAAGGAAACTGTGATCTTGTGCAGTTCCCGCACACTATAACTCCTGGCTCACGCATACTTATGAGTAAAACACTGCCAAAAAGGCAAGAAAACACCACTCTAAAATGGGACAGAGGAACCCGAGCAACACACGACTGCTAGGTATGCACATCAGTAAAGAACTGAAGCTGGCTGATCTGGTCTTTCCAGGCTAGCTCCCCCATCCCCACCAACGAGGGAGAAGATGGAGCTAATTAGCAGGGGGGTAGTGTCATTGAGTTATATTTTTTCTTTTCTTGAGAGTTCTTTTGACGTTTTGGGGCTTTGGTCTTGTTTTTTAAACCAGGCAGTGGTTTGTTTTGATTCGCCTATCATTCTGGGTGCTTCCCTGGTGATGACAAAGATGGTAGTCTTTAAATGTAAAGTAATCATAGGTCATCACTATCTGCACCTCTCTGAAGGGTCCAGATTCTATTTTGTGGTCCCCAGTAGGCAAAAAGAACTCCACAACTGATGATACTAGATAGTATTTCACTTAATCAGTGATGATAGATTCAGGGAGCTGACGGAGCTCCCCACAGAAATAAATATTACAAATTTATTCCACTATGATATAAGGAGGTTTGGATTTTCGAGGTTCTACTATCATTTAATATAATCTTGATTATCCACATCACTAGATTACATATAGCCCCCAAGTATTTGTATAATCTTAAGTTGGACCAGATAAATGAGCTCGCAATTCAATGTTGAATGTAATTCGTTTTTAAGGGTTTTGGACTATTTGAACGGAGGTCACCAAACTAGAGATAGTCCAGATAAACTGGAATTCATGGTAGTAATCTGGGTCAAGTTTGACTAAAGACTTTAGATTATCCATCATCTGGTTACATGACCTGAATATTGATCAGGAAATCTCTGTATTTTCAGACTTCAGATTAACCAGTTGGAATCGGTCCCAGTTAGTTTGTATAATCGAACAGACACTTGTGTACTCCCATTTACATTTTTTATTAATGCCCTTCTGTTCACATGCTCTATAAATTAAATCATTTAATTTCTTATACTGTAATGAAATTGTTATATTTTGGTCATCTAGCCGGAACAGTGGGCAACATTTTATGAAGAGCCTCCTTTTGAAGATGAGTTAGAAGATGAATTTGAATCTGATGAAGACTTTGAGGATGAAACGTACAACAACAAAGGAGGCAAACGAAAGAAGGCTCCAGTTGGAAGAAAACCTAAGGTATGTGTCTTGAATGTTTGTTTTTTTTTACTTAATAATTTTGTTATCTCTAGTTTTTAATGTTTCCTCACTAGTCTGTTGTGTTTGTAAGCAGGTGGATGCTAACAGGTTTCTCAACATTTATTTATTGTATAACATAAGCAATACATTTCAGTTTCTTAAAATGGACTGTGGACTTTTAGTGATATTGAGAAGAACCCTGTACTGTAAGTGTGTTCCATGATAACAGCAGTGGGAAACAGAACCTAATTTCTGCACAATTTATTCTTAACATTCAAATGTAGTTTTAACAATTCCTCCAGATAAATTTGCTCTTGTTTTAGCATAATATTAGTTTTCTAGCTTGATTTCACTGATGTTGCATATCTTGGAAGTTTTGTCTATATGTATTGTGTTGTGATGAGAGTAAAAGAAGCATGCCAAAAGTAGTGTAACAGAAAAAAGTGAAGATTGTATGAGTTAGACAGAAATAGAATAAAATTCCGAGTTGGAAAACGGGAAGCAATATCTCGATAAAGGAAGGCAGTGCAAGAAAGAAACCGATAGAAAAGTTAGTGGTAAAATGTTATAGTGGGAATATGTTAAATATAAGCACGGGAGAATGTTAACAGGTGAAGAGGAATTTACAAACAGGGTTGAGAAAATATTTTGAAATTTGAGGGATTAAATTTAAATTTATTAATAAATTCAGATGTGAATATGATTGAGTTTTCTGTGGGGAGCCCCTCCAGCTCCTTGGAGCTATTGGACTGATATACGCTACATTAGTTTGGGGGCTTCAGTCAGGTAGCAATGGTCTATGGAAACCCCCATGTGTTTGGGAGTATTCCATGTCTGCCATCAATTGGGGTTAGGCACCCTGAAAGGTAGGCATAACAAAACAAATCCCACTTGTTTCCAGTCAAAGCCAGATTGTCGATCCACGAGCGACCCGAACCCTCCGAAGCGACATCCACACAGCTGCAAACTCTGGCCCCTTGGTTTCAAGTGCTGCTTGCTTAGTGTCCGTACGAGGGGCGTTTTCTGCGGCTCTGCCTCTTTCAGCAGATAGGACCGATCTGGTACATGGCTGGTTCGGTCTACTCCTCTGCTCGTCACATCTGGTCTTTTTGACGTGGGTGTATCACCACTTGTAGGGTGATCAGGTGGTTTCAGTGATAGTGTCTCATCTGCGAGCTTCATCACAGAGACAGTATGAAGTTTCCTGGCATTCTTTTCACCATTTTCTCTCTTCGTAGGTTGTCTTCTATTTCCATTCAGGATGTTTTGTCCTTGGCTCTTTCAGGACTGTCATTTGGTGCCTAATACTGTCGCCTCTTTATCGTACGGCGCTGGCGGAGCCGCTCCAGCTTGTGTTCGAGTTGGATGTTATGTCCGCCCCGTTTTGTAAGCTTACTCGGGCTTTGTTTCACCTCTGGCCTGCTCATGTGCCGCCAGAGACGTCCAGGTCCTTGGACAGAGTGTTCTCTTTTCTCCTCGGTTTGTGGTTGCCCCTTCGGTTCAAGATTGTTTTTCCAAGGCTCTGTTTTTGTTGGCATTGGCCTCTGGGGGTTGGGTTGGTGAGCTTCATGCTTTCTTCCGATGCAGGTGTTTCTGCTCTTTCAGTCCTGGTGGTCGGTTTGTTTAGTTCCAGCCATCTCCTTCTTTTCTGGTGAAGAACGAAATGGGGGGGGGGGCTTCCGGAGGGGCCCCTTTTAGATCATTGATGCTTGGTTAGTCAGGCCAAGGGTGCATCATGTGATGTGTCCAGTTGTGGCCAGTTGATCCCTCTACATGGATCGTGCCGTTCCTCTGTGATCACCTCATTACTCATTTTGTTCCTTCAGCGGATGTGGCTTCCTCGAGAGCCAGAGAAGGACCTTACATATCTGGCAGCTGGCTTACACTCCTCGTCGACCATACACCTCCTTCTAGTTTACTTTTCTATCTTGATCTTGGTTGTCGGGAGCCCACGTATGTTGATGTAAAATTGATCCACCATCCACCCGTCAAGTGTCTTGGACGGATCTTGCTCCAGTCTCTTGCATCCTGCCTTCTCGTCCTTCCGGTGGTGGCTGTGTATACTCCTGGGTTGATACTACAGAAACCGGCCACCATGCTGACGTTGACGGATGACGGCAGTTGAGTGATTTGGGTCCACCTTCTTGCTACATAATGCTTGCTGTCGGTCTTGTTGGAAGATCAGCTGTTACTTGATCCTGTTATGATGGAAGTGCTGGGACGTTGACACCAACAAGGTCTTGCTATGGAAGTGAGCAATTATAGGCATTGAGGTGGTTTTGGCGTGGCAACAGATGAGTAGGTCCTGACTACGGCTCTTGGGTTCCCATCCGCTCACTGGTGTCTTCATCACAGCATACTAGGCCTTAACGACTTTGTTCGTTTTCCCATCAAGCACTTAACCTTAGGCCAAAAGATGTGCAATGTGTCCCTCTATTGGCGTGTTAAGTACCCTCTACAGGGATCGTGCCGTTCCTCTGTGATCACCTCGTTATTCTTCTTGTTACATCAGCGGACGTGGCTTCCTCGAGAACCAAAGAAGGACTTTACATAATCTGGAAGCTGGCGTTCATTCCTCGTCGACCATACATCTTTCACTTCCAGTCCTGCATCTGTCTTTGTTGATATAGCAGGATTTTGGCATGCTCCGATGACATTAACAAGGCGACGGCCCATCATAATTACTCGTTGATGTCTAGAACCAGCTCTGCCGATGACAGCAATACTGCATACTGCTAACAACCTCATTTGTGTGAGGTATCAGCCAGGTGACTTTTGACATCACCTTCTCCAGGACCGCTGAAGTAAGGTCCACTAGGCTGAGAGGGAAGGGGGTTGTAGCGTATCCCTTCCTCTCTCGGGGGTTCAGACCATCTGGCACCCCTGCCAGAGGGAACGGCATAAATACCATTCCACTGGCCTCAGTTATTCAAGGTGTGGCTGGCTCTGTGGGACAAGGAGGCTGGGTACAGTGGGAGTGAAAGGTATGACTACATGACTGGTGGAAGCATGGATCTCACCCTGGGGGGTGGGAATGCACAGCTCCCAATCCCAGGGTGGTTAGGTTCTCCTCCCAAAGTCCAAACACACAAACATCTCTATTCATTGCCTTCTATAATAAAAAATGGACCTGTTCTAAAATAACTGAATAAAACAATAAGTTAATATGAATCTTTCTTTCAGTCTGGTCATCAAAGATGCCCTTAATTATAAAATTGTCCAGCCTATTTTTTTTTTTTTGTTAATAACTCTGTACGGCTCATGTAGATGGGCCGGTGGGGAGCATACTGAAGTGGGGTTACTGGGGTAGCATGTGGTAGGGATGGGTAGGAAGCTCACTGAACCGGGGGAGGTGGTGACTGAGTTTTCTAGAAAGGTAAGGCAGAACAGTGGCTTTGATTCCCGTGTGGAGCGGGGGTGGAGGTCAAAAAAGGTGAGGTAACTTCTATGTTCCTCCCTAACTCCCCCTCCCCACTCCCAATGTGTGGGAGCATCGACTCCCCCCCCCCCCCTGGGGAGACACTCCTCCCCCTGTGACAACTGTTCGTCGGTAAAATAAATCCCACCCTCAGATATAACTTGCGACTGTCATTAATTCTTAATAAGCTAGTGATGAGAGGTCTCAGAGTTACTAATCCACACTTCGGATCTCTTTATCCTTAATCCCCTTAATGCGTAACCACACTTTGAAATTAAGGTAATCCTACACGTCTATCCCGAGTTACTGGAATCAATAACCCCCATGCAACTGGACCTTCGAAGTTTATCCCACCATTCTCAGCAACGCTAATGAGATGTACAAGCTGTCCAGGAATGGTAAATCCTCACTGCTACCGAAACTTTGTCTACAATGCTAATCCTGTAATCACAAAAATCCGTTGACGTCTTAGACTAAATACTTACTTACCAACTTAAATCACAGTTTGTCAAAGATTAGCACACTCGCAAAGTACACAATAAGCCCCACCTCAGGAATTATCCAATATTAATTCCTGTGGAAGGCTGATAATCGCACCAAAATGCGGTGTTCTTCGCAAATGCTGCCCAATCCTTGCCAACCATAATTTAACACTAAGCTTAAATTAATACATTAAATTAACGAACGAAAATTTTTATACAAAGTACCTAGGTCACTACCCTGAACAAAGTTCTGTTACTCTTACAGCCTTAATTCTAAATGTCTGTCTACTCCAAATGTCAGGATTACCGCCAGGAACCCCACAGGAATCTCTTTCTACTCTGACAAATGGGATTACCGCCAGACTAAGAGCTGAATACTGTCGACTACACTGACTTGTGTGATTACCGCCAGAGTCAAGCCCTAGCACTCTACCGTGCTCAGAAATAAGACAGGCGTCCCTACTCTTATTCCTGTTCTGACAGACCGACTTTAACCTTTCGATCTGCTGTACAAATTTCTTTGTACACCCCTGATGAAATTAAGAGAACCGAGTAACTGATTCTGTCGAGCCAATCAGAGCGTACCTCCGCAAGACAATGTCAAGCATGTTCCCTTAACCTTACATTACAATATCCTAACTATTAACTTAACCTAAACCTTACATTAGTCATAACCAAAACCTACAGTAGCTACCGAACAGCACAGGCACGGAAGTCCCTTTAGCAATTATACAATTACTACAGACCACCGCAATGCCACCATTTATAACGCAGCTAAACGTATCACCGGTGTATCACCATCGATACCTAACCACTAAAGCAGGTTGTTACAACTTATGACTTAAACTTAAAATTACTTAACACTAGGTAATGCCGCCACCACCTTCGTCTTTGATCAACCTAGTGACCGGCGACGAAGGATACCGGTCACGGGAGAGTTAACATTGTGAGTTCAGGATATCATGGGGGGGGGTGAGAACACAACTGACTTCCACTATTCCCTGGCAACTCTCTATGAATAACTTGCAGGAATGAATGGATACAACAGATGGACAATTTAGTAATGTTTATTTATTTAATTGAGCTCAATATAAAAATCCTAATCTATCTTCCTTATCAAGGCAATAGAATATCAACACTTGTGATGCTAGAACATATGGGACCAGTACTCACTCAAGATACAGCAGTGACGAAGTTTCCTTGTAGACACCAGATTGTCTCCCTCCCACAGGGGAGAGGGTCTCCCTCCTGCTTGTGGTGTCCAACACTACACTTAACTCCCAGTATTTGGTAACTGTACCTGGTCCCGATCATTGGTGTGTGACTTTGGGTCACAGGTCGCAGCTAGTTGTCTCGCCTTCGATTTGATGTGCTCATTGTGGCCGCCTCCCGGGTAAGTCCCTCTTTTGCTTGTCTTTGGTTGTGTGGCTCCAGGGAGCTGAAAGGGCTCCCCACAGAAAACCAGCATTGAATGTAATGAATTTTCTTTTTCTGGGTGAGCCCCAGAGGTTCTCTGACACCCTCCCTCTCTCCGGCTGGTAGTTTCGTTTTTGAGCTCGGCAAATGAACTGAAGTGTGAGTAGCCGGTGTGGGGATCCGGGAGCACCCCTTCCCCCTTCCGGTGAGGTGATGGATGGCTTCACAGACAAACATCGCGGTGGTGGTGAATGACGTTTGCTTGTTTGCTCATTTCCTTGTTTTGCTGGGAGTTCTGTCTCTTTGTTTGGTCTTCAGGTGCAATTTCTTACCAAGTGGGGTTTTTGTTATGCCTGCCTTTCTGGGTGCTTAACCCTGGTTGATGGCAGAAATGGAATGCTCCCAAACACATGGGGGGGGGGTCTCCATAGACCATTGCTTCCTGTGCCTCTCTGAGGGAGGCCAGGTTCGGGCTCATGGTCCCCGGTAGGCAGAGCTCCATTGACTGATGACCCAGACTAATATTGCGTATATATGTCTAATAGCTTCAGGAGGTCTCCAGGGCTCACCCAGAAAATAGCGTTTCATTACATTTAACGTTGGTTTAATGGTGTGACAAGAGATAACTATAAGAATGCTAAAATGGGTTAACACTGGAGTTAATGGCTACTTCCGGACATAATTATTGCAATTGAGTAATGAATGCAGTGGATGTGCAGAATTGCCAGAATTTGTTGGATAGTAATGTTGTATCTTGGAAGAGTGATAAGTGTAAATTGAATTTGTCAAATTTTGAGAAATGTCGAGTTTTCATGTAGAAATTTAATGTGTGGGAGAGTTGATGTGATTAAGGAGTAGATGACATTAGTGTAGGTGTGCACCAAGGTTGTGGTATATCCCCCCACCTCATGGTTGTTAAAAATAAATTAAGTCTGTATACAGTATGTATTTAATATTTAGAAATAACATTATCAGCAGTAAAATATTTATCTATGAATGACAAAGCATGGGTATTGTAAAGGGAAAGTAAGAGAGAATTTAATATTTTAGTCAACATAAAACAGTTGTGTGATGTGTCCCTGGCTCTTAATGTATATGTAGAGTAACTAGTTAGGGAGGTAAAGATTAGAACATCTGGAGTGGAAATGGAGTTGGAGGATTTTTTTTTATTATTATTATTATTATTGCATTGTTATGTTTGTATGCAGATTGTACAGTGTTCTTTGCTGAGTGAAGAGTAATTACAAAAGATAGAACTACCTCAGCATTCTTTTTTCCCAAACGCTTTGCTATCCTGCTTAGTCTTATTACACTGGAGAGTTTTATCCAATCTTGATAGATTTTAACTTGTTGCATCATCCCCCTCCCCCCATTTTTTATCTCGGTTTTAGTGATTGGTTTTTGTTGGTGCCCAGCACGTGTGTGTTTGGGATCAAGCGAGTTGGTAAAGCAGCCAAGAATGCCTCGATCAACTTCGTCTCTTCAAGACATTCTTTCCCATTTGGTGATTTCCATCTAGGGATTAGAACAGTTGTGGCCAAAACCAGTTGGAACGTACAAACACTGTCCTCTGCATTTGCAATGCTTTTTTCTGCTCTACTTTTTTCTTTCCTCTTATTTTTCGACATTTCTCCATTAGGTACACCTTCCAATATCTACTTTCTTTCCTCGGCTTCCTCTTTTCAACGTTGTGGGGAGACTTGTGGCCTCTTGAGTTTTGAATATTTCTTCAACAGGTCACATATACCCTTGGAACAGTGCACAGGATATGGTTTGTAAGGAGGGAGTGATTGTACAATATTTATTTGTTCTGTACAGCAAAGGACAATTTACAAGGTGCACAATTCACCAGATGGTATGAAGCAGTGTGGGTGCTAGTGTGTCTTATTCATTGGTTATTCATGATGGTATATAGTGTGAATGGCTAAGTGATATTATTTTTGTTCTAGATATCTGTAACCTTTCTCTGTACTGGTCTGTTCCAGTTTTTCTCTGGTCAATTTATTGTTGACTAGAAATCACCCCTAGCTTAGAATTTCTGTATTGATATAATAGTATGAAAATGTTACCCACTACTGTTGTCCTGTTTTGGGGGGGGATGCAAATAATCATGTATAGAAAGCTTGTCTTGTCTCCCGGCTCACTTGTGTAGATATTAAATCTGTGCTTAAAGGTATAATGTCTTCATTAACAAAAGTTTAATAATTATTGATTGTTTTTCAACATTTAGAGTACATTTTATGATGCATAATATTTCCTTTTTAAATTTAGTCAAGTGTTATATTGCAATCAATTTTGTATCAGTCCACATATTTTACTCTTTAATCTTAGTGTAATTTTGCCTTTAACACAAAATACTTGCATGCAATTAGAACCAGTATTTTTGTATGTATGTATTATGGTTGTTTGCTGCATCCTCATTTGATTTCTTGTAAGATGTATATGGTGATTTATATATCCCCCATATAGATATATGGGGATATATATTCCTTTGCAAATTTTCTTTGCAAATTAATTAAATTAAGACTTCATATTCACCCAGTAATGAAATTGAGTTGAAGATGTGCGTGTGAAATATGTGGTTGCTTTACTTACATTATGTGAGCTTCCATGATGTGCAAGCTGTGGCCAGTGTTTTGCCCTTGTGTTTGTCAGAATATGAACAAAGTTTTTACTCATTGTTGTCACTTGTACATGTTTCTCTCTCAGCTTTGAAGCAGTTAAATTACTGTACCTACAATTATACATTGTAATTGTAATGTTTTCCTCCATCTAACTTAATTGTCAGTCATAAACACATGCTGCAGTAGACATTTTGAATTAGATATATGATAATGCATTATTAAAATTTGTCTTGCTTGCTCAATTATTTGACCGAAGGCGTCTGCACCACAAAAGGTGCATTATGGTAGTGTCATGGATTTACAGGGACATTATTACTGGGATAGTGGGGGCTGGTTTTTGCTTTGGAACAGGTGTTGATGATACTCTTCACAATCTGTACAAAGTACATACCACCTTCAGGTATATTGTAAAATTCTTGCCAACCTTTCCTTCTCACTATAGTGAACTCCTTTGTTTATGCCCACAATGAGGCTGCTGGTGGAATACCTAAGAAAGCCAGCAAAAAGAAGACATCTGAGAATAATGTGCAGGTATGTCTATAAAGTTATTATTTTATAGTTGCAAAATATTTTATTGTTATTTTGAACGTTTACATATATATATATATACTGTATAGTACAGTAGTGTTCAAAATTCCAAACTTCAGTAACATTAAAATTTTGTCAGGATTTGCAAGAATCACTTCCCATTTTTATACCCAACCACTTGGGCTGGACGGTAGAGCAACGGTCTTGCTTCATGCACGTCGGCGTTCAATCCCCGACCGTCCAAGTGGTTGGGGCACCATTCCTTCCCCCGTCCCATCCCAAATCCTTATCCTGACCCCTTCCCAGTGCTATATAGTCATAATGGCTTGGCGCTTTCCCTTGATAATTCCTTCCTTCCTTCCCATTTTTATGCCAATTCCACAGCTCATGACACTGCTTTAGTAATGTTCACAAAGTTTTTAACTAGTTACAGTCTAATCCTGAGCCTTCTCATTGTTATTTGCCATATTTTTCCCATTACTTTGAAAAATTTGTAAATTTCTTAATGCAAAGAGAATGAAGAATTTTTGGTAAACTCAATACAGTAAATAATTAAAGTTTTAATGGTTTTTATTCATATAAATTTTGAAATATGTTTTTACATATAAAGAACATGTAAAGATTATATCAGGTTAATATATTTACACTAGTAAAAGTTTAGTATTTCTGGGGGGAGCCTCGTCAGCTCCCCGGAGCTATTCAGGCTGAATGGATATGTATAAACTTTCTGGCATCAATGTCCATGGAACTGGGGACCACGAGCAAGAACCTGGCCCCTCACAGAGGTGTGAAGAGAAATGGCTTATAGAAACCCCCATGTGGTTGGGAGCATTCTGTCTGCCATCGATGGGGTCTGACACCCACAAAGGTTGGTGTCCCAAAACGAACTACTATTCTGGTGAAAATATTGCTACCGAAAGCTGAACGGGTGGACAGAACTCCCCAAACAAAAATTAGCAAACTAGCATGACATCTGCGCAATCCCCCCCTCCCCGGGAGGGGGGAAGGAGGAGCCCCAGACCCCCCCCCCCCCCCGCGCACCGGCGATCCAACCGGCAGTTCTTTCTGACACGATTCTGGAAAAATCGTGTGCCTCTGGCTCCTGTTTTTTGTTTTTTTTTTGTCTTGGTTCTCTGCCTTGTGGTGTGGGTCACCTTGGGATCTACTTCTATGTCTCTTACTGCTCGGTACATAGCCACCCTTGGTGTCTGCTGGGGTTTTGTTGCCCTTGTTTGTCTCTGGGTAGGAGGTAGTTTTTGTCACTGGCAGGGGAGCAGGGTACTGCACTGCTAGTTTTCACCTATTATAGTGGCTGACTCTGTTCCGCCTGGTCATGTTGTCCTCTTGCGGGGTTTTTCTTGTGTTTTTGTTGTTTCTTCCTGGTGGGGCGTCTGCTGTGTCCTGTCCCCTCTCTGTTGTTGGGGTTTTCTTCTGTATTTTGATGGTATTTCCTGCTAGGCCCCCATGAGTGGACACATCCCAGGGGTTCAGCTTTTAGAAATTCATTTGGTAGACTTGGGCACCAATTCGCAGTACTCTGACTGGGCTTCTCTTAGCATGTTAAGAAGGCTAAGGGCCCTGGGAAACCCCACGGGGTCTCCTTGGTCTGATGGATGTGATCCTGAGTACCCTCTTGCTTTGTGCGGGATTGAAGGTGTTTGTCCCCTTGTCTCAGTGTGGCACTCACCTGTTGTGCCTCCACCATGCTGCCTGTTGGGTCAGTGATTCTTTTAACCCGGAGTCATGCGATGTTTGTTGTCTGTATATGCTCCAGTCCACCCAAGTTCCTGAACATGATATGGGGACGCAGGCAGCTGCTGTGTTGCATGCTAGGTTTAGGTTGCTGCCACGCGCTAGGTTGTTTGTGGCCCCGAGACTGCCCCGTTTTGGTTATAGGGACCCGGATTTGGGGGCGGAAGTCGCTTCAGCTCTGGTTCCGTCCGCCCCTCCTATCCCTTCCCTTCTGTTGTGCATCCGGTTTCTCCCCCCTTGCATCTGGCTCCCCCCTCCCCTTGCACCCGACTCCAAAACATCTGAGGGTTTCGAAGTCGGGGCAGTGTCTAGTTGGTGTTGAAACTCGGGTGGTCTTGGGGGAGTCCCCTTCTGGGGTTGCGGCGGAGGCATTGGAGTCTGGTCCTCCTGCCAGACCTTCTGGGTCTGACCAGTGGGCTCCCCTTCATTCCTGCTTTTTCGGCGGCTCCCGCCTTTTCTTTGGAGGCGGGGGGTTTGGAGGCCGGCTCGGCCCCGGGTCCTCGGGGTGAGGTTCTCGGAGCAGGGAAAGGGTTGCCTTGGGGGGCTTGGGCCCCGTTAGACCCCGCCTGGGTTTTTATACCCTCGGAGCAGGAGTTGGTGTTACAAGGAGAGGGGGTTCTCTTTCGCTCCCTCCTCGTACGAGTTGGATTTGGCATCTACCCCTTCCCGGGTTTGGTTCTGTGATCCCATGGGTTCTTTTGTCCGAAGGTTTTCGGCTTCCCGTGTCCCATCACAATTGGTGCAGGATGCCCTTGTATTCACCTAGTTGTGTTTGCGGGGGTTGAGCTCTGCTCTTTCGGCCCGCCTCTCAGCCGTCAATCAACTGTTTACTAACCACTTTTTTTTCCACGCCACACACACACACACCCTAGGAAGCAGCCCGTGACAGCTGACTAACTCCCAGGTATCTATTTATTGCTATGTAACAGGGGCATTCAGGGTGAAAGAAACTTTGCCCATTTGTTTCTGTCTGGTGCGGGAATGAAACCCGTGCCACAGAATTGCGAGTCCTGTGCGCTATCCACCAGGCCCCTAACCTTGTGACATTCCTCCTGTGTGATCCGGATTATGCTTTCTTGATGGACCCATGTTCCTTCGTGTATGGATTTTCATGTCCGTTCTGGGTTCGTTATGAAGTTCCAGGGTCGTCCTGGTTAGCTGACTGCCTGCTCTTCTCTTTGGAGGCTTGGCACACATTCTGTCGGTCCCGCATGTTTGAATGGAGGGAGGCTCAGACAGCAATGCAGGTTTTCCTGAGGGTGACTTCGAGCATCTCAATGCTTGTTTGTTCGCCCCTGCCCTTCCACGTGATGTTGGTGTGATGCAGCTTCATGTACAGGTTCTTTCCCTTTTGGCTGCCGTGGTCGCGGAGGATTTGCGTACACGTGGCCTGCTGGCTTTGGCCCTGCGTTTCTTTTTCCTCCTCAAGCTGTCCTTGGATTGGCTTGAGTTGGATGTGGAGGAGGTGCATCGCCTGCATTGTTGGGGCTATTCGTGCCGCTCCTGCAAGAAGTGGTTTCGCAGTTTTTGCTTCTCGACTGTCGGTAGGCGGTGCTTGCTTTTTCTTTAGAATATGCTTTGGCCCTGGCTCTTCAGTTGTCTTTGCGTTTTTGTCCTCTGCTTTGCAGAGTCTGCTGTGGTGCAGTACAGTATCTACAGGTGGCTTCGGCTACTTGCCGTCCCATGTCCGACTCGTTAGTTTTCCGGGGGGCGGGGGCTTTCTCGGAAGAGTCATGCCAGGGCTCTGGATTCTTCCCATCGTGGTGGGTCAGTGGTGCCAGATTTGGGGCAGGCACAGCCTTCGGTTCTATCTTTTTCTGGTCGGCATGGAGATCGCCCCGTTTGCTTCTTAGGTTCTCGTATTATGCGTTGGCCCTTTCGCGGTTCGTCCCATTGATGGGGCGATGGGGTGGAGGCTTGCTCTGTTCGCTCGCGCCTAGTCCCACAATTTCTGGGACCTTTCGGGTCGTTTCGTGCAGACTGCGGTGGCGTTGGGTGCTCCTCACCGGTCAGGGAGTGCTCAGGGAGCCGGTCGGCCGAGCGGACAGCACGCTGGATTTGTGATCCTGTGGTCCCGGGTTCGATCCCAGGCGCCGGTGAGAAACAATGGGCAGAGTTTCTTTCACCCTATGCCCCTGTTACATAGCAGTAAAATAGGTACCCGGGTGTTAGTCAGCTGTCACGGGCTGCTTTCTGGGGGTGGTGGCCTTTATGAGGACCGGGCCACGGGTAAAAGTGACCATGTCTTTTTGGGAATAAAGTATGCAATGTATTATAATCTGGAAGAAAATAAGGAGGTTGAAGCAGTTGAAAAACCTGAATTGATTTGAGGACATTATGGCAACCTTAGAAATTTTTTTAGTGAGTATAATTAGACAGACTTGATCCTAGGGAAGGAAGTGAATGAGATGTATGTCAAGTTTTGTGAAATATATGATAAAGGCACAAAAGAATTTATACCAAAACAGAGATGCAGAACTAGGAAACAGGATTGGTTCAATAGAAATTGCGAGAGGACCAGAGACCAAAAGATACAAAAATGGAATCAATACAGGAAGAGGCCAAACCCCCAAACACACCGGCGATACAAAGATGCGAGAAACAACTACACGGCAGTGAGGAGAGAGGCAGAAAGAAATTTTGAAAAAGGGATTGCAGACAAATGTAAAACAGAACCAGGTCTATTCTATAAATTCATTAACAACAAATTGCAGGTAAAGGATAATATTCAGAGGTTGAAAAAGGGAAATAGATTCACGGAACATGAAAAGGAAATGTGTGAAACACTAAACGAAAAGTTCCAAAGTGTGTTTGTACAAAATGAAATCTTTAGGAAACCAGACACAATAAGAATTACAGTGAACAACATAGAGCACATAGAGGTGTCTAGAGACGAAGTGGAAAAAATGCTCAAGGAGCTAAGTAAGAACAAAGCAGTTGGTCCAGATGGAGTTTCACCATGTGTTCTGAGAGAATGTGCACATGAGCTCAGCATTCCACTTTAACTGATTTTTCAGGCATCCCTGTGTACAGGAGTTGTAGCTGATGTGTGGAAAAAGGCTAACATAGTTCCAATCTACAAAAGTGGAAGCAGGGAAGACCCCCCTTAATTATAGACCTGTATCATTGACAAGTGTAATAGTCAAAATATTGGAAAAAATAATTAAAACTAAATGGGTAGAACACTTGGAGGAAAACGATATAATATCAAACAGACAGTATGGTTTTCGATCTGGAAGATCCTGTGTAACGAACTTGCTCAGTTTTTATGATCGAGCAACAGAGATTTTACAGGAAAGAGATGGTTGGGTTGACTGCATCTATCTGGACCTAAAAAAGGCTTTCGACAGAGTTCCCCATAAGAGGTTGTTCTGGAAACTGGAACATATTGGAGGGGTGACAGGTAAGCTACTAACATGGATGAAAAATTTCCTAACTGACAGAAAAATGAGGGCCATAATCAGAGGCAAGGTATCGGATTGGAGGAATGTCACGAGTGGAGTACCTCAGGGTTCAGTTCTTGCACCGGTAATGTTCATTGTCTACATAAACGATCTACCAGTGGGAATACACAATTACATGAACATGTTTGCTGATGATGCTAAGATAATAGGGAAGATAAGAAACTTAGATGATTGTCATGCCCTTCAAGAAGACCTGGACAAAATATGTATATGGAGCAACACTTGGCAAATGGAATTTAATGTGAATAAATGCCATGTTATGGAATGTGGAATTGGAGAACATAGACCCCACACAACCTATAAATTATGTGAGAAATCTTTAAAGAATTCTGATAAAGAAAGAGATCTAGGGGTGGTTTTAGATAGAAAAATGTCACCTGAGGGCCACATTAAGAACATTGTGCGAGGAGCCTATGCTACACTTTCTAACCTTAGAATTGCTTTTAAATACATGGATGGAGAAATACTAAAGAAATTGTTCACGACTTTTATTAGACCAAAGCTAAAATATGCAGCGGTTGTATGGTGCCCATATCTTAAGAAGCACATCAACAAACTGGAAAAGGTGCAACGACATGCCACTAAGTGGCTCCCAGAACTGAAGGACAAGAGCTACGAGGAGAGATTAGAGGCATTAAATATGCAAAAACTAGAAGATAGAAGAAAAAGAGGTGATATGATCACTACGTTCAAAATAGTAACAGGAATAGATAAAATTGATAGGGAAGAATTCCTGAGACTCGGAACTTCAAGAACAAGAGGTCATAGATTTAAACTAACGAAACAAAGCTGCAGGAGAAATATACGAAAATTAACTTTTGTAAACAGAGTGGTAGACGGTTGGAACAAGTTAAGTGAGAAGGTGGTGGAGGCCAAAACTGTCAGTAATTTCAAAGCATTATATAACAGAGTGCTGGGGAGACAGGACACCACAAGCGTAGCTCTCATCCTGTAACTACACTTAGGTAATTACTTAGGTAATTACAATGCTTGGGGTACAAAAATAAAAGTTAAAAGGTGAGTAAAACAGAGGAATGTGGCATGTGTGATCTCTCAGCAAAGTGCAGAGAATGCAGTAAAAAATTGGTGTAGATTGTGCATTTTGAAACATTGTTAAAATTCTATTCATACTCTAAAACTGAGCAATGTTTGTGGCTACCTGTATCAAATTTATTGCATTGTACGATTATTTTTAGAAAAATATCTTTCACACACAGTGAGGGTTCATTGTACTGTATACAGTATTATTGTTTGAAAGATGCTTGCTTTTATATGGTAATGAAATAAAAAATTAAATTGTAGTCGGTCATTTACTTTCTGAAGTATTAACATTTTCAAAATGTTTCCAGCGTACTAGCAAGAAGAAATCAGCTCCCAAGACTCCCTCAAAAACCCCAAAGAATATAAAAAAGGATGATGATGACCCAAATAACAAGCCATATGGTTGTGAAC